CTCAATTCCACTTGTGCTCAGTTACACTGCACTGTAACATACCATACATAGTATTCACTGTGGAAATGAGAAAATGGCCTCATCTAGATAGAGTACAGATAGAAGAATCAACTGGACATGAACAAGTACATCTGCCCAGGTCCAAAAAACCTATGGACTGGCATGATTTTAGGACCCTAACCATACTCTAGTCAGATGTGATATCTGTTGTCTAGATTTAAGCCCATCAGACAAACCATTCTCAAGGTTGCATGTGGATATAGTATATGTACCACCTACATGAAAGGACAACCACATGACTCTATGAGCCTAGCATGTACATGAACATGACTGTCACAACACATGAAACAATGCATAATTTCTCGGTCAGAAAAATACACATTGATGTCTAGAAGCACAACATTGCAAGTCAGTGGAAGTCTGGACAGTATTTCAAACTTACTTGGGAGAATGGAATGGAGAGGGAAGCAAAGAGCAAAGAAAGAGTGCACTGCCACAGGGCCAGTACTTAAAGGATGCCAAGCAGGTTTCACACATGATAAGACAAGGCAGCCAGTCAAGGCCCTAGGAATAGTCATCCCAATAATGTAAGCATTTTCCCATGACATATTTTTTACAGAAAAAATGAGACATTTATGTCTGACAAAACCCTTTTCCCACTAACCTTGGGAGTCAGGGAACCAACTCATTCTGCAAATTTCCCACAGGAGCTTTTTCCTGATGTAACCATAATACCAACTAATTATCTGAGACTGGAGGGAAGAACTCTCACCAGATGAGATGCAAGTGTGAAAGGAAAGGCTATGGACCCAGCACTTACAGTGGCTCAAAAAAGTGTCTCAATGTTTGTGACTTTTCATGTAATTGCTGTATTATGAGCCAGGGTGTGAGAATATGACTAAGCCATAGGGAGGTGTGGGAAAGCTCTGCTTCCAAGCTTCATGTTTGATTCCTATAGCATGGGAAGATTATGTCATCAAGTGAAGATATGGTTAATTTAATTTGGTGACTCATTAAGACACTTTTTTGACTTTTAGTTTGGCTAACACAATCTCTATGATTCTAGTACTTGGTGCTTCCTTCTGTTGCTCTAATTACTTCCACCACTCTTCTATGCATACTATCTATCAATTTGAGGCATTCCTCATCAACAATCTTGCCCCACTCTGCTGCAACTCTCTCCCACAGCTAAAATAACCCCTATTGAGGATCTTGATTGACTGCAAGTGATATCTTGAGTAATTACCAGGGCTGTTCAATAGGGTTGAGGTCTAAACTGGACTTGCCATGATAGCACACTGATATCATAGTTTTCAAACCATTTTATGGTCAACTTGAAGTATGCTTAGGGACATTGTCTTGATAGAAGGTAACATCTTATTCAATAATTCTTGATTCTTGCATGCTTCTGAGCAGATAGTTTTCCAAAATTGAAATATGCTACTCTGCATCCATCCTCCCCCCCACCTCACAGAGAGTTCCTACTCCATTCCACCTCATACAACACCATACCATCAAGTTTCCTACTTTACATACTTTAGTGTTTTCTTGACTTTTCTTTCTTCTAGTAGTTCTTCTGCCTTCCATCACATGTATTCCTAGCCATCTGACCCCATCCTATTGATTTTTGTCTCATCTGACCAGGTAGTCCTATTCCAGTCCTCAACAATCCAATATTGAGGCTTTAAAGCCAAGGCTGGTCTCCTTCTCCTATAGGCTGAAGACAGGAAAGGTTTTTTCTGCCTGTTTACAACTTTAAGATTGGCTGCCTTAGGAGTATCCTTGACTATTTGAGTGGAGAGAGCAGTGTAGATGATGTAATTAATCAATTTGGTGACTTGAGTAGTATTGGCAGCCTGCCTAGTTGGAATATTATGAACAAGAGATTTTTTGTTATATGGTGTAAGCTTGAAAGGACAATCTAGTTTGATATTTTTCTTATCTGGCATGACTTTTTTATGATCCTAATGAGAGTAACCCTGCTCAGACCAGTTTTGGTAGCAATCTGCCTGGTGTACAGATTAGAAGAGCTGAGGATAATAATAGGGGCTATTTTAGCTGTGGGAGAGAGTTGCAGCAGAGTGGGGCAAGATTGTTGATGAGGAATGCCTCAAATTGATAGATAGTACGCATAGAAGAGTGGTGGAAGTAATTAGAGCAACAGAAGGAAGCACCAAGTACTAGAGTCATAGAGATTGTGTTAGCCAAACTAAAAGTCAAAAAAGTGTCTTAATGAGTCACCAAATTAAATTAACCATATCTTCACTTGATGACATAATCTTCCCACGCTATAGGAATCAAACATGAAGCTTGGAAGCAGAGCTTTCCCACACCTCCCTATGGCTTAGTCATATTCTCACACCCTGGCTCATAATACAGCAATTACATGAAAAGTCACAAACATTGAGACACTTTTTTGAGTCACTGTATCACACCACTTCATTCCCTCTGTATAAACACAATGTCAACCTCCACCCAACAACAAGCTGATAGAGTACTCATTTCCATTGATACATAGCCAGAACCCATATTTACATATGATAGATTAGTCAGAAGTAAGCCCCCCGCGAAATGGGCTATGTCCTACTAGTACATGGGGTCTTCGACCCCAAAGGACAAAAAACTGTATTTAAAAACAAAAACAAAAAACAAAAAAAGCACATAGAGCAACTACACCAACGAGTGTAAGTGCATCGACGCCCCGGTAGAGGGCAGCCGCTGGTGACTGTAATGGTGGGAGAAGAGCAGACACTTCTGCCTCCGTGGTATTCCCCAATTGCGCAATGAGCGGAACGAGCAGCTCGCTCGCAAGGAAATTGGCTGATAAACTCCAGAATGCACACGCGGTGCGGAGCATACTCCCCCTTGACAGGAAGGTTAAAGAGCCTTTCATCTTCACATTGACCAAGACAACGGAATTGAACTCCAATGTTTGGGGTCGCGACAGTTTTGTGATCTTGAACACAAAACTATCATTCCCCCCTTTCTGGGAGGATCTGTAACGTGCAAGTGACATCGCGGATTGGAAATTTACGTGGTCGATGTGTGCACCGTGTGCTCCGCTGGCGTAAATCGGAGTTGGCGGTGTTGGATTCACGTTGAGCAAGGAGCTCACGAACGCACGCGGATTCATGTATCCTTTCATTTCTGGACGCAGTAACACATTGCGCAGAACGAGAGCAATGCGAGGGCTGACTACGAATATACGGTGCAGGTCGGGGCAGCCGCGTCCTGAACCTTCCCACAAACCAAATGCGTTGTCCGTGATGATAAATTCTTCCCCTTCCGCAGCTTCCCAGATACTGAAGAAGTAGTTGTTCGCATGAGTGTGGTAAGTGTAAGCTGGGAAGTTTTCAAGACCAGGTGGGATGTACGATTCAGTCATCATTTTTTGGAGACCTTCTTCGCCGTACTTCTCCACGAGTTCTGCAGCATCTCGCATGATGTCTGAATGAGACGTGTCCAGATAGTATCTGAGGAAGTGTAGCCATATCTCGACAGCGGATTGGATACCCTTCGCCTTCATGAAGGCCTCGATCCACTGACGGCCTCCTGCATTCTCCGGGTGATCAGCTTGAAAGTAGGTGCCGGAATACGATACATTGCGATAATGCATGATAAACAGGAACTTCCGCAGGAGCTCTAGCGACCTCCGCTTCAGAGTGAAAGTACCCCGAGGAAGCGCTTTGTGCAAGTCCATGATAATGGAGGCTGCATGACGTTCAAGGTCTGCTAATTTCTCCTCTAGTTCATTGATATTACGAGTGTTGTGGATATCTTGGTAGACATTCGAGACGCCGTAAACTTTTCCAATAGGACGGATGTCAAGGCTACCCGTAGCAACATCATAGTAGTGAACGTATTCAGGATCAATACCGGTGCGTCGAAATTCTCTTTGTCGTTCTGTTTTGGACCTGCAAAGAATATCATTCAGTATTCTGGTCCAGTGCCTACACGCAGAGTGCTCGAGAGAACTCTGAAAACATACTTCACAGGTCCGACTTGGAATCTTCGCAATATAAACCGTGGAATGAAATGTTGGTATTGTATCGTAGGTGCATATGGACTCGGAGAGTCGTCCGCCTTCCGAGCTTCTCCTGCAAGCTCCGTTCTGGGTTGTTGTTTTGGGGTATTCCTACGACGTCGTGTCATTCTGTAGAGTTCAATGAATCTGGGGACTAAGCGCTGAGCGCTGAACACGCCATATTTGTGGCGCTGCCATGAAACACTTTATGTAAAGAGTATATGGTACTACCTCATTGAGTTCAAGTTGTTGATGAAGCAACATTTAAACTTCGTTTGAACCAGTGACCACCGAGTATCCATCTTAGTCCTGTCACAGACGGGGCCATTCAAGATTGTGAAAGTCATAGTAGGTCATAGTCTCGATATCAGACGAAGTTTATATGATATATGGTGCTCACGAAAGTCAGAATTACCACCGGTCTGGGGCAAGGTTCACGAAGCGGGGTTTGAATTTCGCTCAATATTGGCTCACTAGCAAGTTATCTAGCAATCTTGCTCAAGTGCAGGCAGCAGCTATAGGATCACTAGACTACTGGCCGAAAATGATGTGTGCATTGTGGCCCAAGGTGATATGGTAACCCAGACTCATAAGGCAATACACAATGGCTCAGATCTGTGGCAGGGCCCCGCGCATATTGCGCATATTACCCGTGAAGAGTCATAGCATCCACTGCAGCTAGCACTAAGGATGGATTGTTTGCCATGTCACCAATCCCAGTCGGTGAGGGCCATAAACAAGCTGAGGAATAGGTTGGAATGTGGTCATAGGACCTGCGCCACACTCGCACCTTATTCTTTTTGATATTTGATATGGGCGGATACGTATTTCCCAGTTCTTGCGTTATGGCTATTTAGAGCATCACTCAGGTTCGCATGTATTCAAATTATCTCCTGGCCTCTAATCAGCGATATAAGCGTCGGAACATTTTCAGGCATACAGACGCGTGCCCTTCCTTTCCTCGCCGTCCGAAAACATGGCACCCCCTGCGGGACCGGCGGGTAAGCAAGTCCTTTTCCATTGTTTAGACGCGAACAATTGAACGTGACGCAGGAGTTTGACTCGGACAAAAACAATGGGCCTCTGTGTTCGCTCTTGTGACGTCCCTATGCTTCACATGTATGTCGCGTATTTTCTTCTCATTAAACCAAACTATTAACGATGCAGAACTTGCAGGGGGGTTTCGCATACGATGTATGGGCTTTACAAATTTATTATCCTGGATGCTGCAGCCTTCGATGATAGTTCTTTTCTGTGCTCAATACACACTTCCAGACCGTATTCGGTATTACAAAGCTCCAGAGTGCTTTTTTACAGCTGGCATACTTTGTAAGTGTCTGATGCTCGGGGATTGTTTGATCTGCTGACCACTAGTTAGGGTGCTTATTTCGTGTGGGCACCATGCGCTGGTGTAATTGCTGTGATTCTTCCACAGCAATACTGATTAAAGCAGATTGGACGGATAGAATACAGTGTGAGTTCTGATTCTATGCGTGTACGCATTAGATAACAGCTGATTTCTGTTTACGGAAAGACGTCCACGTTGGCCTTGCCTTGTACTTGATTGGTATCGATGTTCTCGTTAATCAAATGGATCAACTGACCGCTTCTCAAGTGCCATATTCTGTTGGCCACCAACGAAATTCGAGACGTATGGAGGGTTCGTCGGGAGCATATTCGTAACTGGTGTTTAATCGCAAGAGCTGTATGAATGTGTTCCTGATATCTGATCTTCTCTAGGGGTGCGGCCTTTCAATGCTCGAGGTTGCTACGAACTCCTACATAACTGTACTTGGCATACTTCGGTATGCTGCGGCTTGTTTGAACTTTAGTCATGGATTCCAAGCCGTAGCAACCTTTGCCGGACCTTTGACTGCCTCACGCTGGTTTTTCACTGGTGCTAATGCGACCAGCCCTGGAACCACACAGTGGTCTGTCTGTCTATTTATGCTCGAGCAACACTAGAGTCTCTTCAGTGTGTATCTCGCGGTTGCTGACTCCGGCATAGCACTTCATACCCCACCCTTGTAAGAGTAATCTCGGATTTGAAGATCACTTCTCACCTGCGATAGCTTCTGCGACCTACTTGAAATCACAGAAGAAGCTTTAGCTGAAGAGATAGACGACTTAAAGGCCGGCATAATATACAGCCCGGGACCTTTGTTGTAGCAATATCACTGTGTCCTGGGGTTTGTTGCCTCGACTGCCTACTAGTGCGTTCAGTTAGCTGTCTTCAGCTTCTGCAGTGGGTCTGACATACAACACAGCGGCGCACAAGTGACCGCCTCTTTTGCAGTCAACTTTCTCGTAGACCAAAAATTTGGCATTTTTTTTTGAATCCATTCATGTCCTTTGGAAAGAGGTACTCCATGTAGGACAGTTCGTTCTAGTCTAAAGGGACTCCCAGTGTCCCTATCGTACCCCTGAATGCACAAATGTCCCGGTGTGAGGCGTACCCCCACCAGTAAAGTTGGTATTGGACCAGTCAAAGGCTAGTCAGCTTCTCTCGTTCTGCCAGATCACCTTCACCATATCAGTGAGTGATAGTTCAACTCCAATCTCATGGTCCTTTGAATGTTGTATTTGCAGGTTTATTGGTGTAGCAATACCCAACTTTATCGACCCCGCCTTATTGTTAGCCGTCTACGGGTTTTGTTGTTCGTTGTTCTGCCTTCTCGTTTCCCAGCTTCCAGGGTATCGTACTGTCGACTTTTTCTTCTGTCTCTTTTTCTTCGAGTCCATTTGCTATCCCGTACGTCTTTTTACTTATCGAGCTGTTACTTATTCCTCCTCTCGCGTAAAACGTCAGTGCATCTTCATCCTCCGTACAAAGAGCCTTGGAGTTTAAACCAATCGGGGCACCAGTCTCATCGTTATGGTATGTCCTCTGGTCTGCTGGCATTTCTTGATCCAAGGTATCTTACTGAACTCAGGGCGTTGCGGGAGGGGCTTGGTACCCTCTGACGCAAGGTGTCCTGGCCAATAGGGCATACACCCGTCGCTCGTATCTTGTCCGAACGTCGGGCTTATTCGCTGTGACCATTTATGCCATGTAAGACCCAATGTTTTTCACAGTCCTAACATCTATGCAGTGGTATTGTTGTTGACCAGACGAGGAAGAGCGGATTCACATTCTGCAACCGCGACGAGCTGTCTGCCATGCATGCAGCTGATTGCTATCTTACCAACTCTCCCCGATGACGCTAAACACGCTCGAACAGTGAAAGAGAGCATCCAGTGACGAATTGATTACAGTCGCATGAGGAGTTGGGGGTCTCGACTACGATGGAGGAAGAGTATGCCATGACTCCTTCATTTAGTATAAGGCATCCAATACCGCTCAAGGATTATCTCATGTACATGTATCGAGACGATTGTTTGTAAAATGCCGCTGTAATTCCGAGTACCTAATGTGGGGCAAGCCTGTTCGATGTGTCACACAGCCGACGTCCTTGAACCCGCTATACGATCCACGATCTGCTCCCGATGATTAAACTCGAACGTTCGGCCATATTGGTAGAGAACTCTTACAGGTCGAATGTATGGCAACGACAACAGGTTGCCAACGAATGGTAGCTGCCGCAGGAATGTCACGACCACGGGAAAGAAGTCGCTGAACCTGGCTATCAAGTTTGGTTCTTCGTCAGTAAATGCTCCACGTACCCAAACAGGTTTAAGAAACCAAATATCTCGACAATCATTCCAATGAATGCATACTTCATGAACACGAGGAGAATACCGCCAATGAAGCATGCTGTTCCTCGAAGTTTCTGCTTTCGCGCGAAGAAGTAGAATGTCTTTTGAGGGCCAATAATCAAGGTGAGACCAGACAAGAAGAGCATCTGTGCAAGAGCTTGGTATGAGCAAAAAAATGGAAGGCGGGAATTGGGGTTACACACATTTCCTAACGCTAGCAAAGCAGCATCGAAGAACAACATGACACCAAGGAACATGAATAGTGTCCCGAAGGTCGTAAGGGCTACGCCAATTTCTGAGATACATAACTTCTCATTCAACAACCCAAGATAGTTTGGGTAGACTCACTTTGCGCGTCAGACAACCACATGTCTCCAGAGTTCAAGTGTGTCTTATGCAAAAACTTTTGAGAAGCGTGGCTATCACTGGAGAGAGCGGTAGGATGAGAAATTGAGAATCTAAGCTAAGCGACAGGAAATTGACGGTCCAGGTAGGGCTCAGAATCAGACTGTTCCAGTGATACTTGTGAACGCGGTAGTAGCGTGACTGACACGTCACGTTATTCGAAATTACAAAATCCTCATATCGTTAAGACTACTAATGCTATCTTCGAGGGAGAGAACTACGGTCAAGTGTTTCACATAGGAGTCAGATTGTCTTGTAATACTGAAAGTACTCGAGTTTAAGGCCATCGCAATGGCAGGAAATCATCTGGACAATAAACATAGCCATGACTCTGTGAAGAAGAAACGCCGATGGCTTTCGAGTACTGGGACAGTGAATGGTATTGGATTGTCGATAATGGTACACAAGCCGGGTCCAACGATGAAAGAATTGACAATAATGGTATGTATAGATCTGGAATATTGGTCAGTTTAATAAATGAGGATGACGACGAGATATGTCACAGACATTCCACCGGCCAGCTAACATTCAAAAACACCGGTATGGACGCCTCAAGCACTCTCTCTGCGCCGTTGTTGTTCCTTGGCGGCAATAACTCTATCGTACGACTCCCTCAACGGACTTCGGTGCGCAAGTATGGACACGTGTGCACTAAGGTACGGCGGTGGGAGTAACGGGTGTACAGTTTCAAGGTTGGTGTACAGACTAGCTGCAGGAAAATGTGAGGTATATTGCGGCGTTGACGGACGGGTGGTGGGAAGTTGTGCAAGTGATGACAACGCTTGTACAGAGCTCGATGAAGTTGATGACATGGATGACAGGGTGCGAGTGCGGTCGTGTACGGCCTTGAAATGGAGTGGTTGGATATGTGCTTCAGTTGGAAGAGTGACCACCGAACGTGCAGATGATATTGATGTTTTGCGGTTAGGTGGTGGAGCACATGTAGTCTTGATACTCGACGGCGAAGTGCATATTCCATCCTCCGCATCATAGATCTGGGTGGTGGATATGTGCGCTGGAGCAGCTTCAGATGTGATAGTGAGTGGAGCGAGAGGCACCGTCCGTGGTGTCACTGGAGCTGCATGACCATATGACTGACCTCGGATAAGTGGATGTGGGCGTAATGGTGCATCATTTCTGCTTGCTGTCGAATGAGTAGATGGTGGGCGTGTGACTGACTGACGCTTATGTGGACGCGAGCGATGAATAGGCGAGGTGTTCTCTGAGCGAGTCTCCATGATACGGCGCTCAGGAGAAGGGTGCTGAGAAATACTAGATTGTTTCACATGATATCTGGATGTGGCTAGTGCTGGAGCCGGTGACACATGTACAGCCGACACAGCTACAGCTGATGACGTTCGAGCTGGTGCCTCGGGGGGACGGATGGTAGGCACCCGTGACATAGAGGGCAGTTGTGCTCTTGGAGTTTCCGGTCGATGTATGGGTTCATCAATGAGTGGGGCCGCGGGAAGCGAATGTTTGTGCGTCTCAACCGGTGTCCGGGACCTGCCACTATCAGAGCTCACACTACTCGGAGTCGCTGCCCCACTCTCGCTAGAGACCCACTCTTCGTCTTCATCCGCACTTTGGCTAGCGATAGTAAATCCAGCTTTAGGTTTTCCAGTGGTCTGCCGCTGTGCTTGAACTGGCAGCTGCTCCCTTGAAGCAAGACGTGTCGAACTATTCACTCGAGGAGGATACGGCGAAGTATTTCTTGAATGCGGCTAAACGAAAGATATCACACGGTTCAGTTAGAATCTTTGAGGGGTTAGCATTGATGTGACGCACGTCATGAACTAAGCCGTTTTTCTTCGTTCTTTCGGCTTGCTTCGCTGGAGCGGGATCTTTCTGCGTAAAATGAAGGTTCAGTGCTGCTTTGGAGGAGCCTCCTGACGATGAACGGGAGTGTGTACGAGGGAGGCCCGTTGCGCCAGCGCGGTGAGCTTTGGGAGGCATGTAGGAGATTGAGTAGGATTATTGGGTCTCCGCTAACTGATCACTGTAATTTGCAGTCCCGACAATAAACAACAACCATCATGCTTGCCAAATGCCATGCCCACTGTGGACAATGGACGTTCTTTCCTTCAGAATGGTGCTTGGGAGTTTGAACGTTTGCGGCTTGTGCAAGGCATGTGTCGCTTCATCTCTCACCACGCCCTTCGTGCCACCTCAGTGCTGCTGGTACTCGTGTCCGACACAACTTTTTATTATAGGCCCCAAGTCTGCATCTCTGCATGCATTTTCTCTGTGAAAAGAGACACCAGAAAAGCCAACATCTACTTCATGCTATGTGGCTGTTCGACGCTTGTCTCACCCGCCACTTACAATAGTAAGTACATCATCCAAATACATGGGTGAAGGACCCAAGTCTGTAAGTAGCCGTCCGATTTAAGTCCGAATATTTCGTCACAAAATAAACACTACCGGCGAGGGAACCTGGAAGTTTGAAAGTTCTGTCCGTCCCGTCTGCTCTGTCTTCATCATCGGACAAACCATAATTACGCTGCTGATCGTCCCACAGGTATCCCTGACCTAACGCTAGGGGTCATGTCCAAGTTTACCTCGCTGGCAATAAGCCTCAAGGATATATCATTCGATCGTAAGGTTGTGCCGCCCGATGACGCCCAAAGTTGGCCCAAACCCGAAAAATAAAGTCCGAGATTTTGGAGGAATTCCGAGGCGTTCCGGACAGACAGTCATTTCCAATTTTCCGGTATATATAACACTGGGAATCAACAAATTGTCCAGTCCCGACAGGTGCGTTTGCATTACCATCGTCTGGTACGGATCTCTAATATCAGGCAGGCAATTGAAATAATCAATATCGTTTATCCTTCTATCCCCCAGATCATGACCGTAAATCGTTACCAGTGAAATGACAATACCCCAGGCACGTCGCGAAGCTGAGGGAAAGATCCGTACGGCGTAGAATGATTTCTGGTTAGACATCAGGACTACTTTTTTGAATGCCTCAAAAGGAGTGTCGCATTCGAGTTGCTCTGTCATTGCCCGTGTTCACTAGTCACCACCCGTGCCTTTGGCGACACTATCGCTCTTCTTTTGGCTTTTATTGTTACGAGACAGTCCAAAGCCTCTCCCAGTGACAGGCAATGCCCCCATATAAATATCAGTGAATGTTGGTTGGCGTATACCGTCTGGAAGAATATATACGGTGGGTCTCATATACTGGTGGTCAGAGACTCGACCCGACATCTTAATATTTCAGGCGACCTGATCCGTGTTCAGTTAATGGTACTGGAAGTTGTTGGCGTCAATTCAAACAAAATTGCAATGTTGGATCCACGATCTGTTATTTACTTGTCCTTGCGACGAATAAACTGTATGCTCCTTTCCAATCCTAACTGTAGCTCATGTTTTGCCATAGCTATGGCATCAAGTAGAACACGGTCACGTTTCGCTATGGATCAGTATCAAGATCTCACAGAAAGATAAGTATTCCATCATGCATTACGAGCAGATTCCTCACTTTACTTGCACAGAGCTCGGACCCTTCTTGCTAGCTTGCTGAGTGACCCTCGAGGTTTCGAGGCACATATTCAGGGGTCAATGATCATGCATAGTATTTTATCAATATCTTGGTGCTTGGACAAACTTGATCGCAGCGAATATTATGGGGATCACCTATGGATATGAAATGCAGTCAGAGAATGATTGTCTCTGCTGTCGTGCAATTGGTCGAAATCCTTACAAACGAGCAAACTCCTCATAGAGCGGCTATTCTCTCAGCATTTCCTTTTCGTAAGTTGACGTCGATTCCATCAAGTGACAAGTATAGGCTGGGGGTTCTTCAGTTGGACATATCGCCGCCTGGTTTTCCGGTGCAAGCGTGATGCATTGTTGCATTGTACTCAAGAAAGTTAGCCTAAAAGGTGCTTGATGCGACTTTCGAGTTTACCAATCAAAGATTGTGACTACTCTGGGGATAACATTGTAGCTGACTTGATTTAGGAAGCGAGGACTGCTCCACAGTCTATAGTACTGTGTCTGATTACTTGGCGCAAATAGACGAGACGGATGGCCCTGTAGCACGCGCTGGCTGTGGTGACGGCCTACGTTGCGTATTTGTATGTCGTTCTGCGCCAAAGGAGAAGTTGGTCGGAGAAGGCACCTGATTAATCCCTGACCGGAAGAAATTTCAAGCTCGATGTTTTACCTCACACAGCGCTTTCAATTGCGGATGAGTGGCAACTTGCTTCTAAACCTGATAAATAAGTACGGTCATGCGTTCCAAAAAGCAAGCATTACGACGATACGTCCCACAATGAGACGAGTCTACTACGTCCAATTTCATGATTACGATGCTGGAATACCTATCAATGATGATCAATGGTCCGCGGTCAGACCCAAGAACGATATGGCTCGGTCTACCACTTTCAAATCTTCCAGCCTCGCTGAAGCATCATTGATGAACACTCCTTCAGTCATTGACTTTTCCAATGCGACCAAGGACGACTTGAAAGCTAAAGGTGGGGAGGTTACATCATTTTCCTGATTGTCGGACTCACTCTATCCTTCACTTGCGTGCATTCTTCTGGCCTCTAGCCCCATAAACATTTTTTGTTTAGTGGTGAATCCCGACAGTTTTGGTCAGTCTGTCGAGGATCTAGGTTGACACGTACGCACCTCATGGATATATCTTATATTTCTGAGACGACCTTCGCGGGGCGTAAAGGTGATTTCCTCTTCATGGACAGACTATCGCATAAAAAGGATGTCTCGGCCCAATGACTGGGCCCAGTTAAGATGAACCTCCAAGGATCTATACACTGCCAAAATGTTGTCAGCAGGCTTCAGATTAACTTCAAGAGAAACAGATGTTAACTATGTTGTGGGAACCACTTGGCTAAGACCAATTAGATGGACCTCTGAGGAAACCATGCATGAGTAAATGTCAAGTTGTGTTCCAATAAAAATAAAGAATTCGAGTCGTTCGGCCGTGTTCGAAGCTGCGCAGTGCAAGAGAATAGACTGTTGTGATAACCACTTAACTAAGATCGGTTAAGATGGACATTCGACGAAGCCATCCCATGTGAGTGAATGTCAAGGTGTGTTCTGATAGAAAAAACCTTGTCGTCGGCAGGTTTCGAATCCGCACCACTCAAGAGATCAGATTTCTAATCCGTTCTGGTGCCAGTTGGTTATGGCCACCCAGGATAGACCCTGAAGGATCTATCCATGAGTGAATGTTCAAAGCGCGGTAAAAGGAAAATGATGGTTGGGCAGGTTTCGAACCTGCAGTCCTGTCGCGCTTACCACTTGGCTAAGACTGGTCAAGGTGGACGTTTGTAACACGATCACACATTGGCAGTAGAATCATATAGGATTAGCAGTCATTTGCCAACGCAAAATGAAATAAAAAGACTGATTTGCGTTTGATTCGATGGTTACAAAACCTGCCAGGAATAAGCGAGTCAGGGGCTGGCGCCGGCGCCGAGACGATATCGATAGCGGGCTGGGATCAAGACATGCCAGCTTCATCCGAGATAGCAACGCTGGGTTCAAATCTTTCGCACCGAGATCGTGCTGGAACGCTAGTCTCCCCCAGTCGGACCAAAAGAAAAGGAAGACAGCCGTTCCTTCTATATTCTGGGTGGCCTCGGGAGGCCTGGGCCAAAGAAGTTTTTGCCCGCATGGCAACAGTAAATATAGCATACTGGATGTATCTCTTTGCCGCAGCGCATATCGGGTATGTCGGAGCTAAGCTTAAAGGATTTTGCCTAAGAGTAACCAAGTACGAGCTATGAAAAAGCAGTACAATGAGGATGACTTGGGCTCGCTTATCCATATCCTCCTAGCTTCAGGCACTGCCGAGACGGTCATTGTCATCGAGGTCTGTCTCGGATTAATCGGCAGCACATCTGTAAGATACAGACGCTGTCTCCAGGAAGCATATGGACTCCTATTATCCGGGTCATAACAGTACGCTGGATGATCAGACGTTCTGGTATTCTGCGAGTGATCTGGTGTATTATAGCAATAATTTATAAGATAATGAAACCCCACAAACTAAGAAACGGACGCTGACTACGAGACTCCCGCGGTACAACCGTATTATTTGCATAAAGGCCTCGAGTTCCTCTGAATCCCAGGTCGCCGACATGTACGCTTCGATGCGATATTATCATGTCGACTTGTCGGATGGTACACGCCGTTTCCATAGAAGGTCTAATGCCTTTCTGTCTCCGCGATGACCGCGAAAGACGTAAGGGGTGTCTACCATGAACGAGGTTTGCCATTGATGATATTGTCTTGCAATATTTTAACTCTCGGGCTCTCGAGACAAACACCTCATCTTCGCGGCGGACCGAATTTCGACAGCATTTTCTTGCAGACTGCCCTCTTGCGCTGTATACCATCCAGAAATATTGCCTTGAACCAAATACGTCCGCTGTGACCCCGGGAAGGCCAGAGCTGTGCAACAGCAATTATAACGAGTACCTGATTAATGAGTCAATTTGTGCGTGTAACCGGACCAGTTATAGTAGAAAATCTCCCTAGTTATCCGGGCTCGAACCTCAGTAGCTAGACTGTACCTGCCTATACCTACATGGCTGGGGAACTCAGTACTGCGACATCACGATTACCACTACTTGTCCTGAGCGCTGCCTTAGATGTGCAAGTCAAGAGTTTTCTCAGGCTACAATTAGAAGTCCGCGGCTCTGCGCTAGGCCTTGGTTTTTATTCTATTCCTTTAGAAATTAGCACCCTTTTTCTGACGAACACTGCCTGAAACTTGCTAAAGCAACACCCAACATCTTGGCTGTACAATACTGACAAACTCCATTAGGTTCATGCCCACCGTCTATCTGCCATAAAGGCGTCAGCAATATCACTTGAAATAAGAGGTCAATCCAAGGTCAATCTCACATGCGTCAGGCTGGACGAGAAGTTTGCACGATAGAAGTTCCGTCGTCAATGATGAATAGAATATTCTCGCTACTCCTGGCATCATGTGCAATCATATTTCTAGCGACATAGTCACCCTCATTCGTCGAACCACCGCTGTTCCCCTAGTAGTTTACCGAGACACCATCTAAACTCAGAAGCCTGGGGATCTCCAGGAGATAAGCTCAGGGACGAGCACCAAGAAGGTATGCCGAATCCTCAGATCTGGGTCCTCGAACAACTTATCAAACGTCCCATCATACACTAGGACACCACCAGGCTGCCCGATCATCAATCTGCTCCACAACATGATCAGTACAAAAGCCGAGCGCAGATTGGCAAATACTGTTCTGTCTCAGCAATGAAAGGGCTTCGTTGATATGGTTCCTGGTGGCCAGCATGAAAACACGAGGTCACCCCACCATGAAGATTGTTGGTGGATGATAACAATACTTCAGGACTTATCGTAGTGGAAGCAAAGTGGAAGAGATGTATTTTTCTTCTGTGTCACTATCAGATATCACATGGCTTTTTGATCACCGACGTCTCCTTTCCTAGTAAGTGTGGTTTAAGTTTAGTTGTACCCCAATCCCGATCTTAAAATGTGTTAAATAGCAGAATCCCTGGCTGAGCCGGAAATGAAGAGGGAAGGTAAGAGTGACGGACGCGAACTATGCATCCCCTTTCGCCACCGATTAGCAAGAAACAGGTACGAGATCGCAAAGAATAATATACTTGGAGGAAATTGATCCAGGGCAAGCTCAACCTATAACATGAGCGCATTAGCATATTGCATATTCTATGGGGTGCACAGGCTGCATTCGCTGTAGACATACAGGTGGCCCCACGAACAAGGCGAATAGAAGTGCAGATAGCTGTATGAAAATGACGAAAAGCCTACTAATGAATCTAAAGAAGACTTGCCTCCACTCTATCAAACGTCAGCTCAGTAAATTGCAACCCCTCATGGTACTACTCACAGTCAACCCCATCACTGACGGGTATTTATTATCCGCGAGGAACGGCCAATGTTGCAATGTTCGAAGACGCCGTTGTTCGATAGGCGCAATTGCACTGCAAACAGGAGCATCCGTGTGTTCATCATATTATTGACGCAAGGCGCAGCACAATATCATCCTTAGGTGCTTAACAACGGTTGGTACTCCCTCAGTCACGCATACGGCTTCGATGTATGGGGTAACCAGAAAGGGTCTGCTGCGCTCGCCCAGTTCACCTCACGGGCTTATGAAAATGAAACCCTTCCTTGCAATTGCATGACGTCGGGAGTGCCATATGGGGTTGAGCGAAGTAGAGCTAGTAAATGTGATCTATGATATGCTCGTCAGCGCAACGAAATAAAAGTTACCTGACCTTTGGGCCCCCTGGCAGACCATATAGAAGACAAGCATTCCATCTTTATTGTTTTGTTATGGCTGACCTACCCAGTTCCCTAGACACCGAATTCGATCAGCAATGATAACGCTCTTATCTCACCATTAATTACAGGCAATAAGAATAAAGGCAAAATCAATAAAGTGACTCCTGGCTGCGGCCACGTCGCCAGAAAAGGACAAGGAAGTATCAGGCCATCCGTGTCATTGCGTTGGCACTTCCTCCAAAGTGCAGAGGCACGCCTCACCAGGGCCTGATCGCAAGGACCTAATCCATCATTATTCAGGGGATGTCATGTACACTCGCCACCGTGAATCGTCCACAAATCAAACGCCAGAGGGCATGCACATGTTCCTGGGAGGTGAAGTTTTGAAAAGTCGCCATATTCAGGGAGACAGCAGCATGTCACCAAGGCACAACTTGAATAACCATCCGCATAACTACTGAAAATGGGGACAATTTACTTACATAGCGCCATAGTCTACATGCATCGATCGAGGAGTTTGTGACAGTAACTTGTCGGAATTGCCTGCGGGGTCTCAATTGAATATTGAATATTGAATGCTCACCGCGACCGCACTTCAGTTAGGTACAGCCGCAGGCTGACACTTTCGACTACTGCGGTCACAACTGCTCACTGACATGCATGCGTCCGACATATTGGTATTGGATCAACTGAATTATTCAGAACGTCGAGTGGTTTTCGGAAAAGGAAATGCTTGAAGAAGTTGTAGACAGTGGACAAAGTTAATCTCCACGAAGTTGCTGAGTGCAGGTCACGTATGTAGTCAGTCCTATCCCATGAACTTCCTGCAGTATGCTTGACGGGTTTATCGATCTTTGCCTTGTGTTTCCCTAGTGCCCTTCCACGGTATAATGGGATACACTGCATTCACTTTACCATTTCCCTCGTGCGACCTGGATAGACGATGGACGGTTCGCACTGCGCAGCAGCCGCAAGGAAGCGTGCTGCCCGACAATCTTATCGTTATCTTGATGACATTAGTTCATCCCGGGAAACTTGCACTGCCCCAACCACCTCTCCAAATACGAACCATGTCTTTGCTCAGACATGCCAGCATCACAACAAGGCTTCGTCGAACCTATCAGAATACTTTATATGAACCGACAGTTCCTAAAAATTTCTGGGAGATCCGGGACCGTGAGCGGTCGTTCAAAGCTGTACGTAGGTGGTGTCTTCCTCCTGAAAGAAGCTCACGTACAGTGTTCCTTGGATGGTTTGTTTTCGCAGTCATATCGTGGATTCTGGCAGAGACGGCGGGCCTGGAATCTGCGAGAACTTCTCAAGTTCAGGGATATTGCGTCACCGTCATGCTTCTCCTAGTTTACTCCGGCGATGCTGATGTCGATCCGTACCAGTTTCCGGCATAGAAGTACAATCTAAACAGGCAAGAATTTCAAACTCACACAAGCTCGAACGCGACTCTCAGCACATAAAGAACGTACGTATGTTCTAGTAGATCCGAGCGGTCATTCAAAGTTGTACGTAGCTGCTGGAAAGGTCCCCTTGCATTCTAAATGAAGCTGACGTGCCTTGGATGCAGCTCCAGCGTTCCATCAAGTGCTTAGGTGAGTCACATGTGCAACTTTACTTCCGGAGTTGCGTTAAGAGTGGTCGGAGTAGGATGGTGACTCAACGGCTGATTGTTAGCCCTCGACTTTGACTCTGCGAGAACTTCCCAAGGCCAGGGCTGTTGTGTCACGGGCAAGGCTTCAAGTTAATACCGAGGTAGCTTTCTTCGCGATGTAGATGTCGATCCGCGGTAAAAAAAAATAAACAGACGATCCAAACCACTTCTCTTCTGAAAGACATAGGCTCGAGCATCGCTCATGTGGTGGCTCTAGCTTGTCTGTAAAGGACGCACATTGTTATCTTCGTTGATAAAGGTGGACTAGAGCCATCAAAGTTTCTCTTCACCTGATCTAAATTTTCTCAGAGAAGACGTGTCATTTCATCATGTGAGCAGACGGGCCAAGAAAAAAATGTTCTAACATGTTCGATTTATATAACTGGAACAAGCTTGAACTGCTGCTGGTGAGTCATCAGAAGCATCCTACGTACGTGTTTGTAAACTGACATACATGCTTATTCGATTGTGCCATGATGCAGTTACGAGATCATCTCACACGTCTTCCCCAAGGGTTCATACAATAAATCAATAACGGCAGAAGTTCTGACAAAGATAACCGCAATTTTTGAAAACGTTCGCTCTAGTGAAACCCATGACATGAAACTAAATTCTACCGACCTGCAATATCGCGTGTGTCACTTGCTATGACATTTGTTTTGCTGTTTTATCCTATCACTTATCGTCGTGCGTTCGCGTGACCCTGTTTCACCTTCAATTCCCCTGAGTTTCGAATGCTTAGATCCCTTAGGCTCAATTTTTAGCTTCCAATCAGTTTTCTAACAGGCCCCTAGTTTTCCGGATCATCATCATGCGTTTCCTGCTGCTATTTGGGAACGGCGCGCAGTATGGGCGACGCCTTGAAGGCCGGAATTAACGAGGCGCAATGTTTCGCGTTCGAGTCTTTGTGGTGATCGTTAGTTATGGTGAGAGCGACTATCCATATTGCTGCGCAAGCTTCTGCTTATATGGATTGTATCCGTAGCCCTGGTGATATCCATGAACTTAAAACCGGCTCGCTGTCAGTACGATACCAGCACCGGCGGCACGATAAGATACATCCCTACATTCATGGTTCGCGAACGAAAACCTTCCTGCATAGCCATTACTAGAAGGTACCGTTTCTGGAGCTCTCTGAACAGGACATAATTATTTCAAACAACGGCAGCTCCGCGGGTCGTTGGATTAGCTATCTTTAAGCCGGACACTTCTCCTAAAAGAGCTGTGAGCTGGATGGTTCGAGGCTCCTTGAAATCAAGATCAGGGATATTGAGAGGTGAGCAGACAATCTATCTACTTTGAAAACGGGTTCTGCTCTGGTTTTGTACAGGGAAGTTACAGATATATCCAAAGATCTAGCATGCGGCGTCGACCGAAACGCAGGGGCCTTTGAGAATCGAATGAGAAGGACCCCCCTTTCGGGATCAGGCCCAAGTGTTCGGATGGACGGACATATGCATAGAATCTATATTAACATGCAATAATCGAATAGGACGCCGATGATCTGATTATGAGGCAATCTAATGGAACTTTGAAGTGCGGATTGCGCCGGCGTCCGAGCCCAAGATCCACACCGATAGAGTACGGGACCTGTGAAGCAGAACTCTGATACTGTCTGCTGATAACATGGACCCCGACTTTGAAAACGGTAACTGTTGGGCGCTGCTCTGGTTTTACAAAGGTGAATTGCGATTTTATATACAACCTATAGCATCGCCCTAACTGTCACACTAGAACATTCCTACCCTTGCAAAGATTCCTCCGTCATCACCAACGGTGACACACATCAGACCTTTGTGGATCGATCAGGCGCAGGAGTCGGTCGTGTTCGGATATGTAGTAAGCGATGATATTATTACGAGGTAATCGAATGGAAGTGCGGATGACGTCGTGTGTTGCGGTGTCCAAGACCAGAAACTAATTGCGGTGCGGGACCATCTTCCTAGATCTCTTTGTTTTCAAAGGCGCTGCTGCGGAGATGCCCTATGCCCTGGTAAATGAGGACTCCTCATAGAACCAGAAGCTTTGCGGGTGGCCAGTTCGGCCCCTGCGGAAAGTTAATGGTGATCGATCAGGTTGTACATGTACATGTATGTGTGAAAACGGTTGTCTTCACAGGAAGGAAGCCGAGATGAACGTATCAGATACCGCGTAGGGAACGTTTTGTTAAATCGCATGCAGACAATGGATGAAATGCAGTGATGCACGATGTGTATTGAAGCGCGATAGGCGTGGCATCGCATTACAATAGTGTGATGCATGAGCATTTCATTTGATTTCTGCCACGTCGGTTGATAAGAACATGACTAGGTACGCCCCTAAGCTTAAGGGTGGCTTGGATGGTGATGCGCCTAGTACTGAGTCGGGCACGCAGCATGCGGGGAAGTTATGATAAATGGTTCTAGCTCAGTGTGTGGGAAGGTGTGCGGAGTGATCGCTAGCCGGACCCCGGAAGCGAGTATTGTGTTACAACGAGGCAAGGAAATGAAATGGCTGCACACATGGTCTGTGACTAATTATGGTATGTGAGCATGTGGATCATAAATCGACGTAAAATAACATGAGCTCGACGCTGAGGGCCACGACGACGAAAGCTGAATGAAACTGATAGTGCCAGGTATACGTGTCAACTGTAATACCAGCAGTAGTGGCTTTGCACTTGGCTAGTATAATTGTTTTAAAATATTTGAACTGCGGGTTAACCTATTAAGGAAAGAAGGCCGAAGAGTAGCACATGGGTATTGTGGCTGTATAAACCTAGCCTTCCGTTTGGCGTTGCAAAGTAACTTGAGCTCTTCCCTCCATCCCTCCGTAAGTTCATTTTTTTCTGCCTCGAGGCTTTCGAGTTTTAATGCTCGTGAGATTCGATTCTTTACGTTCAACCAACTCACGATCCTTATGAACAGATACGCTATCGACCTTTCTGCTACGACGCTCAACGTTGAATGCACTAATAAACTCTCAGAAGTCCAGCAGGTTTCTGAAGACTCTGAGCAGTCCGACGACAACGACGACGACAGCGACCATAATCAGTCGAGATCGTTTTCAAAGTCTTCATTGTCGTCGTTCGTAGTTCCAAGAAAGCGTTACAACTATCTCTCTGTTTCCCGACTACGCGAGCTCATGTTGCAATACTCCGCCCAACCAATCCCCTTCCTCTTCCCTATAAACAGAATCGCACTAAAGATATTCAACCAACTCGCCATAATGACTACCCACATGCACATTCTCGTCTTTTCAACAGGCGTTTCGCTAAAGAACCACTTCGCAAGCAACCTTCTTCGCTTCCACCTCTTTCTCCAATTTCAATTCCAACCCCTCCAAGTCCAATTTCAATTCCATCCCCACCTATACCATCAAGCCCAACTCTTCCCTCAGTATCTTCTCTCATAGAGGATGTCTTGGCGCCAGGTGACCTCGTGGGCGAGGACCTACTTCTCCAGGGCGAACCAGTTCGTCCTTGCGTCCTCGCTCCGATAGACATGAACACTGCAAAAGAATTCCAAGTCGTTCGTAGACTAGGAACAGGCAGCTATGCAGTCGTCTATCTCGTTCGTGAAGTCACCTCCCGCATCCCCATCAGCGACGACGGCCACGTCGGCATCCTCGACCTCGATCCATCCCCTCCACCTATCGTCTATGGCAGAAACTTTGCTATCAAAGTCCTCTCAAAGGCAAACCTCGATTCCGACGCTCTCACAGCACAGCTCACCGAAGTCACAATCCATCAATCTCTCTCCCCACATCCAAACATCGTCACACTCCATCGTACACTCGAGACTGACGCTTTTCTCCTGCTCGTCTTGGAGTTTGTCCCTGGCGAGGATCTTTTTTATTTCCTCGAGCAAGCACGCGATCATTATGCCCCAGATGAGAGTGCAGAGAGCAAGACTCCTCCTACTCCTTCTCTTCTCACCACTCTACATCCCTCTGCATTACTAAGCCACACCCGTCTCAGACTCATCGCAAGCATGTTCGCCCAAATGTGCGATGCAGTCGCCGCATGCCATGACCAGCGTGTCTTCCACCGCGATATCAAGCCGGAAAACTTTATCGTCACAGACGGCTACGCACCTTCTTCCTCTTCAGGCATCATGGAACGCAAAGTCTTAGTCAAGCTCACAGACTTTGGCCTAAGCACCAACGAGGTTGAAAGCGCCGACATGGACTGTGGGAGCGCGCCCTACATGAGCTTCGAGTGCCGTAATAATGTAGCTCCGACTTACAGCCCCGAGAGGAGCGACGTCTGGAGTCTTGGTATCGTCTTGATCAACATGTATGTTTCTTTTTTGTTGACAAATATTTTCTGATCTTGGTGTCAGGTTATACCACTTTAATCCATGGACAGACACCTCTGATGGCACCTGTTCCTCATTTTCTCTTTTCCGTGCACACGGTGCCCACTTTTTCATGCAGCGCTTTACGGGCATGACCTGGCCCGTCGCCGAGTTCCTCACCCAGCGCGTATTTGTTCTCCCTCCATTCGACACCAACCACATGCCCGTCACCGCCCGTCAATTCGGTGCGTGGGTCAAGGACCTACCTACCCTCCTTTGCGACCGTGAGCCCTCCCACAGAGGCCACAAGCGCGTCCTCAGCACAGCCTCATCGACAGTCGGCCACCCCCTCTCCTCATGCCCGCCTTCGCGCCGCCCCTCCTCCCGCGCAGCACTGCGTACCCCACTCGTATGCAGCAGGTCATTGAGCAGAGCTCCAAGTGTCGGTGGTGTTCTCGTCGAGGAGCCCGAAGACCTCTCTCGCGATCGCCAAGACGAGCACAATGAAGACGATGACGGTCGATCGCGGTCGACCAAGAAACGGGGAAAGCGCGGGTCGCGAAAGGCAGGGCAAAAAACGACGACTGACGAGACACTCCAGACACTTGCTGTTGCTTCGCAGAGCTTGGCACGGGAAATCAGTCTTGCGAGTCGTGGTGCGAGCCGCTCATCGCTTGGGATCGTTGATTTGGACAGGAATGCGAGCCATGCTTCGAGTCTTGCGAGGCCTGCTGCTGAGACGGAAGTGCCGAGGTCTGTGGTTGTGAAGAAGCCGAGCAAGTGGAAGTTGGGTTTTGGAAGCGGCAAGACTATTATATCCACACCTACGTCCACAGAAGAGGCACCGACCACAGGCACCGCGAGCAACGTCACCAATCTCATTATGGGGCTCTCCCAGCCTGCGCCGAATCCAAGCAACACTCCCAAGCTCTCGCCGTACATCTCGCACAACGGTATCAATGTCAACTCGAGCGCGAGTGTGAATGGGAGTGGTGTGCATACGCCGCTTACAAGACAGCGGAGTCCGGCGGATGAGGCGGCTACGTGGGCGCGCGGACGGAGACCTGGTTCGTCTACGTTTAGCACTGCGTTTTCTACCGCTGCTCCTTCCATCAACATCAACGGGAATGGCAACGTAAACGGGAGCGTGAGAGGTCATTCACCGCCAGGCAGCGTCCGTAGCACCAACTGGCGAAGCTCGATGAGCAGCGCAAGCACTAGTACCTCTGCATTCACGCGGTACAGCAATTCAAGCGTGAGGAGTGTATCGACGACTGCTACGAGTGTGAGTAGTGGGAGTGGGAATTGGAGGAATGGAGGGCAGGCTGCAGCGCAGGTCCCGAAGAATGTCAAGAGTACGTCCCCTTTCCTTTTTCCTTTTGTGTAAAACCGATGTTGACGTGGCTGGGTAACAGTCATGAACGGCGTCCCATGGGAACTCGACGAGCTTCCACGACAGCTGCATCCTAATCCCATAGGCGATATATTCGGACAGCCTCCCCAGCGGAAGCCGCGAACGAGGAAATCGAAGCTGGATACGATTAGCGAGAGGCCCGCCCCTGTGAGGGATGCTGCTACTAGTACGACTGACTTGGGGGGTGTTGGTGGTGAGGAGGAGACGCCGAAGAAGGTGCAGAAGGGCCAGATCAATGCGCTGGCGAAGATGCTCTCTGCTTTGAGGCGTTGAGGTGTACGTTGTGAAAGTCGGAAGTGTGTGTGTGTTTTTGTTGTTCTTGTTAGATGGCTTATGGCCTGTAGGTGCTGTGGAGGCGGTCGATGTATTGTATGGTACCCAACTACTTACGGTGCGAACACCAGCCTTTTTTATTGTTGTAATCAATCCGCTCATGCTGGTCTTTGGGGTGCAGGCTCAATAGCCGTTGTGCATATTTTGTGCTACTGCTTATCTGTGCATGACCATCTCCAAACCAAACTCAATTCCTTGGCGCAAACTTCAAACTCGTGAAAACCATAACCAAACCATCGCATTTTTCATTACTTTGTTGCAAAAAACCCAAACTCAACCAACTACGCTCGTTCGAATTTGCTCTCGGACTGTATTACACCATTACCATTACTATAGATTCCCTTTTTGAGAAGATTGCGGGAAACGTAAATTCACCTCGTCGTTCGTTACAGTACGTGTACTCGTTTTCACACATTCATGTCATTCTTTGAATTTCAATCATCCTTTGTATGTTATGTTCTGCGGTGGTTACAATTCGATGTGCGCCACGTGTGTATGTATGTAGTATGCAGGATAAGGAAAACCCGAGAAATGCCAGAGCGTGAGAGGGGGGTAAAAGTTGATGCGTGCTACTGGAATGACTACTAAATGTCAATCTATGACGCGAGATGATGGAACCGGCGACGAAAAATGTCGCCGAGGGTGCGCGTATCGGTATGTACGCAAAACACCAAACTCCTAATGCCTATGGGGGTTTCTTCAACGAATGCTGCAAAGCAGCAAACGCCATGTTCTGTTCGATAGTAGGGAGCGTCGAAGTGTCTCCTATAACGCTCGAAGACTCGCGGGTGCCCAAGAGGCTAAATGACGGGCGATGGCGGACTTGAGCGTCCATAGGGGACGCGGAGCGAGATGAGACGCTATCCATGTCACTATCCTCCACCTCCGATTCCAATGCAAAGCGGCCCGAGCTATCCGTCCTGATGAGGTTGATGTAATATTCCTGAAGGACTTCTCGGGTGCACTGCGAAAGAAAAAACAGGATGTGAGAAGGAAAACAGGGGAGGGAGTAGGGGAGATCTTTGCGAACCATTAAGCGCCAGTCTATTGCACGAAGGAATTCGCGTTCGAGGACGTTTAGTTCTGGGACGGGGATGCCGCCTACGCGGGCGTAGAGGGCATTTGTGCAGAAGGAGTCGCAGAGGCCTTTGCTGCAGACTGTGATGGATGCGATGATGAAGCGGTGGCAGGTGAGGGAGGAGAGGGTGAAGAGGGGCATGCGAGCGCAGATTTGGTCGACGTAGTGTAGGGTGAGGAGGAGGCATGATTTCTGTGCAGGTTATGGTGAGCTACTATTGGGATAGATGATTTAATGGATATGGACCTCGACTTTTGTCCATTTGATTATGCGTCGGAGATAATCGAGGACGCTGATGTTTGGTACAGTTCTCGAGTGAAATCGGGTAAGGACTCTCGCTGGAAACGAAGATAAGGGGGATGAGATGGAACGTAGGGGATGACATACGGCAGAAGTGGTATCTTGTCATTATGAGCGATCAATCGTTCAAGCATATTAGCTTTAGATGTCCATTAGATCTGAATGGACCAACGGATTGGATGATTACCTATGAGAAGAGCAAGATCATCTATCTCGGCGACCTCAAATGCAGCGGGCAACGTGACCCTCGTCGATGAGTGCATACTGTGCACCCATTGCCGCTCCTAATGGAATAGAATCAAAGAATTATCGGGTCTGAGAAGCTCTAAGACAGTTCGAATTCTAGAAAGAAGTGCTTCAAGATGAAATCTTTGCTCAAATCCCCACACTACCAAATAAATTCACATCCCGTTCTTCCAACAGAACATTGCAGCAGTACATAAATGGCTCGGGCCCATCAAACACCCGATATTAGCAGTCATAGCAACTTGTGGGGAATCGTCGTACACTGGAGACAGACGTGTCAGAGTGTCAGTACAAGCCGCGACATTGACCTTGGGGATGTCCTAGCGGCCAGGGCATTGCATGATGTCTGGACATATACAATTCGCGGATCATTTAATACACTGCTTCTGGTACGGACACTTGGAGTATAAAGGCAGACTCGGAGGCGCTGTGGTGCGTCTTACAAGCTCTTGTTTTATCCCCCAATTAGCCACCCGGCTTCCTCGCTCGATTATCATTGCAGGAAAAGGTGGGTTCAAGTTATATGTCGATGCTCAACTCCATGGTGTCCACCTGAAACAAGTGAAGAATTGTGAGTACAGGTCGCTGTGGTCCAATACATGTGTGTTTGCCGCTCTCCAGTCACTCCGGGATACATGTTGCAAACTTTCGTGACATCATTTGCTCACTTGCCGTTGAGCCTCTTATTGTATGAACTTTCCCGAAAGCCTCAATTTGGTTGGTAAGTTCCTTCCAACATCGCTTGAAGCTTCAAATGTAAACGGAGGAGAGCAGATTCTTCTAAAATTGCGCCTTCCATGGGCTCCCGAGACATTTTACGAGGAAGATCAGGTTGTTCGTGTCATGCTCCATGAAGCAAGAAATTCTTCCATCAACGTGTTCAAGTCACAGCTAATAACACTTCAATAGCTTGCCCATATGCCCATGGCCCTCACGACGAATTTTTTCTACAAGTTTCTAGCTGCACTCGAGGACGAGTATGATGCACTAGTGCACTCTGGCTACGCTGGTGAAGGCTTCCCTTCTCCTGGCCACCAACTGGACGCAGGGGTATCACACGACCTTCCGCCGCACTTGGCTAGACTCAAAGCTCTTGAAGTTGCCGAGAAGAGGCATCGCGCAAATGGTGTTCTCGGCGGCAGCAGGTTACGAGGTCGCAGAATCACTGCAGGCATAGATCTTTGTGAACTGGGCGCACAGGTCCTTCACGTTTTCCGTCTCCTGAAGATACACATTGGTGCTACCTTTCGCAGGCTGCTGAGCGTAGAAAGCGTGATGAGATCGAGTGTGGGTCGAGTACACTTTCCCAGCGCAAAGCCGAGAGAGCGGCCAAGGAAAGCATCGAAGACATCATCAACCTTACTGACAATTCCCCCCAGAACCGTGGTCTTGTCCTGTGTGCACACTTCACGATGAGCCCATTGTGCTGCAGTGTGCAGTATGCTTCACTGTCCGTCCTTTCAACTCGCCCAGGACTGCGAATCAATCACGTGTTGCTACTGGACCATTGAGGCCACAGAGTAGTGCTTCCGGATCAATCTCTACTAACTCACAAAAACAGTCTAGAGTCATTGCAGTGAGGCAGTCGAGCAATGCCAAGGACCCCACGCCTCCTCGCAAATAGGCTGAGACCTCAGCTGATGGTGGGCAATGGGCTTACCAACACACCAATGTACCTTGTGTTTAACAAGGCGTCCTCGAGATCTTTCTATGGGATGGACTTGTATAACGCGTGGTGAGGCTGACATACCCCACCAGTTTTGGTCATGTCGATTTTGCGGCGCGACGGAGAACACTTACGGCTAAAGAATTGTCTCCCGAAACAATTTCACGTCTCAGGGGATTCCAGGATTTCATGTTACATTATTTCATAATACTATGGCTGTGACGGTTACGATGCAGGACCTTCACTTCAACAGTTTTCCTCTCATATATTGTTCAGGGCTGTGCCCTGTGCAGATATGGTCATCGTACGATGGAATAACAAAGTTTTTGCTCCCGATGCTGCCAGTGAGTTGCAATTAGCTGTTTGCCAATCTGGGTCTGTGGAGGTGATCACGACATGTTCATTGGAGATAGTCATGGAATATTTTTTATCGAGTTCAGCCATCATACCTGCGTCTGGATCGTGGGTTTTGAAGTTCCTGTCTAAGTCCATTTTGATTCAACGATTAATTTCTCGTTGCGTAGACTTGCATTTATCATTTTGATATCATTCGAAGAGAAGCGCCATTCACCATTTATACAAGAGCTATCATTAATTGTCACTGAATATGACTTTCAAGTTCTCGAGACTCTCCGGGTCTGCCTTTACCCGATTTATCGCTCCCCCGGAACGCCTCTTTGACGATGGCGGTCTTGAATCTGAAGTACTTCAAATGATAGCTGACGAGCGCCAACCATGTCTTCATGGTTAGTCCCCCCGGAACTTGTTGCCCTGTGCCACGCCGATGAATTTTACTCAGGTGGACTACTGGTGGAACGCAGCAACCGAAAATCAAGGTTAAGCCGTCTGGGTATCCATATATGTTTGACCGTACTAATTTTGGTGACAGCTATCAATCGCGTGCACCGAATAGAACAAGAGAAGACTGTCTATGTCAAACATTTCATAGTGAGTCTTGATCTCCGTTCATCATATCCATTAAACCTTCTTCGAGGTCGATTACACCATCGAAGGCCGCATAACGTTCAGGAATTTAAGAGGCAGGTAGCTTGCGCTTACGTTCAGACCAGCGCACCTGCTTTCAAGCTGACAATGAGATGTACAGATCTCGAGGTCATCCTGAAACCAGCTTAGCTCAGAGTGGAATGGACTATGCAGAGCACCTACTGAGGTTTTGTACCAGCGCATCCAGTTTCGTGGACGATCTAAAATCATTTTGGCGCAGGAAGACTTCTTATATCGATGTCCTTTCTTTTTCGTCCCCTGTGGTCTTCTGATGTAGATCATCTTAACCAGATGGCCAAAGAACCTCAATGAGGTATTGCTCCTTGACTGGTCCTTGCGAGCACTTTAGACATCGCGGCACCTCTCCCTTGTCTGTGCACGTCGCAAGATACGATGTGATGCATTCTTCACAGCTGTACAATAACGTTAGTATGGGTAGATGAAAGGGACAGTGTTAGGTGCACCATTGATGTATACAGGGAGGGATGATGGACGGCGTCTGCATCACATCGGGCATTCTGCATCATTGGACATGTCAAGGTTGTCTAAAGCGCTGTCGGCTTAGGCCGCTTTCGAACCACTCGACAAATCATGTTCTGAGATGTCATTCATCAGGGCGTCTACATCAATTGCTCCTTAGAGTATCCGGAAAGTTTAGTCTCTGTCCCGTCGCTAGTACCAGTGACGAGAACTGGATGAAGCACTGCCCAGCGCAGTCTGGAAAAAAGAGTTAAAAATTGGGATGCGTCAGGCATTGAAAGTCTCACTTCATAATCATAGCAAGAATGTGGATGTAGTTTTTACCTACGAGCGCCTTCGCATTGAGCTGATCGAAGTTCCGCTTTACCGCATTACAAATAGAGTCGTATATATTGTGTTCTGCAGGTGTAAAGTGCAGTGTATCAACAGTAACCTTCCTCGCAGGCAACTCGACGATGCGCCTTCCAGAGTTATCATGCATGTCTTCTAGCGCCTGAGAAGAACACTCGAGGATCACTTGCACTATTTCTATTGCTTTGGAATCGCGAGCGAGGAATGGCACAGTGATGGAGTTGGCAAGTGGCTTCAGCCTTAACAATAATGAAAATCGATGAGAAGGGTAGACACATACAAGCACAAGAATGAGTACAATGACCATGGTGTATACTCCAGGGATTGGCTGACACGAAATCAGTTACACTACTGCATAATACACTTTTGTCACTCGCAGAAGCTAAATGAAGGCCCTCAAGTTTATTGACAATGGAAGATCCTAATCGTGGTTTAGCACCTGGATTATGAAAAACACCAGTGTAGTCACCTGTTACGGCCCATCTACGTCTAGCACAGCGTACACAGCTCGTGCAGTCTTACTTATCCTGGACTTAGAGTAATGAGATTCGTCCAAGATGACTCGTAGCCACTCCACTTCACAAGCCGTCAATATAGGAAGTTTCGTTGATTCCTAGGATATGGCCTGGAAAGTAGAAGATTGACCACCGGACTTGAGGAGTTTGGAGTGTTCAGAGGCGAGTACGCCGCAGGATGTAATAATCACAGCGATAGAGGCATAAACCATCGAATCATATTCTATACCATTCAAGTCCTGCCTATTCTGTCCATATCAGACAGTGGCTTAAGGGTCCCTGGTGCACTCGACCGCTGGAGTTCCTCGTGCCACTGGGAGAGCAGTGAGGTAGAAGCAAAAACCAATGTTGCAGAAGGGCCTCTGGCAGCCTTTTTCCTTTATCCGAGAGCTCTTGACCGAAAGGCATTGTCAAGTGTCAGCTGACAAGTGCGTGCAAGATTCCTGGAGGTATGGTCAAGAAGAATAGGTTCCGGACCTCGGTTTTGTATGAATGAGAGCAGATAACATAATGGATCTTCCCATTCCTACTGAGATGTCGCCTGGTTTGATATAACCTTTGCCCCTGACAGGACTCCAGGCATTCCCGACAAGGAATGATCCAAGAAATGCAGGATGATCAAATGGTGCTTGTCCCTTACGCGCCTAAACCTTGGAAGGAAGGGTCGCCTCTTCTTGACCGGTGGTTCTTCACCAGAAGGATCTGATGACATACTGCTGACGCTGGAGGCTCGAGGAACACCTTCAAAGGAGGGTATTTCCAAGTTGCTTCGGTTGTCATTGCCATTCATGATAAATTGCTGGCTGCACTGGTACTCCAATCTGAGCCGTTGTGGAATTCACGTCGTCATCCTCATCGTCAGAACCTGCGAAAAAAAAACCACCACGAGGTTGGAAGCCCTGGGTCGTGGTAAAGTTTCTTTGTGCAGGAAACGAGAGACGGCTGCGGCGGTGCACGAGGACGATAGGTCCGACGCGACAACGTCCAAGTTCTGTTTGGCCGTGTTACTACTTAGTAGAATCCAAAGCTCTGCATTCAACTTGGTGGAGTTGCTGACATAATAAATTTAGCAAGAAGGATATTCTTGCCATCGTCTTGCGCGATCTCCTGTATCACACAAAATGCAGCGCGGCCTACCGATGGTACGTCCTTTCCGTATCTGCTGTTCATCGTGATCGATCCTTTATTTTAGCAACCCACTGTCGTGCTCCTTCGGGAGGGCACAGACACGTCTCAAGGAAACCCCCAGCTTTTGTCTAACATATCCGCGTGCCTTGCCATATCCGAGACACTCTCCAGCACGCTTGGTCCGCGTGGAATGGACAAGCTGATCGTGAATGAACGTGGCGAAGCACAGATCACCAATGACGGCGCAACGATCTTGAAGCTTCTTGATATTGTTCATCCGGCTGCAAGGACCCTCGTTGACATCGCACGTGCCCAGGACGCAGAAGTCGGCGATGGAACTACCAGTGTAGTACTTTTGGCAGCACAGTTCCTCAAAGAAGTTCGTGGATACATCGAAGAGGGTGTGAGCCCGCACATAATCATGAAGGGATTCAGGAAGGCGTCACAACTGGTACGTGACACATGTTGCTCAGCGATATCGTTTGAAAATAATGATATCAACAATCAATAGGCTGCGGAACGCATCAAGGCAATTCAGATTAGTGTTGACAAGTCTGATCCTGAGTATGTCTCCGACTTTTTGAATGACGGTCCCTAACACTTCTTCAGGCAATTCCGATCTCTTCTACTCAAATGTGCAGCGACGTCGATGTCGTCAAAATTGATCCATTCAGAAAAACCATTTTTCTCGAACATGGTCGTTGACGCTGTTCAGAGCCTGGATCCAAACGATTTAGACGAATCACTCATTGGGGTGAAAAAGATTCCAGGGGGTGGCATGCAAGACTCCCTGCTGATCCGTGGCGTTGCTTTCAAAAAAACTTTCACATATGCAGGTGCTGAGCAACAGCCGAAGTCCTTCCGGGACCCTCTCATTCTCAGCTTGAACGTGGAGCTTGAGCTGAAAGCTGAAAAGGACAATGCTGAGGTTCGAGTGGAGGCGGTGAAGGATTACCAGGCAATCGTCGATGCAGAGTGGGAGATCATTTACAGGAAGCTGGAAGCGATCGAGAAGACTGGTGCCAAAGTGGTGTTGAGTAAATTGCCAATCGGAGATCTGGCCACTCAGTGGTTCGCCGACCGGGACATCTTCTGTGCTGGTCGTGTACCCGCTGCTGATCTCCGCAGAGTATGTCAAGCAGTAGGAGGCTCCGTGCAGTCAACGTGCTCGGACATAGCTCGAGAGCATCTCGGTACTTGTGGTCGTTTCGAGGAGCGTCAGGTTGGTGGCGAACGATATAACATCTTCGAGGAGTGCCCCAAAGCACAGACATGCACGCTACTTCTTCGTGGTGGCGCAGAACAGTTCATCGAAGAAGTGGAACGTAGTCTACATGACGCCGTCATGGTCGTTAAGCGAGCAATCCGTAATGGTGAAGTGGTGGCCGGAGGCGGAGCTGTCGAGGTAACTCACGGCTCATTGTTCTGTTATGATCTCCTCTCTAACTTTGTGAATCAGATGGATTTATCCGCTCATATCCGGAAGCATGCGCTGTCCATTCCTGGGAAGCAGCAACTGATTTTGACTGCATTTGCAAAAGCACTGGAAATCATTCCTCGGCAAATCTGTGATAATGCCGGTCTGGACTCTACTGACATTCTCAACAAACTACGCATGCGACATGCCGCTGGTAACAAATGGTTCGGAGTAGACGTTGACGGTCCAGAAGGTGTCCGCGACAACATGGAGGCGTTCGTTTGGGAGCCTCCGCTCGTCAAGTTGAACGCAATCAGCAGTGCAACCGAGGCCGCATGCCTCATCCTCAGTGTCGATGAGACAGTGAGAAATCCACAAAGCGAGGCGGTACGTAGGCTCTTATCTTCCTCCTCACAAAAACTGAGGAAACATTTTCTTAGCAAAACCCAGGGCCAAAAGCACCACCTGGTGCAGCAGCTCGTGCTCTCCGGGGCAGGGGCAGGGGTATGCCTAGGCGGTGAACACTGGAAAGAGAAGCTTGTGAATTTGAGTAGGATACAACGCTGAAAGCTAATAGAGGGAGCCACTGAATTTGATACGGTATATCCAGAGATGTTTAGTGTGTGCAATCGCTGGGTTTCAGTGGCGTGGCCATTGAATATGATAGGTTATACCTGCGAATGTTTAGTGGTGCTGGTTGCCAGCGATGAAAGAGCCTGGGTGGAAATTGGATGCAACATATAACGTTAGGCCTAGCACAGAAATTTGTCCGTTACAGCGCTGGCGGTGTCGCGTGTCAAGGAAAGCTTGAAATATGCGAAGGTTGTTTTGCTGGTGTAAAACCATAAAAGTCCTAGTGTAGAATGATACAGAACATAACAAAAGTAAATGCGAAGATACTTCTCTACAGCCATCAGACTAAGTATAATTATGCTATCGTGGAACAAGTGAACAGGGATTTAAAACGTATCATTATTCAAGAAGCTGGGGAGAACTATCGGTAGATGGACATGGGTACCAAAGCTTCCGTTGCCGCCCTTCATTGGGCTGCACGTTGACGGGCTAACACTGAGGATGACATCAGGAAAAACCTCCCCTGGGAATTACCCATATATCCACAACATTACATCGTTTTACTCCACTTTACATTGTTTTGCTCGACTTTACTCAGTATTTTCAGTTATTACCATGTAAAACAACATTTTCACGATGTGTGTCCTATCCTACATTGAAGTAAGTGTACATGTCTTTGAAAATGTTCAAAAGAAATGAAGGGCATGCATCGAGAACATCTAAACTCGTCCACTCTGCAGGAACAGCTCCTCCCCACTTAGGCAATAAGTGAGCACTTCGACAAATTAAAGATACAGGCACAATTGACACTTGGTGTTCACCATTGCGAACCACCCGCCTGACCTTATACAACCCAGACTGTGGATCTGGTAAAGCACTGAAGGCCGAAAACCATTCGACATAGGCAAGATGCTGAGGTGGAGGGTTCTGAGGGTCGAAGTACCGTTTTAATACTGTTTGCGGCAAAGTGAAGACTGTGCGAACCTGCGCAACACGTAAATCTAAACAATTATTCTATATCAGCAAAGGATCCAGTGGACTCGAACAGGTGTCACCTTGTATAGATTCGGGAGGCGCATCAGGATTGCACACCTGTATAAGGCATGTATCAAAGCGAGCGGCTTTGACAACACGACCTTTGCTGTTCTTCACCGCTGGCTGAGCATGGATGGAGTCGAGAGTTTCGGTCGCGTGTATCTCATCGTTCCAGAATTTGATTTGGTGGAAGACAGGTACGGAGTCACAGGGCAGATGAATGTTCACTGCGCGATCCTCAATTTGTTGGAAGGACAGTCTCGGGTGATTGTATTGGACAATAAATCTCGCCAATGCCGGAATGAAATGAGTGGCGCCATGTGAAGATAAAGAAGTGATTTCTCGGAATGGAACCAACTTGTGTGATGGGTGATGAGTCATCTTGATGCGAAAGAGGCATGCGAGGTCTGGAGGTTGCCAGTGTTCAGCAGGAGAAACCACAATGACATTTTCTGTGTCGGTCATGCTCAAATTGTGGTGCCATAGGACAAAATTTGTGTGCTGCAAGACCTTCTCCTTGCGTTCAAGCCACTTCGTCATCTGCCAAAATTCGTCTTTGTGATTGGTGGCAGTGTAAGCATCTTTTGCAAAGTTGATATGAAGCCTCTCAGTGGCCTCTGTGTTGAAGTTGTCCGTTGTGCCAAACAATTTGATTAATTCAGCGTAGTGCTGAAGAAAGTGGAGCTTCGGTATGTTGAAGTTGTTGTGGACACCAAGGTCCTCAAAGACACCTTTATTTGCATGGAATTCATCCAGTGCTGTTTCAAGTGCATCAATTGATGAATTGGAGTGAACAGGGAGCTGAGCAAAGTAAAGGAAGTCTAGAAGGGACCAAGTTGCGCGCACTAGTCTTGCTGGAGATGCATTTCCTGGCAGCCGCACATCAATGATGAGGCCAAGTAAGAAGCGTGACATCTGCTTGTGCTCTGTACTGCTGACTCGGCTCAATGTTGTGATCCCTTTCTGGAAAGTGTGCATGGAATGATTGGGCAGAAGGCAGTGAACTCGCACATCTATCTCTGCAGCCCCAACAACCTCAGTGACCCAGCTGATCATGTGCTTCATTATCCCTTGGTAAAGTTGATGCAAAATATCGGGTGTTATAGATTGGAAGATATTGAGGTATGGAAGATCTTCCCAGAATGGATGCTGAAGTGGTTTAATTTGAACGCCATTACAGGCTTGGGTATACTGTGGGGATCCAAGAAGTTCGAGTGCATCCAAAATTGCGTCAAGATCACATAGTTCATGTTGAGAGGGGTGTTCGCCAAGCTCATTGCGGGGACAAGTGCAGATGGGACAGTCTCCATTCATCATCCCAGTGACAAGACACTGCTCAGGGTAATCCCCAATAAAGGCTGCAAAGATTGGATGACAGCGTCGCATGATGCTGTCACCACTCATCATTACAATGCCATCCATACTGGCTAACTTCAATGGCTCCACAATGCGTGACATGCATGCATGGAAGAGATTGGCCAAGGTCTGACACCATGATGCTTTGTTAGCAATTTGTGTGAGACACGTTGTTGGCAGATATGCTAGGAGAATTTGACCTCGGCGGGAGGGCTTGCGTCAGATGCACTTTGGTAAATTGCCGATTGTAAGATAAACAGGATAAGCAGTTTTATTTTGGAATAAAGTGATCTGTGTTTTATCGGATGAAATGATGGTGGGAATTATCATGGCCCCTGGTTTTGATTGTTCCAAGACTTCCTACAGTCAAACATGAGCCAGCAACTGAGTATGATAGACATAGAACACGTACTTGGGTTGCCCACCACCATTCACCTGTGCACATGTCATGATACAGATGTTGAGTCTTGCCTGCATCCACATAATGTCTCTCTGGTGTGAAAGACAGGTATCATGCATGCTTGGGGTCACCATACAGAGCTTGAACACATTCCAGTATATTTCATGAGAATAGGTCATACATTTCGCCAGCTACGCAGGCTTCATGATGAGTGAAAGCAGGTTGACATGATGGAATTTTGGTATCGATAATCTTGTTAAGTTTGATTGAGTTCTTGTATGACAGACCGAGTGCTTTGTGGACCTGATATGATGTCAGAACGTCAAAATGCTAAATAGATTTATCATACGTACACCTTCGATTGCTAGGAGATCGGTGAATGCAGTTGATCCCAGACCTTGTACTTTTGCCCAGTGTGCAACTTCCCAGTCCATCTGAGAATTAAATGGAGCCCAGGGATTTGCTGTGCTTCCCTCCATAGCAGCTGAGTAATTTGTGTACTTGGATCTCTTCAGTTGAGGTATATTGTCCAATGGAGCCCCAGCTTTACCTCCAAAATATTTAATAGTGACTGGAGGAGAATCTGAAGCCAGTGACACTGCATCTCGTAGCGGCTCCCTATCAACACCCTCAATATCCTCATTGTCACTCTCCAGGACATTCTCATCTTCCTCCACCACACTTGCATGATGGTGGACATCAACATAGACTGGTCCTTCTTCATTTGCAAAGGGAAAATCTTCTTCTCCATAGTTGTCACCAAAATAATCCCCACCAAATGGCTGAGGATCTAATACGACATCTGAGTCAGGTGTGCCAGTCCATGTGGACCTATGGCCACGGGGTGCATTTCTGCGTATGGGTTGATGTACCAAATTATTGAGGGTATCATGCTCATGTTGACAGCATGGATCAGAGGACTTCTGGAGGTGTTGAAGGTAGGATCCTCTTCAAGGGAAATATTCATGGCAGCCTGTGCATTGAAACACCATAGTGGTTGCACTAAAAAATAGCGTACAGAGAAAAAGGCTAACTGAAAAGGAAAAGGCTGAGGAAATGTTATGGCCAACAAGGTTCAACAGACCCACAAGGTTCAAGTAACCCTGGTCGGTTCTTGAACTTGCCAACTAGCCTGTCGCATTTTTGCCTTTCTTCTTGTAACACCCACGCCCACCTCCATCAACATTCGTTTGGACCTGCCCACACCCACCTCTGTCAACATTCACTTGGAGCCCACCTCCATTGATGTTCACATAGACCAATATGGCTGTATGAAAGCAGTCGAAAGCTGCTACCGAACAGTTGAGGGAAACCCACAAGGCCAGAATGCGAGCCCAACTTGAAAATGTCTCTGTTGCAGATACAGCTGATAGTATGGAGTTAGATGAGCTCAGTACAGGATGATGTGAGGGCATATGATGTATACCTTTTATGATTAACACTGATAAAAAAATTTAACAGCAGCTTGTGCGGCAAAAACTGTAGTGCTGACAAGACCTGGTCAGTACCAATTCATACTAGCAGCAACAAGATATATACTCAGATGTTCCCAGATCACCCTATGAAACACAAACAAGTAAGAAAAGAGCCAGCCAACACAGAAGAACCAACCAGCACAGTACAAGCACCAGCATCATTGGTGAAGGGCAAGTGCAAACATGCTAATAGTGTGGTAGAAGGTCAGAGCAGAACTTAAGAGCCATAATTCTGTTTACCTTCAAGTTTGAACATAGTCCGGAAAGCATTGAATGTGAGCAAAGTTCAACCATCAGAGGCACTGCATCAGCATGAAGTTAAGAAGGTCAAGTTAACACCTAAGCTTAGTGAGCCCAATCAGTAATCCCATGAGACAATAACAACTAAAAATGGACAGGCAGGACTTATTCTGCACCAAATCCACTTCAAATCTTTGGTAAAAAGCGCAGCAATCCCAAGGTCAAGAATGGTACTGCTGAATCAGATCCTGGAGACCTAGATGAAGATGGTGAAGACTGTGATGAACAAGATAGCCTAGATGATGAGGATGAGGATGAAGAACTTGTGGATCTTGCTGTTGAAAATTTTGGTGAAGAAGTTTGTGACAAGTATCACTTGTAGCATGTGCTTAGATCGCTAACCTGGAGTCCTGGACAGGGAGTGCAATGGAACCAGAAGAGTACATCAAATCAAGTCAACACAGCACTTGACGATGAGTCAGAGGACGAACAAGACTCAATGGGGCTCGAGAAAGCAACTAAAATTGTATGTGCAACTCACACTTGGGATATCACTTGACGTATTGACTGTGGCTGCAGCACAAGTCAAAGAGTACTACATGAGAGAAGAAACTCCAGGATGAGGTTAGCTATCCAAAGCTCACTGACAGTTGCACTCGCTTTTTTTTTGTCTACTAGATGCCACATTTCGCTGATGACACAGAGCAGAAGCCTCTTACCACACTCGTGGTCAGTTCAGGTGCCTCAGATACTGCAAGCCTCAACAGAACTACCAGTGTGTGGTTGCCAGACATGGATCTACAGGTGACTGTTCGCGGGAACTCTCCGTTTATCTCCATCAAACTGCAGTCGGAGAAGGTCTGCAAGGTTGTTCATGGAAGCTATGAATGAGGTCAATGCATGTTTGCATTTGGCCTGGAGGATGATGTTGATCTCACCATTGACAATGTCTTTGCAATGACCACTGCATTCGCAACTTGTGGTACTGAGACACTGGCCTATGAAGCTCTCATCGAGTCAGCTGATCATGAAGGTTATACCAGGGACAATGACATGGCTGAATGCCTTCTTAGTGACTCGTGGGCTCAGTATGCCAAGCTGCTCATAGATTATGTGAGTTCTATCAGTGTATAATTGTATTTTAAAAAAATTCATGACTGCACTTCAGACTACATGCCGCATTCACCTCTGCTGCAATCAGTTTAAGAAGGCAGTCAGTGTAGTTGTCACAAGTGTTCTCAATCTTGCGACAAATTCCGCAGCTCAGAACTCGTTGCTCTTAGAAGACATCAACTATATCTACCCTTGGTCAGTAAAGGTACGGTGTGCATGTGACATCTGCACAACCTCGAATAATTTTTTTTCTTTCAGAAAAACAAGTATGAAACCTCAAAGCCATTCCAGGCTGAAGTGATCAAAGAGGGTGTTCAAGCCGGCTTCTTCGTTGCCAACCAATATGACGATCTTGGCATCAAATTTTCTTACCTACTTTCATCTTCACTCTCCACAGCTCCAGATGAGTTGGAGGTTGTCAACCACATGATAGCCAGTGTTGCTACTGCAGTTTGTAAAGTTTGTTATTTGTTGCTGCCTCAGCTGACATGCACAATCTTAGGTTGAAGCTTGTATCCTGGATTTTACCATTGGAAAGAGCAGCAAATTTGTTGGGCCGAGTCACGACAACACATTCAAAGCACACATGCTCCTCCTCCTCACTATGAAGCAGAAGAAGCCACTTGAGTATCACAAGCTAACTCACAGCATCTATCGTGCTGTTATGTATGCAATTTTTAGATCTTTTGTTCCAATTTCCAACTAATCTCTTTCCATTATAGTGGCATGCACAGTGTTGGGTCTGCCTGACTTTTGAAAGAGCAAATCATTGCACAGGTTGACTGGGCCAACATGGGTGGCAAGTCTGATTAGGTTTATTTGATTCGCCAGCTTCTTTCTATCTACTATTACTTCTAGTACCACTAATCTGTTCTTCATGTTCTAGTGGGATTTTTCCGCTACCTCTGATACACTTGTTGACTGGCCACACAATTCTCTATGATCATTACCATTTGGTTACCATATCATATATTGAGTCTGGATGACAATATAATATTTTTTATTTACATCAGTGTGATATTCAATGGTTGTGAATGGTGCCGGATGCTACAAACATTTCGCGTTTTTTCGCGTTTTCCTCCACTTTACTGTGATGGTGTCAATGGGGGACTGCGGTTTACTATGTAAATGTCAGTAATGTGAGATATCGTGATAAAACTTGGTAAAATACAATAAAACATAGCAATCCACACAATTTTTGTGTCATTTCCAGGTAATACACAGGGGAGGTTTTTCCTGATGGAGAGGGAATTACAAGGGGTTTCATAAGATAGAAAAGAAAAGCCAAACCTAGAAGAAGCTTGCGGTCAGACATTTAGGCAGGTGAATTGAGAAATATTAGAAAAATGCATACCTTTGTGAGCTTCTGCCCTTTGGATAAAATATCAAGACAAGACTGCAGACCCTTCAAACACCACTGCCATTCAAGCCAGGAAAGGAGGTGACAATTCCAGAAAGTATGGAATTTATGGTTGAGCGCATCATCCCGTGGATTTGGAGCACATGAGAGATGGTTAGTCCAGTTTTGACAGGCATACTTGAGAGTGTCGGAAGTTAATCAACTTTTTTGCTGTGCTTTATGTGTGAAAGTCATGAAGGTGCTCATAGCATGGATAATCTCCCTATTTGGCAGATAACATGTTGATGATGTAAAGGTGGAATGATGCTGGTGGCTTAATGCCGGGAACGCCGGCAGCATTAAGAAATCCAGCAAGGTTTTGAACTGCTGGATAACTTGGAAGGATAGCAGTAAAGGAAATTCTGGAACAGTTGTATATTTGTTGATTGCTTCCAGTGTGCTTGAGAATTCTTCCATCATCACCCAGAAAGATGCTGCGGGAGTGGATTGCCATGCTTGGCCATGGGGCATCTGTAGCCAGTCTTGTCCTTGCCAGGTCTTGAGCCAGTCTCATGCTCCTTGGGTCTGGAGCCAATCTTGTGCTCCCTGGGTCTGCAACCAATCTTGTGCTCCCTGGGTCTGCAGCCAGTCTCTTCCTCGCTGGGTCTACAGCCAGTCTCATGCCCCCCAGGTCTGTAGCCAGTCCCATGCTCCCTGGGTCTGCAGCCAGTCCTGTCCTCCCTGGGTCTGCAGCTAGTCTCATCCTCCCCAGGTCTGCAGCCAGACTCATCCTCCCTCAGTCTGCAACCAGTCTCCTCCTCCCCAGGTCTGTAGCCACTCTCCTCCTCCCCAGGTCTGCAACCAGTCTTGTCCTCTCCATGTTTGCAGCCAGTCTCATCCTCCCTGGGTCAGCAGCTGGTTATGTACCCACCAGGTCCATGGTTGGTCATCTAGCATCTCTGACGAGGGCAACCCATTTGAAGTTGACACATTGTGCAATTCCAGCATCAAGGTTTCATTGAAGTCTAATTCTGCCTTGGTCTGCAGCCAGTCTTGTCCCTCCTGGGTCTTCTACCACCTTTCTCCTCCTTCAGTGCATAGCCAGTCAGACTCTACATGTGTCTGCAGCCAGGAAATCCTGCCCTTGGTCCCCAGCCAAAATCGTAAATCTGAAGTGTGATCTCCCCAAAGCCATAGTATACCAATAAGGACCAATAGTGGCTCTGGTGGCTGAACAAGGAATGCTAATGAGTTTTTTAATCTTTTGGGGTCCTCATGTTGTATGGCTTGGCTTTCCTTCTTCAATTCTAAGAGCGTATTGAAGAGGTCTGTGCTTTCAGGAATCTCTTTCATTATCAAGTGAAGAGAGGAATCAGCAAGTAGTGAATGGGGTGATGGCATATCGTGGACTTCAGGGAGGCTGCAGTTTGAGGGGTCAGAGACATAGTCATGAATGGACAAGTGATATACATTCACAGGGAGACTGGTGTCAGTAGGAATATTCATGACAGACCATAGCTGCACTAGCATTGCCTCGGCATCACAGCCCTGACCAGGGCCAAGAAGTTTTGAGATTTGTGACAGTGGCAGAGGATTAGCAAGTGCAGTGACAATGGACAAGTGCAGGTATGCCCACTGGGGGTCAGCACACATTGAGAGGATATGGTCATATAACTTGTACACCTCCATTCCTGCTAGCAGCTCACTTGTTAGTTTGAGCATCAGCTGTAGCCAATTGCAGGGATCCTTGTATCCATTGTCAACAATAAACTTCATCATCGTAGACACCATGATGAAACATCTGCCAGCTCGGCTCACCAGTTTGGCAAGGTTGCCCCCTGATGGCTGCAGGAAATCAGGATGGTGGCATTGCAGCTCTCCAAATGAATGTTGCAAAAATATATAGATGTCATTGTTGACATCAGCACTGTCTAATGAGATGATGGTAGCAGGGCCCTCCCCAGAAGTCTTCACTGGTATCTCACACACCAGCAGGTGCACCTCTTTGTTCTGAAAGGCTTTAGAAATATGTGATTCCAAGCAACTCATGAGCAGAATGTGGGTAATGGGAAGATCAGGGTCACAAAGAGCCTGTGCAAGGGAAAAGATGAGATCAGTAAGCTCAGTGTGGGAAACATAACAAGAAGAGAACTGGAAAGTAGACTTCTAATGTTGGGCTAAATGTGCTATGCCTAGCTGCTATTCAACCCTAAAGGGTTTCTGGACTAAGCTCAGTGCTCAGAGAGGATAGGAAATCATGCTAATAACTCTCAGTCTCAGACTGGTGCTGGTAGGTGGTGAAAACTATGATGATTACATAAGCACCAAAAGTGCGAACATAACACTAAGCAATATCTGCCTATACAAGCCCACAGAATATGAAATCCCTACATCGGGTTCAGATGTGCATTCATCAAGGACATCAATCACAAATGATAGAGGTGGACATCTGTGCAATCTGAGTTGAAGTTTCCAGAGGGGCTGGAGAAAGAGAGCCTCCATCTGGTCACAGAGAGGTGTGTCTGGGTCTAGTAAAGCAGGATTGTCACAGATAGTTCTGTTCACATCCTTCTGGATGCTGGGGAAATTGGTGGCAAACTGGTAGACAAGCATCATGAAGAAATATCCAGCTGTGCAGCATTTGGTGTGCTTGCACGAGAAAAAGAACATCCCTGCTAGCTGCTTTTCAATGTTTGTCTCTTCAGTCACTTTTATACCTCTCATCCTCTCAGCTACTGTGAATGCAACAGCAGACTTTCCAATGCCAGCTGTGCCATGCAGCCAAATGAGGTGATTCTTCTCTGTGTCATCCAGGAATCCATAAATGTATTTGAGGAGATCCTCCTGGGTCCCTTGCAAACATTTTGGGTGGGGCTGATGTTCATGGGAGTTATATTGAGCACCCTTTACAGCAACCTCAGACAGCTTCACCCAAATTCCTTGAAAGACTGTCAAAGAGGTTAGAGAGTATGTGAGAGATAAGAAATGGAAGTACTGACAATGATCATCACTCATTGACAAAGGTTGTGATATGCAATAAACCAATTGAAAGTACTAGCTGTGTTTGAGGGCATGGTTGGAAATAATCTTGGCAATAGTTATCTAGAGGGACAACATACAAAGATTTGAATCAAAGCTTGTCAGTTGTGACAAGACTTGGGTCACGGAACAATTCAACTGTCAATTGATGGAGAGTTTGGGCATAATGAAAATGGGATGGACAGATGGATATTTCAATATATTCTGCTATGGAAAGCTCATTGAACGGTTGTGGAATACAGTTGAAGGATGAGAAAGCACTCGCTGTCCAGTGCTTGCAGGAGGACACAAGGCTGCTGTGCAGCCACAGTGAGGCCTGACTAGTGCACAGCCAGCCATACATCTGACCAGTAGGCCACCCCCAACTGGAGAGATTTGTGTCGATGTCACCTGCATCCAGTCCCAACTTGAACTAAATCTAACAATCACAGTTGACTGGTTGTATCACTCACCGAGTCTGTAGCACATGAGTAACCGCCATCGTATTTAACAGACTCCACTTTCATTAACATTGTAGCTAATATTGTATCAGGTATATATGTTATGGTCCTCAACCAGAGTTACCAGACCCACCTATGTACATTCAGGGGTCCTGTTGAGGCTCATCTTCCATCCCAATAAAATTGAACTATCACTGGCAACATACCCACCATTCACATCCCATTCTTCCAACAGAACATTGCTGCAGTACATAAATGGTTTGGGGCACCCAATATCATCTAGTCACAGCAACTTGTGGGGAAATATCAGCGTCACTGGGGCAGTGTCAGAGTATCATTCAAACGGCCTTTGATGCAAATGATAACTAGTAATTGACCTAGGGTAATCGGATGTCCTTGTTATTGTCAACAAATCTCATCATATACAATTCAGGTATCATTTAATATGCTGCTTCTGGTACAGGCAGAGTATAAAGGCAGAGGTGTTGTAGTGCATTTTCACAAGCTCTTGTTTCATTAGCTGAGAGCCCCCACTCAACTCCCTGATCTTGTAGGGTGTCTACTTGAAATATGTGAAGATTTAACCATCATGACCAATGATTCTCACTTGATCAATAGAATAGGATATTTTGTTAGGTCCATCAAGTTCTCAATCAAAGGTCTGGCTGTTCACGAAGTCTTCCAAAAGGGTGCCATGCTCGATCCCCACAAGTTTCCAATCATGTTTCTTCAAGCAACCTGTTCTCTCGATCCTGGCGACACGTTGATACCTGGAGACTTAGTATCAACCAATCATGAAAGACTGGAACACTGCATCTGTTGTCTTGGAGAAAACACCGCCTATCTTTATCCGTGTCTTGTGGTTTATACGATTACTATTGACCCCTAATCAACGGATGAGCATCTCCCCCATCTCAATGCACCACAATCGGTTTATCGTCTCGTATTGCGCGGTACGTCCTCCTTCTGTGCCACCAAAGGGGTGAGCTACTAAGTAGGCGACGTGAAATATAGACGACTAGCACATTCACCTTTAATGACGGCGCTGATCCTTGGCGATGATCAGATCCAACTCGGGCGGACGTCGTGGGCCCCTAAATTCATATACCCAGCCCTCCTGACAATGTTGCCAAAACTAGCAGACATGAAAACGAGAACCATTCCACGACTGACTGCGCGATTTAGAATTCTCACTTGATAAGCTGTTGCGTACATGCCTTGCTATGAGATATACATAGTAGAGACTATCGACTCTCGAGGACTGTTGCATTTACTATTTTCAAGTTACTCTGGCTCGCCTAAGAAATTTACCATTGTGCCAAGCACATTATTTTAAACAAGGACCCCGGAACACAGGGAGATCGCAAAAGTCAGTGTTCGGAGTTCGCCGGACGCTTTCCCCTTGAATTCTGTCGACGACCTCACTGACAACCTCCATTCTTTTTGCACAACAATGAGCTCTCACGACAACGAGGAACTTATCGATTATGAGGATGAGCATGACGTTATCCCTAATGGCGCAGTCCCAGCTACTTCTACCAATGGAGCAGCGGCGTCAGCAGTGGACGGCGAGGGCGACAAAGACAAGAAAAACTTTTCTGGAATACATTCAACTGGCTTCAGGTTCGTTTCTTCTCTGTGTTTTCACAAACCATGTTCATCTTGTGGATTGTCTCCTTTTTTACAGGGATTTCTTGTTGAAACCTGAACTTCTAAGAGCCATTAGTGACTTGGGTTTTGAACACCCCTCAGAAGGTATACTTTAGTAGCGTTCAGAATGGTGCTCTCAACTTACCAAACTCTTTTAACAGTCCAACAAGAATGTATACCTCAGGCTGTTTTGGGAATGGACGTCCTCTGCCAAGCAAAGTCAGGGCATGGCAAGACAGCAGTTTTCGTGCTCGCGACTCTACAACAACTGGAGCCTGTCAACGGCGAAGTTTCCGTCATTGTCCTTTGCCATACCCGCGAGCTCGCTTTCCAAATAAAAAACGAGTATACGCGCTTTGCCAAATATATGCCCGACGTGCGGGTGGGCACGTTTTATGGCGGCACCCCTGTTCAAAAAGATGCGGAGATCCTCCGTGACAAGACCCGGTGTCCCCACATCGTTGTGGCCACTCCCGGACGACTCAATGCTCTTACGAGAGAAAAAGTTTTGGATGCGAAGAACGTCAAACACTTCACTTTGGACGAGTGCGATAAAATGCTGGAACAGCTCGGTTAGTCTCATCCTGCAATTCGATTTCGGCTACAATTCCAACCGCGCCTCTCCGTTGTTCTTTGTTTGATTCGCAGACATGCGTCGAGATGTCCAAGAAATCTTCCGTGCAACACCTCACCACAAACAGGTGATGATGTTCAGCGCTACGCTAGCAAAAGAAATCAGGATCACATGCAAGAAATTCATGGCAAATGTATGTCATGCACTCTTTGTGGTGGACTTCTCGTTGATGCTTGCTGCAGCCTTTGGAGATCTTCGTTGATGACGAGACGAAGTTGACGCTGCACGGATTGCAACAACATTACGTGAAGCTTGATGAGAATGCGAAGAACCGGAAGTTGAACGAGCTACTCGATGTCCTAGAGTTCAACCAGGTACGACCTATCTTCCCTGACAAGACTTGTTCTATTAACGATTTTCAGGTGGTCATCTTCGTCAAATCTGTCGCAAGAGCCGTTGAGCTGGACAAGCTCCTAGTGTCATGTAATTTCCCCAGTATCAGCATACATTCGGGCTTGGCTCAAGAGGAGCGGTGAGTAATTTCCAATGGCCTTCGGCACTCCGCACTAAATACTTGTAGCATAAATCGTTACACTGCCTTTAAGGCCTTCGAAAAGCGTATCCTCGTCGCAACCGACATATTCGGTCGTGGCATTGATGTCGAGCGTGTCAATATCGTGATCAACTACGACTGCCCACCAGACGCCGACAGTTATCTCCACCGTGTCGGTCGTGCAGGTCGCTTCGGAACGAAGGGTCTAGCTATCACGTTCCAATCCAGTGAGGCAGATCAGCAAGTCATGTCTGCTATCCAATCACGGTTTGAGGTCGCCGTGCCTGAGCTTCCTGATCACATTGACCCCGCTAGTTACAGTAAGTGCCTAGCGTTCATATTTCTTTGACCTTGAACTAATGCTATCTTTTTTTTCTCCAGTGACGTCGTAGTTTTATTTGCGCTTATCCCTTATTGATACTGTTGTTTTCTCATAGCCTCTTCCCAAACACCCCGTGATTGTCAAGCATATGTATGTAATGTTATATTAGCGGGTCGTCGATTGCATCATTGTGCTTCTTGTTCTCCACTATCCAGTTCGAAGTTCAGTGCAAGTTATCAACGCCTCAAGCGCCCTACGTTGGCGCAGATTCTAAGTTTTCAATGAAACAAGAGGAATTACCTCGTAAACTACGATATATCATCGCCATAGACGTCAGCTGCGATACATAAAAATCACTATCCAAAAACACGTTTCATCGTAACAGTTACACAGCGACGCGCGACCTTTCGCGTGGACCTCGTTGTCACAACCCTGGTTTCTAAGCCTGTAGTGCTACTCTCGCTTCTTAGTCAAGATACGGCTAATGTGCTCCAATACCTCTTTCCACTTGGCCTCTCGTGTCACTCGGTCAGGACCCCTCGATAGCAAGGACTCGACGCTGAATTCTCCCAAGCACGGCAAGACTGCCGAAAGTGAGATGGCGACCTGCAATGGTTGTTTGATCGGAGAGAATCCAACATGAAAACTGGTGATATTTGTGTTGCAAACCCTACGTCCTAATTTCTCAGCCGTAGGCAAATCTACCTTCGTAGCGTCGAATACCAAACCGAGATTTCTGAGATTGGGGCAGGCAGAAAGTAAGGCCACAAGACCCCGAAAGGTGATTTTGGGTGGTGTCCGCCAGAAACATTTGGTCCCAAGGTAAAGACACTCGAGGCGTGGCCAGGACTTGACGATAGAACCAAGGGCATCATCATCAAGCAAAGACATACAAAATGCCGAAAGATCAACTGCTTTGAGACCGGAGAAGCGCATGAGGGGAGTGAATGTTTGGAGGGTGAACGCGTTGTCGATATGGTCAGCAGGGTCGAGTACCACGTCTAGTAGGATATGCTCCAGAACATCGAAAAGTAGACGGTTGTCCAACATGTGCAGGGCACGTTCGACGGCAGCAGCTGATCCAGGAAAGGCAGGAATGAGCTGCAGCTGTCTGCATGGAACAACCCACCCCTCTACTTCATTTGCACTCGAGATCAAACTAAACGAGCGGACGACCAGTGTGTCAAGGTAAGAGGTACGAAATTGAGATCTGAGGGGAGGGAGAATTCCAGCAAAGGTGATCCGCAACTCTTGAAGACTAACGAGACGAGATAGCCAGGACAAATCTCCGCAGCTTGGCAAGACAAGAGTTGCCTTCCGCAAGTGCGTGAGCCCACAAAGAGCAAGCTCGCTGACTTGAGGACATATTGCATATGGTCCGACAAATTCGACGACTTCCAATTGTGGTGAATGCCTGCCGAGACCTGATAACACCGAAGGCATGACGTTGGACCAAAACCCTTCTGTCGGCGGAACCAGCAACAGATAAATGAGGTTGGGACCCAGGAGGTAACGTATACACGAATGAAGAACATGAGGACATCCTTTGCAGTAGAGTATTCGAAGGTTGGGCACCAACAGTGACTGTGAACAAAAACCCATCATGGCGTAGACAAACTCCGCATCTATGCCTCCGAAAAGATCTGAATCCGTGTTTCCTAGAATTCTCACCCGAGGCGCATACTGCTCGAAGACCAACCAATCTGCTGCGGTTACAGGTCTCTGTATGAGCTAACAGTGACACCATAGAAGGAATTAGCATGATGGGTTAGAGTCGCGGCGTATATACAGTACATACAAGCTTCCGATCGCCAGTCATGGTCCATAAATCTCGTGGAAGACAAGCGAAAAGCGGTTCCAAATTATCCAGCTTGACCCATAACGCGTCCAAAGCCATATCTTTGAAGGAACGGCAAACCCGGGAGAGAGCAGCTAGAGAACGTCGCGCGACCTGTTGATAGTAGCGATCTCCAAATTTTGCTAAAGAACCGTCGGTGCCGTAGACAATGATATTGGCGAAAATGAGTTTTACGATCTCTGGAATGAGCAGGCATGCATGCATGGAGTATTCGATTGTGCGATGCTGTGAGTAGCTGACAGCCTGAAAAGACAACCGTGGAGGAGTGCAATCAACTTAAAGGTCTGTTGCATGAGACACGCTTTATACTTATCATGATTTACCGTTGAGCAATCACGAAATTCGAATATCGATGAATTGATGGATAACGGAGCTTGCCTCGAGCTTAGACCATTATCATGATACAGATGGATTCACAGCCTAGGTCCTGGGCTGCCACGGCCGTGCAGGCCCCAAGTTGAAGAAGAGAAGAAGGATACCCGGCTAAATCCTTCACTCTCCTGTTCTGTATGTGGAGTAGCGCCCACGTTTGACCCACGTGCCGTCCAACATCTTCATTGACCCTTATCGTTCCAGCCATACACGATACTGTGAATTCATCTGGTAACAACTAGGCGTAACTGACCATAACGACCCAACGTGAGCGATGTTTCAGATTCTAGTGTCAGAATCTAGAAACATCGCTCACGTTCCACAGCACGGTACTTCACTGCAAATATCACAGATCTATATCCATCTCCTGCTCTCCTTCGTCTTCGTCATTTGCAAATCCCTTCCGCTTCAAGTGCGGATGGCAAAGCTCCCTCTCCTCAGCAGTCGCTTCAACGTCGTCTTCATTCCAATCGCTCGTTGCCTCCCACTCATTCTCAAACTCTATATCCAACGCCAGCTCGGCGTTTTCTGTATCGCTTAGCGGCAAGAAACTCGTAAGTGTGAATGTCGAATAAGACGGGACTGCAGAGCCAGAGTGAGGCTGCGCCTGAACCCACCGTCGTTCCCGAAGGCGTTTATGTCGCTCTCGGTCCTCTTCGATACGCTTGAATATTTCGCCGCGAGAGAGATGAGGCTCAGATTTTGCTGCTGAAGGTGTCGCAGATGTTGAGGTCGCATCTGGTGCTGAATCTCTGGAAGAGAGCAGCGATAGGACTTCGTCAACTTTTTGAGGTTCTATTATTCGTTTTGTGCGCCAGTTTTCCAGGATCTGTAAGTTTGTGGATTAAACAAGTACCAACGCAGGGGCTAGTGTAGGCGCACCTGTTTGGTACTTGGTAGATTAGGTAGCCCTTGCCTACCCACAGGCACAACGCATTCCACAATCTGCGTCAGATCCCGCGAGACGTAGTCGACATACAATGCGTTGTTGACTTGTCTACTTCTAGTACAGTGCCATCGTTCAAGGTCGAGTTACCAAGTATGATGGAACTCACGATGAAGACGACTGTTCTGGGAGTTGATGCGCCTTCGCCAGTAGCGACGTTTCACAAAGGGAGTCAAGAAAGTAAAGAATATTTATGCGGTGATTGATGGAACCCTGCACTTGGCGTCAGATATTATCTCATAACAGAGAGACAAAGGCACGCTGCATCGGCGATGAGATGATATCAAGAATCACACTCACCTTTTGACACTCCTCAATAATGCACTCCCACAGATCCTCCCCACATTTCGAAAAATACTTTAACGCAAATCCAACGACTTTCTGTATCGATTGTTGTGAGCTGCTCGCCATAATCAATGCAAACCCATCGCATGCATTGAATTGAACGTCAGGCAGACGTAAGTTGTGGTAGTGAGATGTACATGAGCGGGTGATGGACGAAGAGAATCTGACGACTTACGCATTCAGCTTGCGAATGAGCCCGAGGAACTGCATTCTCACTTCGAATGGATCATGCATGGTTGCAACGTTTAATGTTGCTGACAACGTTGAAATATTCAGGAATCACAACACACGCTTAAGTGTTGTTGTCGCCAATGACGATGCGCCTATGGAAGTTGTGGCTGACGTGAAATACTGGACTTATTGTTGTCAGATATGATGTCGAGCGCAACGCGGCAAATCCCGTTCGAATTCTGCACAACAAGTACTAGTGAGGGGTGACTACATTTCACTGTCCTTAAACGGTCCAGATAACAATTCATAGTATGCTATCCTCGCCGCATCATCGTGGGACCCTGCCCGTACTTTTTCATCTCTCCCCCTACATACATCGATGCCCTCGACAACCCGAGCCTCCCCTTGCTGTCTAGCCCCCCTCACGAGCTCGGATGTACGCGGTAGCCGAAGATCTTGGTAATCTATGAAGACTTGCGACAACAACTCTGTTGAAGGCTGGCTAGCAGAAGGGTTGTATTTCTTCAAAAGTCGCATAATATGGTAAACGTCTTCGAACGCTTGATTGGCACCTTGTCCCAGATGCTAGGTACGATGATATCAATCAGCGCCATGGAACTCGATGATAAAACTACATACCGGACTCGTGGGGTGAGCTGCATCGCCCAAAAGAACGATTCTTCCCTTAAACCACGACTTGAGTTCAGGTCGGTCGTAGAGGCCATACTGCCAGCAAGCCATTCAATGTTTCAGAGAACTGAAAGTTTGTCGCGAGAGTGAACCGACCTTTACGATCTTTTGGCCGGTCTTGACCAAATCTCCCGCCCCGTACCCCCAATCAGATAGGGGTCCTCTTCGGATTTCGTTCTGTTGTTCTACGTGTTGTGTTTTCCAATCCTCCTTGGCCTCAGCTTCCCGAGTAGTGATCCTGAGTCCCAAGATAATCAGAACCATAAACAGTAATTGAAATGATACTCACGCCCATGAATGCTTGTCCTCCGCAACAGGGTACGAAACCATATGGCGACCATTCCCGTAATTATTCGCAAACTTTCCCTGAAGAACAGGTGGTGTTGGAGACATCCCACCGAACTGCAAATCACGTTCATATCAGCCTGCGTCTCAGGACCGTCACCAAAAACAAGCGCACCTGCACCAATCCAGTGAAGTTTGCCTTTTCTTTTCCAAAGAGTGCAATTCGGGTATTGCTATGCAGCCCGTCGCAGCCTACGACAAAGCTCGCCGTGTCCTTGATGCCATTCGCGAACATGACTTCTACTGTGTCCTCGCTTTGCTCAAACACAACTGCCTGGTGGCCCCATTTGATCTCAATACCGTGCTTCTCGGCTGTGTCGATCAAAAGCCGATGAAACTCTGCACGCCGAACTCCGATCAAGGGGAAACCAAAGTGTTCTCGCATCGTATCTGGACGAAATATCGTTGTCGATGAGAATGTCTTCCTTTCCATCCAAGGAGGAACAGTGAATCATCCTTTCTGGAGAATGGCCAGGGATCTGTTCAATGAGGCCGGGGATGAGCGATAGGACACGGAGACCGTTAGGCTGCAACCTGCAAACGTTGTTCAGTGCGACACTGGTAATGAAGAAGATGTGTGCGTGCTCACATGAAGCTGAGTCCACCCTCTCCTGGACTCGGGAGTCTTTCGTATATGATAGGATCATAGCCTTTAGTCTTCAAGAAGATCGCAAGAACGGGACCAGCGATGCCAGCACCCACTACTATGACTCTAGTTCTCGACATCTGTACAAGTGATCAGGTAGGAATGAACTGTGTAGTTTGCTCGTATACGGACGTTGGAGCAAGAAGAGGCCCCTTTGCACACATTTTATATACCAGTACTATCCCAATCGGAGAAGTCAGCAATATCACGTAAATCAAACAGTGGGTGACTTTCCGCAGCATGTAGAATCCTAGATACTCGTTTCATCAAATATTATTTGTCGGAGATTCGGCTCATGCTTGGAGTCACAACACATCCGTGTCCAAACCGCAGACTATCTAGCTAGATGCTAAATACAAGTTGTGAACCTAAAGATGGACGACGACAACACGGATCTATATCACACGCTTGAGGTGACGGAGGATGAGATAGATGAATTCTGGAGGATAGCTGCAGCACCCTGGCAAGCATGTACTTGGCTCGCAATGACGCAAACATAGCAGTCGACATTCCACCCGTTGTCAATGCAAGTGTCGACATCGTCGCGGTGTTTTAAAACGAGCAAGTCTAGAACACGATTTGGAACTCAGTCAGTCAGTTTGACCTACGGACTTGCAAAAGACTGGCATTTGACAGCGGCAGCTGATGAACGCGTCTAAATGCCGCGGGAAGCAGAGCTCTAGAGCTCCAGACCGCAGGGTTCGATTGGTATTCGCTTATAAGCGAGCGAGTACAATATCTGTTAGTAGACATGTCGAAATACGAGGACGATCATATGTGAGTGCTAGTTGCGGGTACAGCTGGATCAGCATAGAATTGATAAAATATTCAGCACCACTACAGAGTCGTCACGGTACATATCGGCAGGTGAGTACTTCGGTACTCAAAGTTTCAACCATCTCAATCAATTCTGCTTCAATCGTACTTCGTAATGTGCTACATTAGAGAGGAAATGATATCTATGTTAAGAATTTTATGTTTAAGTAGCTAAAAATACGAGTTTTGTGAAAGTGCCTGCTGTGGTGTGCAATCTGCACCGAAGGGGGCAGTAGCCAACTCGTGCTGACAACAACGCCTGCGCGCCGCACAGGTACCAGGAAAAGACTAGGCCGCTGGATAAAATAGGGGTACAGCTAGATCCGCGTAGAATTGATTATTCAGCGGCGCTGCTCGGCGGTGTGTAGAGTCTCATATAGATACTAGTGCCACATACCAGATACTTTGGGGGTCATTAATTCATTAGCTGACCACTAGTCACTAATAAATTGCGACTTGAGTAAACTTCCGACGTGACCATCATAAGCTGGCGAGTTGTGCCTGCGACGGAACAATTATCTCTTCCTTATCTCAAACTGAATATTCGAACGGTCGTCTGATTGCTCCGCAGCGCTCGTAATCTCTGGTACAGTGGCACGCTTCCAGTTACGAGCGAGTACCATCGTACACCTCTCGAGTCTTGAGCATGCATACGTCGCATAGCTACTAAACAGGTCCGCAATTTGTTACTCCGAGGGTGGAGTGGACTCTGGAGGACCCCTAGGCGAGAAGCGGAGTAGCAGCCGAGTAGCACCGTAGCTTAGTCAGCCACTCAGGTTTTGTCTGTGCTCTACACCACTTTGCCTTGCTCGCGACACGCAGGCATACAGTCGCGGATACACCGCTCCATCGATCAACGACTGAGTCGGATAAGACTTATCATAGAAGCATTCTATCAACTCCGAGCTAAGCTTTGTATAAAAGCAAAAGGCTGCGAAATGTGGGACTCCCTGGTGCTTCAGGGCACAAACTGCCTGATGCACTAGAAGCTGACGAAAGGCTCGCAGATTTTTGGTCTTCTGAATCAGTTTCCAAGACGATAATCGTTCCAGCCTTTCATACAAAAGGAATGCAGGGTACCTCACTCTGGGCGCATTATTAGGCTAGTCTGAGGTTCGGAGAGATATGGCCAAGTTTGATTGGAATTGCAGTCAAAACTTTGCAGCACTTGAAGAGGTTGAAACCCCCAGGTTAGCGCAGGCCTGGAGGTTGACATTGGTCTATGGCCCAACGCTTGGAAGAGATCTTACTATCGACCTATGTACTTCGCCCTCAATTGGTAATTTCATTCTTCTATCGCCCTTCTGGATCGCGCTATCTTTAAGCACTTCTACAGCTTCTGCCGCCCAGCTGGAGGTCATGGTGATGGAGGATGCTTTTCATAATCTGAAGCAATTTGGAATGTTCGATGCGATAAGGTCTGTTTGATCTCAATCCAGCAATCAATACCAATGTCTCCTAGGTCCAAATAGCTACTAGCATGCATGCAGGTCTTCATATGCTACTCCAAATTAGGTTTTTAACACTCATACGAGGCTCTAACTGGATCACTTCTTGACTACATGTGACCAACATGAGGTTCGAACAAGCTCTAGCCCGCCACTGGTGCTAGCACTGGATGTCGATATCAAACGTCGTTTATAATGTGCTCGGTTCAGCCTATCTAGAAAAGTGACAGTAAGCTGTGTTGTCTACTAGAAGCGCTTGTTCAAAATTGACATTCCTTTTCGCCGGGACGTTACAGTGACAGGGTTCGTTCCAGTTTTACGTCTAGCCTAGGTGTACAACGTCTTTATACGTGTGTATTCATCATGTTTTTTATTTTCTTTGTCTTCGGCAAGCGCTTCGAGTCTCCGCTATGCCTAGACTACTAATCTGGGGCCGAGATTAAGCTTCAGCGAGGTAGAGGGTCCGAGTCATCATATCTGCGCGACCCACGTATCTCAATCTGGCAAACTTCTTTGCACTTCATCCGAATGACCACCAGTATTCATGCAGGTCTCCTTAAGTTGTTGTCCACGAAATTCAGAAACGTAACCTGGACACTGATGAGCCCCCAATATCACTCTTTGACTGGCTGCAACAATTCTTTCTAGACTTGCCAGTGGTGCCAGCATCAACATGCGGGTGGCATGCTATGGTTCGGCACGGCATAGACGGTCGCACTTGTTCAATCATCGTTAATTTTTTCTGGGACGCAATGACAGTGTTTGACTTCTATCTAGGGTCCTGAATGAGCGCTTGCTCCCCCTTCGCATAGAGCACGTGTTCTTCTGTGCTCGGTGGAAATGCCTGTAGCATCCTATTTTGACGTGCCAGATTCGCGTACGATTTATGTGCAGTAAATCATTCATGCGGAGTTCCATTCGTCCCTTATGACTACTGTTCACTGACTTTAACTTCCCACCCCACCTGCGAATAGTCCTTGATGGCAGTACAGAAGCTTCTGTTGGTGTTGACAATCCTCATCTCCACTTGCATATTCGCTCTTTGCTGGGGGTTCACGATTATAATTTGGCGTCTAAAATATGTGATTCTCCCCGACTCCGTCGTCAACCTCGTTACAAGATATCCTACTGTACTCACCCTCGTATCCACCGTGATATCCACGATTCTGTCAGTAATTACCACGTTGTAAGTTCAGATAGCTAGGTGTACGCAGTGATTCGCTGACATCTGCATCTGCATCCAGTCTTTTATCGTTCACTGTCAAAAAGGCAATCAACCATTATATTACTCGACCAATATCACTGGCCAAACTTCATACTGCAATAGCTCTCACCAAACCACAACCCCTTCTTCAATGGAATCATTACAAACTCTCAATTTTCACGTTGATTTTTGTCTGTTTGGTTACACTCCTCAATTCAAGGTTCGAAATTATGCTCACGAGCGCCATAACTGACACATACCCTGTCGCAGCTGGACGACATTACTATTGCCGACACTGCTTTTGTGGCCTGTACCGATCAGTGGCACAGATCTGGACCTCGCAAGCAGTGCCTTCGACGTGAAACTAGGTGATGATGACACTAATATGTCAGGAAGTAAGGACTGTGCTTCCTTGTTCATTAAGTGGTGCCTATTGATAACCCTATTGTAGATTATATGAATGGTTGCAATGTCCTCGAAATTATGGCGTCAATGAGCGGGACTTCAGCCACACGTTCAGCTGTTGCAGGCGGAAGTGATAGTGTCTTCGCCTTCAACGGTGTCTCGTACAACATATCCAGTGGTTCGCTCTGATGTAACAGCGTACCCAAATTAGGATCTCAATTTGTTCTCAGGCGGCGTCCTTCCGGCGGTCGAAGATTATGCAGGCACGAAATTGCCCCCTGGTGATATTGGTCTTGCGTACTACGGTGGAAAAGTCGCGGTCTATACATCGCTCGTCAAAGATCGGGGCCGTTCCGGACTCGCTAGAAATTATACAGTGACACAACAAGGTCTTTCGGCGATTGTTACCTGCAGTGACCTAAGTGACCTTGACCCAAACAAGTTCTCGCTGAACTTTACAAGTACCAATTCGTCAACTACAGCTTGGTGGCAAGGGACAGCTTCTTGTCCTCTCGGCAGTACGTCTGCACGGTCCACCTGTATCTGACGCGGCCTGGCGTTGTTTGTCAGCGGGTGTCGGCAATTGGTCAACGGCGGTGGATGAAGGTATTGGTTTTCTCGGTATTGTTGTCTGTCCCACTCCGGTATTCGTGAATGGTAGAGCCACGTCATTCGGTAGGCGAGTTCAACGTTGAGAAGTCTAAATGTTGATCGTCGCTACTACCTTAGACATCCTCCTGCAGGGCATGGGATCATATAATTTGTTGGATGCAACAGTCTGCAATGTAGCACCATATGTGGCTTCGTTTGATGTGACATACAACCAGACAATGATCTCCGTTGATCAACATCAAACTCGTAACATCCAGCCACTCCAGAGCAACGTCACCGCCCTCATATCGGCCGTAGTGAACATGCTGTCTATATCTAGTCAGGCAACGTCTACTAACCCTCTGGCGCTGTTGCTGTTGCTTAGCAGTTTAGACCCCACCAGTTTGGTGAATGAAACCTTGGTGAGCAGCTTTTGCCACATTGAGAACGGCAAACAAATTGTCTTACTTTGTGAGTTTCACAGCAGAACTACTTCCGCGGTGTTGTAGAGTTTTCTGGCACAGTAAGTGAACGATCTCGTCTTACCCATCATTCTCAAGCGAGGACTGATATACTGTAGTACCTTCGTTCAGCCTACTCTGCAGAAGGTGCCAATGTGAGCTCAACAATGCAGGACTTGTACTCGGACAAAAATGCTTTCAAATCTCTGAATGGAACTATGTTCATCACGACCTACGGCTGGTACAGGGGACACCTTACATACATATATATTCTCGTCGTTTTCACGGTCATCTGGGCGGTCACTGTTTCAGCTGCGGCGTACAGTCTGATCCAGGAATGTACTCACCCACACACTGGTCCCACTTTTGATGCGTCGAACCCAGTCCATCTGATGATGGCATCTTCGGCGGGGGGACTAGAAACACTCACAAGATTTGAAAATAACGGAGCTTTGGAGAATGAGCGTACACGGGTGCGTCTTCTAGATGGTCGGGATGTGGTACCCGATGATGCAGTGGGAGAGAAGACATACGTTCGACCTACTAGATCGACAATGCCGCGGTTCGAGATTGTACCGTAAGTAAACGACCTACAGCTACTACTGTGCTATGAAATTTTTATGTGTCTTACTACCATGATCTGTACGCCCTGACCCGCCCTTATACCATGTGATTGTTTTTCCTTTCATCTGAAACTTACAGTCTTGGCTTCCGAGTTACTTGTAAAGCCTGGCCAGGCGTTCTTCATCACCGTCCTTAACACTGTAGCCGTGGGAACTATAGAATAATATAATTTAGTGCCTCAGTGCAGGGCCGAAGTTAGTACTTAGATAGCTCTTAGCTGATCAGGTTACCCACTCCTGGATGTGTGGGCCCCCACACCGGAAGGGATAATAGTCAATTCGCGCTGACAACAACGCCTGCGGCCCTGCGCGCTGCATAGGCACTTGGAAAAGGCCAAGCCGCTGCATAAACTTTACTTACTCAACGCATTCGGCCTAGGGAATAAGGTCGGTGATTGTTATTATCTATATAGTCTCTTGGGCCCATCCGGTACAATCGGTCATTTCAAGAAGCAGTTCGAATCATAAGGATAATAAATTATGTACATGATACGTACCATTCGTTAGCAACATGATATGGTTTGATCATGTGCTCACGATAGTCCCATTCCAGGTCAACGTCGCCGTATACATATAACGAGTCAACGGATTTGTGTTTACAGTTGCATGAAACACCATGAACCCACCATCAGGGCGTGGTGTCGCACCTCCAGGTGCCGTGAGGTTATCGTCACCAGTTACAAGCAACGGAGAGGAAGCCTTGGTGTATGGCCCGGAAATGGATGGCGCAGTTGCGTATGAGACGTCATAGAGATCGGTATTGTAGCAATTCGAGGAGAAGAAAAGCACGTAGCTATGGTGTTTGTAGTCAGTCCTGGATCCAAGTACATATTCAAGTTATATCGACTTACGTTCCGTTATGCAAGATAAGAGCTGGAGCCTCAATAAGGGGTCCATCGTATTGCCCTCTGTCCAAAATTTGGACCGGTTCCCCAGTAGGCGTGACACCGTCAGCCTCCATTTCCTGGAGCATGATGGGAGTAGAATATTCTCCGTTGGCATTCCCGCAAGGTCCACCTCCTCCAAGACTGCTCCCATCCACCTTGTACACTATATAGCGAGTACCGTTAGTATCCTGGAACCCTGCGGGGTCAATTGCACCACCGCCTGGAGTTTGACAGGCAATGGGCTGTGACTCCGGAGTGTACGGTCCGACAGGGGAGGTAGAAGTAGCAGCTGCTACGCAATGAGTACTTTGTGAAGTCGACCATGCGGCGTAGTCTGCAGACCATGCCTTAGTTCAATATCATCTGAGGTATATGAGATCGAGACTTACACATTACAAAAGTTCCATCCCCTCTGTCAATGACATCAGGTGCCCAAGTACTATTTACAGTTGCCCAAGACCCTACATTTGGGAGTGCATCAACACCAGACTGCAATTCCCAAGTTACGCCTCCATCAGGTGACGTTGCAACCTGAATGTTGATATTGCCGGAGTTGGTTGCAAATGCATAAGTACCCCCGCTGGTCGCAAGGATGGCAGGATCAGGAAAGTTGGCAGAAATAACAGGGCCATTGACTGTAGCCCAATTCAGAGGGAGGGCGGCCAAAAAAGTCAGGGCGAAAAAGGTCCTACTCAAGCTTGGCATTACTAAGGGGGGCAGAGGAAAGCTATTCCACGGAAGTCTGGTAACACCTATGGTGCAGGCTAATATAAAGAGGACTTACAGCTCCAGTGTCCACAGCATCTGGCGGTGCATCCAACGTCATTGGAGTAAGATTGCATCAAGCAGTGTAAGGTCGTTGGGAAATATATACCTTCGGCGATCACTTTTCCTGTGTCGGTTTCTTAGTCTCGAGGCAAATCCAGTGCTTGTCCACTGCAGGAGCAGAATGAAAGTGCTATCATGATCGCCGAGGATATAGCCACTGTTTTATGTTGACATGATAGATATCAAAACTCCAGAGATATTGTAGTCGCATGGCTTTAGGATCCAAGTTTCATCATTACATCATATGCTGACCTGTGTAGAACAGAAAAGCAAACCCACGAGCGTGTGATCAAATCGTTGCTGAAAACATTAGCTAAGAATGCACTGTTTGTACCAGCTCCTACACACTGACCTACGAACTGCATACTTCAACTCCATAACGGGGAAGAGTCAGTGATACTGATCTGAGAGTGCTGCCCGAGGATGAGCGCGCCACCAGAATGTAGGGACTTCAACGGCGTGTATTGAATGGGCCATGCCACCCTGGTTATCTCTCCATGGCATGTACCGGTGGCAGGTAGTACTATACATCGACTACCAAGCGCACATCTCGCCATGAGCAAGGTGGCAGAGAGAACTAGCCAAACAAATACCAAAGATGGTCATTTTCATTGGGCTGATTCCCCACTTTCCATAGTCTCCTGGTCTCGCTCATCATCTCCATAAATCCAGTCCCACTTGGACCACAACGCATTACAGTGATTTCATGCTGCGGTATAGCTACGTGCGAACTAATTAGCCTTCTTGGAAGGCAATATCAGTTGGATGTGTGCAGCCTGCAACAAAGGTGGCGCGTTCGGCTGTCGGGCAAGTTTCCGGAGGGAAGCTATAAGATATGCGCGCTAGTTTTTCCAGTTAAGCTGAAATACACGAGAGCTGCGAGACATTGGACTCACTAAATTCGGATCCAGCGTGGGCAATTTGCACCACTCCTCTATAAATTCAACATAGACATCAGCCATGCCAGAGGCGTTCGTGCTCCCGGCGCCAACAGCCGCGGAGAAAGACTCATTTGCAGCTTGAAGGGCGTCGATGAATTCTTCACCTTCGGCCATGACAGAATCATCGCTATTCTCCTGAGATGTAAGTTCTCGAAGTTTTCTTGTCGCCAGCATTTTCACCGCGTGAGGGTCGCCATGTAGTGTGTCTTTAAGAACACGATATAGATGATCAAGAAGGGCCGTGCGAAGGCGTTCTTGGCTAGGATATGAACGAATTAGGACCTCGAGAGCTGAAAATAAATTTATACTAGGCAGAGCTGTGGTCCAAACTCAATTTGAATCCTTATAGAGGAACGACAAACAGACCTTTTGCAGCACTCAAAATCACCGACTTGACGATAGCACCATCCATAATAGCTTGCCGTGCCCTCTCGCCTTCGTCACCTCCTTTCTCAGCTGCTATCTCTTCTGGGGTTAGTGGTGCCATATCTTCCTTGGCAGTTGTCTCCGCCTCAGCAATAGGGTGGTCTTCCTCATGAATTCCCAGCACAGTCCACCTTCGTCTCATCCCTTCAACGAAACCCATTTCCATTCGCACGTACTCTCTCCACATATCGACGCTCTCTGCATTGAGTCGAAGACCACGCTGAAGGAGGGCGCGTGCCGCAGAAGGGGACATGTGGTTAAGTTCGTGAGAGGCGGCGATGATATATAATGCAGGCGTTCTTGGATGGAGCTGGAGGGCCCTGTATGCACGGTTAAAACGGACTAACAATATTTTGAACTGGACGAACCTGGCTGTTATGCGCCCCACGAGTGAACGAGCCCCCTCACGTTTTGCGACTTGGATATATTGTATCCACAATCCTACGTCCGACTTGAATTTCTTGAGCGCACGTTCAAATATCTGAAATTGTCTGCGAACAAGAGCGTAATCCGATATTGACGACGCAGTCTTTTCCAGTTCTGAGGGCAAACCATAGAACAGTTAGCGGGTCGGAAGCCTTGAAATATGGATACGCTCAAGACATACTCAGTCTCTCCACGCGCTTCCGCCTCAGCTGCTCCAGATTCATCTCATACGCCGCGTATCGCAAGAAGTCACTCTTTTTTGGGATGCGACGGACAAGTGCGGTTTCGAACTGTGTACGTTTTTTTACGATCTGCTTGACCTCAGACTAGAAGCAAAGTTGGATGAGACTGGAGGGATATAGTATGAGACCCACACACTTGGTTGAACAAACTTTTTTGTACGAGGTCCTTGAGCTCTGCGAGCATCTAGGTTCCATTGGTCAAAAATCAAGCTTTTGAAGGGGTAACGAACCTGCTCCTGCTGAAATTGTACCCTCTCCATCCTTAATGTGTGGACGACAGTCTCTCAATGAAGCTATCAGTGCAAGTTCGATGGCAAGTCTGAAATGGAATAGAGAGTATACCTCCCTACGCGAAATGATCAAGATAATTTTATTCAAATAAATTAGCTATTACCATAAATGACTTATCAGAACAATATTATTTAATAGCCCCCTGGGTAGCACGAACATAATCATAGGCTACTATGTTACAAGTGCTTCTCAAGTTTCATTTGAAATCCTAGTTAACAGTACATGATCGATTAATCTTTCTCGCTGAACCTTTCATCCTAGCCAGCAGCCGTTCACCCTTTGTTCCACACTCGCCCAGGAAGGCTCCATACCCCTCCCCGCCTCACAACATCTGACATATAACCTGTCTCAACACCTGGAGAGGCTTCAACCCAAACGCCATTTCCCCCAACTACACTACTGGCATGCCCTCCCAACGTGACTCGTATTTCGATCAGCCCGTTCCTAGGCACATGCCTCGAAGAGGTGAGCACGATCATCGGGGGAGGGCATGTTTCGGGACCATGTGGCTGCTGCATAGGATCAGCAGAGGTTGAAAGATCCATACCGAGATCCATGTCCACACCCCCACCCATGCTCATGCTCAGTCCTGGAATGTCCATCTCCATCTCCAAGTCGCCCGGACCGAACAAACTTGCGCCACTGCTGGAACCTGCGCTTGCAGGAGGACCCATGCCAAGCCCGCCGTGATGTGATGTAAACGGATCGACCGGTTGGGACAATGCCGATAGAGCACTGGAGGGGAGATAGACATTCACTGGAATAGATTGCGGCGCGACCGTTCCTGCGAGGACCGAGGCGAGTAGAGTAGTTGATGCCGCGTCGTCTGGTTGCGTCCCTTGTTCTGCATTTGACGGTCGTTGAGGTGATTGCAGCACTTGGGTTTCGGGTGACCACTGGAGTATGTTCAGTGATTCGTTGAGCCAGCATTGTTCTCTAACAACCTGGAAGGTTATGTCCTAAGCATGACTTGACAGTTTAGTCGAGATGAAACTTGCCTCCAATACCTGCGAGATTTGTTTTACGCTCCTCACCGGAACTCTCTGCAAGATAAAGCCTGGTTCCAGAGGTGCTAGAAGGCGAAGATGTAACGGCGGATGGATGTCATTTGGTGATTTCTGGATCAATAGTCAGTGTGTGTTTGTACCTGCGCGTGTTCTACACACATAAGTTGCAGTGTAGTATTCTGCTGATGAATTTTTATTGACCTAGACGAGGTGCAAGTATCAACACACGCATATGCCTAGGGCTGTAGAGAAAAGTGACTGACCAATAAGTCAACCCAACTTCTACCAGTTCCTCCGCTTCCATTTGTCTGTGAAGACGCCACACCAAATTCTCCAAAGCTCATATTGCTCATGTTACCTAGACTCGACATTGAGTCAATGCCAGACATACTCCCCATTGAGATCAGGTCGATGGGTCGAGACTCGACAATTCCTTGAATTACACGCATGCGGTTCTGGCACATTACCACGCCATTCTGTGGTAGCTTAGCGGTGAAGTCGAGCACCCACATCTGCGAAGGGGCGGTCAGAAGCGTGTGATCTCCAGGGACATCGCTCGAGTTCATCTTGGACTTTGCTACTTCAGCGCAAGGGACCAATCTCAGCGTAGCGATGGTGACATCTTCTAGAGTATCAAGCAGCGATGTCTTGAGATGTGTCATAGGGATGTCAATGTTCCACATTGACGATTGTTTGGATGGCGGAGAGCTGCGAAGGAGTTGAAGATATGCACGGGGTGAAAGCCAGACTATGAATGATAACGAAGGAGTAACGAGAAAGGGTAGGGGAAGGGCGTGTTGTGTCAAGAATTTGTCGAGAGTTTGCGTCTGCAGTGAACTGTGAATATTGCGCATCAGGTATAAAACAAGCACGGCAAAAAACAAACGTACGCAGCTTGCTTTCTAATGTGATCCGAGACTACAGCCGGCTCCATGAACCAACGAAGTCCTCTCTCGTTCTCGGAGGATGCGAGCCCGTCGAGCATCATGAGATATCGCAAGTGTTCTTGTATTGCACGGCTACGGCGTGCAGCTTCAATCGCAGGATCCTCTCTTGAGTGTCCGATAGCCGTATCTATGCCAGCAGCGCGTCTCGCTGCATTGATCCAGCGAGTCACTTCCCGCGCGAGAAAGGCGTCTAGCTCTGGTGCTGCCGATGAGTTCCCGTTACTGTTTGTATTATTGGCAAAGGACGTCTTGACAACAACATGGTCGTTAATATCAATATCAAGTACAAGTACTTTGCCTGCGAGAACAGTCGTCGACCCATCTACGAAAACTTCCATGCCAAGATTTCGGCCCCATTCCGCGATCTTTGCAGGATGAGGAGGACTTGTGTCAGGATAAATTGCTCTATTATCTCCTCGCAGCAGAGACGAGAGGGAAGCAGAGGCAGCAGCTGACTGGTTGATCGAAGATGTCAAAGCCGTGTGCTCCTTCATGAGGGCCACGAATTTGGTGGCGTTTTCGCCAAGGGGCAGGTCATTAAGCTGGTTCAACGCATGATTTAGGCGGTGAGTTGTATTGATGATTGCACCAAGTTGCTCAGTTACAGTAATATATTCAGCGCTGAGAGGATGAGCAGACTCAGTTGCTTGGACAGGCAATGTGGAGTGCACGAGCACATCGTGTACGGCGGTCAACAAAGATGGATGGGACATGCAGCTTCTTGAATTTGAACTTCATCTGGTCAGAAGAGGAGAGCGGAAGTTACCGATCAACACGCTGCAAGTAGCAACTTCAAGTTGAACTTAGCGTTTAGAACCAACCGCTTCACTAGTTTTTTTCTCTCAAGGACGTACGTAGTCAAATAGGAGGAAACCTTTGTCTATCGCCCGCTTATAGCAGAGATACTCATGGACGACTTTGTCGTGGTACGTAAATACCATTGAATATGATGAATTGATGGTTGATATGGTGCTGGCACTTATCGCAGGGAAGAATGCATGCTTTCTTCTAAACTTCTATACGGTCGGCCTGCAGGCTGGGGGAGGCGTTTCTTAAACCTTATTTTGTGGGTGCTAGTTTGCCTACTCAACAAGAAGCGTCTCGAGTTTCCTTGATCAACCCACGATCATAATGGACTGTAGATTAGAGCCTTTGAATGTGGCCTAGTGAGGTGATAAGCATATCGAGCCACGATGCAGCTCCAGGGGTCTTTGGATGCCCATACTTATAACCTCATAGTAGTACAGGTCCTAGTGCTCCCAAACAATATGTCCGTCATCGAAAAACTACAAGAAACCTCGGCTTCAGGTTCCATCACGACGTTGTTTCGTTTGGGCCCCGTAGACGCTATTTCCTCTCTTCCAATCAAACCTCCCGGGCCTTTTTACTCTTCTGAGGTTGCGGGTCTTAGCTGGTGCCTGACTATTCGCACAAAAAAAATAAACAAAGAAAAGCAGCACCAGCTATGCTTCAATTCCCGTAGTTGTCCGGATGCATGGCGTGGTACACTGGCCAAGGTCACGGTCTCTTTTCCGTCACATCCTGATGGTGATCCATCCCTCTGTACCACATCTATCACCGTGATCCTAGGACTTTGCGGTTTAGACTCGGATGATAATCATCCGCTGGTCACTGGCACTTGTTCTTCTCAGAAGCTTGGAAATGCCCTCGTCTCGCTAGAGGTCACCTTAACCAACACACTGTCATGTAATCCATTTGATGTACCTGCACCCGTCAGGTCCGTACCAGACGCACCTGCCAGTGCTGAAGCGCCCAGGGTGTCTCAGGCCTGCTCTGCCCTTCGTGCCCTCGAGCAATCGCTCAAGACAGGAACATCATTTGACATAGTATTTCAAGCTTATACTCATCGTTTGTCCCTCGGCAAGGTCACTAGACCAATTCCGATTTATGCGAGCACCGCTGTGCTGCAAACAACTTTGCCAGACTTTTGTATGTCATATCCCTATTCTTATTCATGGTTGCTGAGTACCGTTTGCAGCCGGGGGAGACCTTGATCTGTCCTCCCTCTTTGAACTGTCTGAAGGCGATACTCTCCCTTTCACTTCCCTGGAGAGTTATGAATACGATTCTGACAGCGATCTGGATGACGACGATTTCGTCAAGAATAACATCAATCCTACACCAGTAGACAATGAATCATACGAAGGTTTGTTTGTTTATTCCCAGTGTTGAAGCTTTGATCTCATGCTCATTGGTCATCATCCCACAGACACGACTGATACTGGTTCAATTTCGTCTTTCTCTAGCATTGAAGGTACTGAAACCTGAAACCTCGCACGTATGTAAGATTGACGACTCAATCTTACAGCTGGACTTCGAGAACAACTAGGCAATCGGCCGTTGCTTTTAGAAGATGTTGGGATAGTACCGGCTGTGATCAGCGAGAACTTGAAACGTGGATCTCGAGTCATCCTCGTAAAGGGTGTTGCCTGGAAGACGTAGGTATGGTTTTTGTGTCACAGAGGCGCTACTGAATGGAGTTTGCAGGTGGCACGCCTTTATCTACTATTGTTACACCGGCATCGTCAACTTTGTAAACTTACGGTCTCAAGGTACGCCTGACGAGCAGCGTCGCTTAGAAGATGGTCCACCACATTGCTCTCCGAAGTCGATGTATCAACTGGCTAGGAAGGTAACTCCATGAAACTTGTGTTGATGTATCTATATGAACTCAAAGCTGCAGCTTAACAACGAACCATTATCTCGACTTGCTCTAAAGGCCATTGAAACCAGGTTGTCTGCAGCCAACATACTGAATGAGGCATTCTCCAAATTTACTTCCAGGTATTGATGATCTCGTCGTACATCTACTTGTTGCTTACTGCTAGTCCTTAAAGGCATGACGCCGTCAGAGCGATGGAAACTGCCCTCCTGCTGAAACATAGGAATGCATCAGAAGTTCTGCAGGGTCTCCCAGCTAAAATGGAAGCTGTGGCCAGGGGTAATATACCCAACGCTGGACAGGTTCTCACTGCGTTAATTATGCAGATACCTGGCCAGAATTGAACTCGATAGCATCACTGACCACTGTCGTTGGGTCTGTTGATGTTCATTATGCGGACGTGTGACACGATCTTGCATTGTACTACCAACCTACTATCACGTTCACTATTGCTATGGCCTGCTTGGCGAGTACTACGTCTACATGTTGTCGAACTCGTGGAATAATGCTCGTTGTCAGTTATCGTTTTCGATCTGCTCGGTGCTATTCTGAGACGATGGTTGTCGTTGCTCCGAAGACGTCACACCAAAATCTCTAAAGTTCATATTGTTACCTAGATTCGACATGGGCTCCATGTTAGACATGCTCCCCGTTTATGAATCCAGGTCGGTCGAGACGGTGATTCCTTGAATAGCATGGATACGGTGCTGGAACATCACCACGCCATTCGCCATTCTGCGGTGGCTTGACAGATCGGTCACCGGGAGCATATGATCATCTTCGAGGCGCCCAAGTTCATCTTGAGCGTTGCTACTTCAGCAGAAAGGACTAATCACAGTTAAAAAATATTAAGACGTGTTATGGCCCGGGGTCGATGTTCCATGTAAACGATTGTTTGGATACGAGTTTGGTGGCGCCTCCGTCAAGGGGCGGCGGGTCAATAAGCTATTTCAGCGCATGATTTAGGCGGCGAGTTGTATTGATGACTGCACTAGTTACGTGGCCCATATTTACTGTAGGATAATCAGTGCTGACAGGGTGAGCAGCTAGACTCACTGACTCGGCCGCTTAAGCTTGGATGATGAGGCATGCGGCATCATGATATTCCAAGGACGCTTTTTGAAGTCAGAACTTAAGTTTAAGAAGAGAGCGGAAGTTACCGAGCCTAGGTTCATGATCCTCAAATTTCTTTTGTGGGTGCCGGTTTGCATGCTGGACACTGACAAGAACCATCTCGTTAACCCACGATCATGACACACCGTAGATCCGAATCTCATTGGATGCCTAGTAATCAAGATAATTGCATACCGAGGCCACGATCTTCAGGGGTCTCTGGATGCCCATACTTATAAACTCGTTGTAGGAGTGGCCCCAGGTCTTACTATCATATCTATCCATAACCAATGTCTGTCATCAAAAAGCTACAAGAAACCTGGACTTCGAGTTCCATCACGACATTATTTCGTATAGGCTCCTTGGCCAGTACCCCTTCCAGGCAGGCTTTTCAATCCCCGGTTGCGGGTTTCAGCTGGCGTCTGGTTGTTCATCATGGTAGAGAGCCACCGCACCGCCCCAAACAACGGCTTGTTAGACCTTCGAAGTACCAGCTATTTTTCAACTCTTGTAACTGTCCCGGTACATGGCATGGTACACCGGTCAAAGTTACGGTTTCTATTCCGTCGCATCTTGATAGCGACACACCCTTCTGCATCAATCCTATTGGCACGGTCCTGGGCACTGAGCTGCTCATTAGTACATGTTCCGGTCTGCAGCTTCAGGATGCTCTCGTTTCATTGGAGGTCACCTTTACCAACCCACTGACGTGCAATCTACTCGATGTACTTGCCAACGGTGTGCTTATACCAGGCGCACCGCTGGCAACCAGCGCTAAAGAGCCCTTCGTGCCTCAGGCCTGCTGTGCCCTTCGTGCCCTCGAGCAATCGCTCAAGACAGGGACATCATTTGACGTAGTATTCCAAGCTTACACTCGTCGTTTGTCTCCTGGAAGCGTCACCAGACCAATTCCGATCTATGCAAACACCGCTGTGCTGCAAACCACAACAATTTTACCAGATTTCGGTATGTTCTATCCTTATTTATTCATGGCTGCCGCTGAGCACCGTTTGAAGCCGAAGAAGACCTTGATTTCTCCTCCCTCTTTGAACTGTCTGAAAGCGACACTCTCCCTTTTATTTCCCTGGAAAGTTATGAATACGAATCTGACAGCGATCTGGAAGACGATAGCGATAATCACAGCGGTAACAGCAGCAACCACAACAATCTGGCGGTGGTGCAACCTGCGGAGGAATTGGTCACTGGTGATGAAGCTGCAGCAAGTCATGACGAGCGATCTCTCACCCCAGAATCTCCTGAAGGTTTGTTTATCTGTTAAAGCTTTAATCTTATTGCTTCATCGATTATAATTCGAAAGATACGACTGATATTGGTTCAATCTCGTCTTTCTCCAACCTAGAAGGTACTGAAACGCCAAACGTCATATGTATGTCGAATTAACGTTGTTATGTACATCAGGAAATCGTGAGTTTACTTAATCCTTACTTATTTCGACCTTTTCCCACTTATTTACAATGGATCTACTTTTTTTCTGAAATTTGACAACTGCTTTAAAATTGAGTATTACAATATGTTTGTTGGGCCTGAGAGACATCTTTCATTGCATAATGTTATGAACTAGGATAGTCGCAACAACAGCTACTTGATAAGAGTAACGGCTGGAGTTGAATCGGGACCTTACAAATGTAAGGGTCATAAGACAAGTCAGAGAGTGTGTCTCTAGCTTGAATATTGATGGTTAGATGACTTAAGATTGGAGGTCTTAAGTAAAGGATATTCCAGGTAGAACCTAGTAGATTAAAGTGAAGATCTACTGAGTACATAACCAGGTATATATAGTAAGTAATATGAGTCAGAGATAAGAGCAAGTCAGAGATAAGAGTGAGTCAAAGATAAGAGTGAGTCATCTAGTGACGGTGATAGCGATCATGATGTAATACAGATAAGAGAGATGAGTCATCTAGTGACGGTGATAGCGATCATGATGTAATACAAGTAAGTAAAAGATGGGAAAAATGGATAGGGGGCAAACGTAACTGTAACATTACCCCTTGTTTAGGAATGAAGTCACCGACTTCAGTTATCCTGGTTAGCCCAGTAAATAGGGTCAGTGTCGTAGTTTGAGTTGAGCAAATTGTTCTGTTCCTCAGTGATAGGGAGCAACCTATCAGCTAGTTCTGCAGCATGGTAAATGGCGTCCTGCTCAATCTCCCATTGGGCAAGGGCTTCGTAGAAGCCAGGATCAGTCCATACCAGTGGAATGACTGCTTCTCCTTTCAGCTCCTTACAAAAGACCGACAGGTGCCCAGGTGCATATGCTTTGCAAACTTGGCAGTAATACACTGGACAGTTCTTGTGACGATGTCCAGCAGAGTGACAGTTGCAACACACAACGTTATCGATGGGTGCCATTTTTACTATAATGACAGTGGTAGGCTGGTCTGGTGGAGAGGGGGATCTGGATCATTTGAGTGTTCTGTGCGGGGAAACAGATGTGGCTCATTTGGCGGCAATACGGGAGGATCTACGTTGGATAGGGTATCTGCATGTGGTGGGTGAGATGGGGGTAGGAGATGGAGAAGCTGGTACATCAAGTACAGCAATAGGAGGGATATTATCATTCTGATGCTCAAGGGTAGTTGTTGCAGGGACTGGTGGTGGGACTGGAATGGCAATATGCAGGGAAGGAGGACGCGCGACTGGGTCAAGAGCGATTTGTTCCGTGATGATGTGAATAGCCTCTCTGATAGCATCTCTAGTATCATCAGGCAACAGACGGATTGCAGTATTACGAATGCGTATATGAAGATGATGGAATATGGTCTTGTGACCTTCATCATCAAGAAGGTTGGTGGTGCGCTCAATGAGACTGGCGTCCCTGATGATTCTGATGATGAGTCCACTAGATATCGCTCCTCTTTCTCCTAAAAGATGATCTATTTCTATAGCGTATTGCTGGGAGGTGAGAGTGGATTCAAAAAGGGTGCTGGTTTTGACTTGATCAATAATTGAAAAGTAGTCGGTAAGGGTGGAGTCGTTGGTAAGGGTAGAATCAGATGATGGTGGGGAAACCACTGGTGAGGATGCATTATTGGCGAGGTTAATGGCGGTGGCAGTCTGATAATCAAGGAGGGACAATGGGTGAGCATTTCCTTCAGCTACGGTATTCATAGCAGCAGTGAGTTCTTCGATGCGTTGTATGCAGAGGCGTAGGTGTTTGAGAGACATAGTTTCTGGATTTACAATTGGTGAGCTCTTTTATATGCAACGAGAGCGTTGGCAGCATTGCTAAGGTTTTCTTCTGGGATCCATTTGTTACTGGTGGAAGAGTATCCTTTCCAGGATACCAGATAGCGTCTTCGTTTACCTGTCCCCTTATGCGATAGGATTGCATCGATTTCATATTCTTCTTCATTATTGATGACATCTGGGGGTGGATCATGGAAGTTCAGACCATGAACCTCTGTTTCATGATAGGACGATAGTTTGGAAGCATGGAACATGGGGTGGACTTTCCATTGTGATGGTAATTGGAGTGTGAATGTGATGGGGGAAAGAATGGCAGTGATTGAGAAGGGGCCATATCACTTCGATGTGAGCTTCCGTGATGGTAACTGCGTGATTAGGTTCTTTCCTGATAACCAAACTTTATCTCCTACTTTCCACGGATGATATTTCTGTCCGTGGGTTCATTCCACCATTCGCTGCATAGCGAGGTTATGGCAGGAGAGTGCTTCTTCTCTGGATTTCTGGAGCGAACGGAGTCTATCTTCTGCTGCAGGGATGGTGGAGTTAGGAAGTGTATGGGGAAGGGCTCTTGGTTTGTATCCCATCATTAGGAAGAATGGTGAGGTGTTACGAGAGTCGTGTTTTCGATGATTATGCACGAATTCCGCCATAGGAAGATGTTCCACCCAATCTTCAGGGTGGTTCCTGCAATAGATCCGAAGGTAAGTTTTGAGTTCCTGATTGAGACGTTCGGTTTGACCATCAGTTTGGGGATGATAGGCAGTGGATGCGGATATATTGTATTTCAAGAGCTTGGCAAGGGCTTTTGAGAATTTTGACACGAATTGTGGTCCACGATCAGAAATGACTTTTTCATGCAAGCCGAATTGGCGGTAGACATATTTTAAAAATTTCTTGGCAACTCCTTCGGAGGTGATGGTTTTAGTGCATGGGATAAGAATTACCCCCTTCATAAGCCCATGGTCTACCACGACCATGACAGAATCAAAGCCAGCACAGGGGGGAAGATCAGTGATCAGATCAACAGAGACTTGGGTGAATGGGGTTGCAGCGACGGAAGGGATAGGGACAAGAGGGGGTGTAGTCGGATGGGTATCAGATTTCATCTGCTGACAGAGAGTGCAACCTTTGACGTATTTATGGATATATGTGCCCATAGAGGGCCACCAGAAGTCCCATTTAACCAATTCTTCAGTCTTAAAATGCCCAGGGTGACCGGCGGTGGGGTGATCATGACATTGTTCTAAAATAAGATGCCGACCAGCAGGACGGATGTAAGTGCGGTCCTTATAGTAAAGGATATCGTCTTTGATAGTCCAATCTGCAAGAGCGGATTTCATGGGGGGAAGGGAAAGGCCGTCCAAGGCATTGGAGGCAGCTTGGAAGATGGGATCAGGGTTGGAGGGATCAGGGTTTGCAAGGGAGGTCATGAGTTCAACATCAAGGAGGCGGACGAACATGGAATCAGGGAGAAGGGTTTCATTGGTATTATCCTCGGAGGAATCTGTTCCATGGTCTGGGCGATGGGAGAGTGCATCAGGAGCGGCAAGTTTAGTTCCAGCAACATGGTGGAGTTCAATATCGTAGCAGGACAAAATCAACTGCCATCAGGCCTGTCGTCGAGTTAATTTCTGTGCAGTCCTAAAATATAGCAGATTCTTGTGGTCGGTGAAAATGATGATGGGGTGACGGTTACCCTCCAAATAATGACACCATTCGGTTAGAGCGCGGATGACAGCAAGGAGTTTGCGATCAAAAATCTGGTAATTTCGCTCTGCGGGATTCAATGTTTGTGACAGGTATCCACATGGGTGGTAAATGCTGTTTTCATCTGTCTGTAGTAATACTGTGCTGGTAGCGACAAGCGACGCATCAGTTGCTACTGCGAACTGTCTACTCGGATCTGGGTTTCGGAGGACCGGTTGTTTGAGGAAACATTCTTTCAAAGTGGAGAAAGCTGACGTGCATCTTTCTGACCAAAGAAACTTGACGTCTTTCTTGGTGAGGTCAATTAGAGGTCTGGCAATGTCAGAATAATGGGAAATGAAATTTCGATAGAAGTTGCAGAATCCCAAAAATGACCGAACTTCTTTTACCATTGTGGGGGTAGGCCAATTGCGAATACCATCAGTTTTGGCAATGTCCATTGCCACGCACCCAGGACGGATGATCATCCCTAGATATTCTACCTCTTGTGCGTCAAATGTGCATTTTTCGGGTTTTAGGAAAAGTTTCTCTTGGCAAATCTTTTCAAGGATACGCCGGGTCCATTCGCGATGAGAGTTGAGGTCGTTGGAGAAAATTAAGATGTCATCCATGTATATGACGAGCCATCCTTCATTGATCTCCTGTTGGAATGTCTGATTCATATACGCTTGGAAGGTGGCAGGGGAATTGCAAAGACCAAAGAACATGACATTTGGCTCAAAGAGACCATATTCCGTTGTAAAGGCAGCTTTCCATCTATCATCAGGATGAATATGGATGTTGTTGTATCCGGAACAAACATCCATCTTCGTGAAGTATTTAGCACCATGCAACCGAGCGACTAGTGAAAGTGGTAGCAGGAGGGGGTAAGTGTTCTTAACCATCCAATCGTTAATGTACCGATAGTCTTGACAGGGGCGAAGATCTCCGCTTTTCTTTCCTACGAAGAAGAAGCCGCTTGCTTGTGGTGATTTTGACTTGGAGATAAAGCCTTTCTTTATGTTTTCATCAATGAAAGCTTTAACTGCCATATGCTCTGCTTCCGATAATGGGTACACCTTGGATGTCTTGGGAATAAAACCGGGTTTGGTTTCGATACAATGGTCTATACCGGGTCGTTCAGGTGGTAGCTGGTTAAGGCCGTCCTTTGCAAAGATATTGGCGAAATCATGAAGATAGGAAGGGACGAGCTCCTCGAATGACTTCTTCTTTTGTTCAAGTCCAGCTGCCAATGCAAATTGCCGTGCCTTGTTACTGGTTTTGATGTATTCAGATTCTGTTGGCCATGACAGTGGTGTAACCATAGTTCGTTGTTCTTCAATGCTAGTACCATCTTTGGTTAGGGGGGTATCCATAGAGGTGTTGGTAATAACCTGAAGTTTGGAAGCGTCACTAGGATACTTGATCAAAAATTTGTTGTCCTCAAGGTGATACGTAGCGATCTCACGTATGGGTGGCGCATAATCCATGGTCCATACATTGTCTTTGGTGTCAAAGGAGTCATCATCATCATCAGGGATGGAATCAAGGTTAGGGGGTGCTTCTTTGTCTGGGATTTCTTCAATGGTGGCTCAAGGTGTCGGTTCCCTGGGTGATGCGTCCATGACCGACTTTGCAGGAGGTGCCTCCAGCAGCACTACAACTGGAATCGGTTCTGGTCTTGGATCATTCTTCTGGCGTTTCCGGAAGAAGGGTGGTAATCCATTCTTTTCTTGTTCAATATCAACTTCTTCCTCAATCTGATCGCTTTTCTCAGTTCTGGGGAGCTTCAGCTCTTCCGCCTTCCATTTGATTACTGGGTCCATAGCACGTAGCCAGGGGATCCCAAGTAATATCTGATCACGACGGCTGAGCCGTGTGATGTTGAACTTCCCAATCATGGATCGTTTGTCAATCTTTACAATGAGGATGCAATATCGGGTGATAGTGCCCCCCTTTGTATAGCTTCCATCCGCAGTGGTGACTCAGAATGGTTTCGAGAGTTTGTGTGTCTGAATTCTGTGGGTTTTGATGAATTCTTCGGAAATAAATGTTCCAGCAGCGCCAGAGTCAATAACAGCGGTTGTTTCGACGGTTTTCAGACGGGTCTTGGAGATGAGAGAAATAGGAACTCGAAGTTCCTTTCTAATTCCAATACTTCATACAAGTCTGATAGGTACATCGGAAGATACTGACGTCGATCCAGTCTTCCAAGTTAAAAATCCTCAGTGAGATGATGGATTGTTGTATCTTCATCCTCTTTATCGCTGTCCTCTATCTCTTCACGACAAACAGGAATCTTCTTCTTCTGCGGGCACGCTCTAGTCATGTGTCCCTTCTGGTGACACGTGAAGCATAATCCTTTCTTCATATGGTCACTTCTTTTGGCTTCCGTGAGCCAATCTACCTCCATGGCATTTGGATCATGCCGATCAATGGATGGTCTAGGCATGTAACGTTGTCCTGTCGGTCTAGTGGTGGTACAATGGTTCTGTCGAAACGTGGCACCTCTCTGGTAGTTACTGTCAAGCCAGATGGCTGTGGCAATGTACTTGTCAAAATCTGTAGGAATGGTTTCCATCTGGAAAATGGAATTAATGATCCCCTTCTTTAATCCATCATTGAAAAATGTGATCAAGACTGCATCTTGTTTTATGGAGGCCTGCGCAGCAAGGGTCTTAAAGCTAGCAACATAGGAAGTGAGGTCGCTTGTTTGTTTCAAGGTACGGAGTTTATTCATGGCTGTGCCAATAGCATCAGCTGGTACGAAAGCTTCTTTGAACTTTGTTTCAAAGTTTGCAAAGGTTCCATAAGACTTGGAGGCGGAGTTATCGACTTTGGTGTAAAAGGTGAGTGCCCAACCCATGGCGCTATCTTCAGTCATATATGCAAGGGCAGTAATGACTTTCTTCTCATTGGTGTTATAGATTGTAGCATTAAGCGCAAAGTACGCTTTAACTGCATACAACCATCATAAGGCCTGCTGAGGGCTTCCATCATAGGTAGAAGGGGCTCCGGCTTTAAGTTCTGGGGTATTGGCGACGGTGGACATCCTGATCGTTCTGGTCTAGTGATGTTTCTATTTCAGGGGACGTTTCATCTCTCTCTGTCTGCTTTGTTCTTGTTTCTGGATCTTGGGACCTCTCGGATGGAGAGGGTTGATTGGTGACTTTAATCTTTTGTTACGAACTAGGATAGTCACAACAACAGCTACTTGATAAGAGTAACAGCTGGAGTTGAATCGAGACCTTACAAATGTAAGGGTCATAAGACAAGTCAGAGAGTGTGTCTCTAGCTTGAATATCGATGGTTAGACGACTTAAGATTGGAGGTCTTAAGCGAAGGATATTCCAGGTAGAACCTAGTAGATTAAAGTGAAGATCTACTGAGTACATAACCAGGTATATATAGTAAGTAATATGAGTCAGAGATAAGAGCAAGTCAGAGATAAGAGTGAGTCAAAGATAAGAGTGAGTCATCTAGTGACGGTGATAGCGATCGTGATGTAATACAGATAAGAGAGATGAGTCATCTAGTGACGGCGATAGCGATCATGATGTAATACAAGTGAGTAAAAGATGGGAAAAATGGATAGGGGGCAAACATAACTGTAACACATAAGACTAACAATTAGTGACTAGTATGAAGCCTGAGTGACATATTAATGTTGATGATTTTCTTTCTTAAATGTTCTCTTGAGGTACCATCTTGCAAATTGAGAGTCCAATAATTTTATAGCACACATTTATGATGATTGCTAACAGATCCTGATAGTTCAGTTGGGACCAGGTGGTGATTTAAGCATAATAAGTAGATCCATTTGAAATAAGTGGGAAAAGTTCGAAATAAGTAAGGATTAAGTAAACTCATGATTTCCTGATGTAATTTTACAGCCGGACTTCAAGAGCAGCCAGACAATCGGCCATTGCCTTTGGAAGATGTTAAGATGATGAGTGAGAACTTGAAACGTGGATTCCGAGTGGTCCTCGTAAAAGGCGTTGCTTGGAGGACGTAGGTGTAATTTTTTGTGTCACAGAGGCGCTATTAAATCAAATTTGCAGGTGGCACGCCTTTATTTATTATTGTTACACCGGCATCGTCAACTTTGCAAACTTGCGATCTCAAAGTATATCTGATGTGACGCTTCAGTAGAGACCACATTGCTCCCCGAAGTCGATGTATTAACTGGTTATGAAGGTAACTTCATGAAACTTGCGTTGATGTATCTGTATTAACTCAAAATCACAGCTTCAAAATGAACCATTATCTCAACTTGCTTTCAAGGCCATTGAAACCAGCTTGTCCGCAGCCAACATACTGGACGAGGCATTCTCCAAATTCACTTCCAGGTACTGATGACCTCATACTTGTTGTTGCTGCTACCCCACTCAAAGGCATGGCGCCATCAGAGAGATGGAAATCACCCTCCTCTTGCAACATAGGAGTGCGCCAGCAGTTTTGCAGGGTCTTCCAGCTAAAATAAAAGCTGTGGCCATGGGCAATCTACCTCACGCTGCATCGGCTTTCACTGCGTTATACCAGCAAATTACACAGATATCTGGCCAAGATTGATCCCGATGGCACGCGTCGTTCGGGTCTGTCCATTGCGTGGACTTCCCATTGTACTACCAACCTGTAACGTCTACTGTTGTTGATCGTGTTGTCGAACTCGTGTACCCTGTTCACTGTTAGTGATCTGCTACGGGATAGGATTACTAATTTCCTGTACTAGTTACTCCTAAATATGGAGGCGCGACACTGCCTTCCAGATAAGAGACTGCGGCTGAGAGGGGCACCTATACGCGTCCTTCCGTTGTCTTCATCTACCATGCAGAGGGTGTCTGATTCAGTTACATCAATCTTCCGGTTGGAAACTAAGGACGAACGCCTTGCCACCTGCTTGCAAGGGGGTTCAACCATAGTCTACAGCGAAAAGTTCGGACTGGGGTGGCGTTTTGGGCTGCAGTACACCAAAGGAGGTTGGGCTTTTGCTAAAGTGAAGGTTTACCTTGATCACACCCATTGCTCGTCGGCGACAGACGCCGCCACGGTGACTGTATGCCTTAAAGACTCGGATGGGTCTGGTTCACCTGCAGAGGTTCCTTCTTTTGACAGCAGAACGGTCTCGGTTGCTGACTTTGGCCATGGCCCCCCCGCACTTCTTGGCTCGTTCTCGCCATCCACTATTGTTGCACACCCTTACATGTGGTTTACGGTCACTACGAAAGCAAACTTTGCCCCAGTTATCGCTGACCCCCTCATCAATACTGCGTCTGCTCTCAGGCTGTCCATGAACAGCGGTGAATTCGTCGACACCAAGTACTATGTCATGTCCAAGCGTAAAACTTGGCGATCGTCAGGAGAGACCCGCTTCGTATATGCGAATAATACAGTTTTAGACCACGGCATTGACGCCGGCGCGTCAGTTCTCCCTTGTCGGTGGTTTCTAATCTTGCCTGGTGGACGAATAATAATGGATCTATCTTTTAGCATCTTTACTCGTTCAATATCAGAGCGAATCTAGGCTGATGTGGGACGCCGAGCAATATGATTATGGCTTCGATAGCGACATCGAGGAAGAAGAAGTAAAAGAGAAAGAAGAGGTGAAACAGAAACAAAAACAGAAACCGAACTGGAAACAGAAACCGAAGGGAAAAGAACAAGGAGCGCCTAGCCAGCCCCCACCTTATCGTTATAGCCAGAGCTACTCCCCTGGAGCGGCATCTTCTGAGTTCGATGCATCTGATACCACTTCTGATAGCAGTGCTTCAAGTTCAGATGATGACGCCGGTGAGTCCGCCTCCTTCTCCCTGCGCCTGGGGTGATTCCTCGTGCTGAGTCTGCTACTTAGACTTCAGCTGGACGGAATGGGCGGCTACGCGGCCTCCAGGTTCCTGCTCGACGGATACATTGAAGGCTGAGCCGCTGCCTCAACCCTTTTCTTCGACCCAGAAAATGGTGTTGGTTCGGAACACGGCATACGCGACGTAAGATACAGCTGCTCTGACTAGCTCAAAATGACTCAAACTGTTCGTGTAGCTGGGCATCCTATGTATACTATTGCTACACTGGCCAGGTTTCTTTCCATCCTCTGAAGTCCAAAGATCCGCTCAGCCGGCGCAACAACACAACACAAACTTTACGCTGTTCTCCCAAGTCAATGTACCGACTCGCCATTAAGGTTAGTGTATCTCGTGTCCTTTGTGGCACACTGATTAACAGGAATTCCAAAGCTCAAGAACGCACGTTTGGAAGCTCTGGCGTTCCAGGCCATCAAATCTAGTCTATCCCAGAGCAATATCTTAGACGAGGCATTCTCATGGTTTACAGCTCAGTACGCCTTTCTTGTCCCATACCCTAATCCACGTTGATCCACGATCACTACAGGTACCCTGATATTCGAAACATGGAACTAGAACTCCTAATAAAGTTCCGCAGCGCACCTGAAGTATCAAATCGTCTGGAGAAGATTCTTGAAAGTGTTTCCCGAGGAGAAAGGCCTTATGCACATGCTATGCTTCATGCCTTTTTGGCAAGTTTGACACGGCAGGGGCCGGGTGGTACACAGTGAAGCCACAACAGGCATTCTATCTTGATCAGTGTTGTACTTGTAAGTCGTGTTATATCAATGTTGTCCTCGTGTTGTTATCTCGTCTTCCACATCTCATCGTACGTCACGGTGTTGTATCATTATGAACTTGCTTGGAACTTGCCATGCGTGTACAAGGTTTACCGACCTATTTGTTTCAAAAAAAAAACCATTGTAACATTTACTACTGTTAACGGCTTGCTCGACGAAAGTTAGGCATGTCGAAAGTTTGAAAATTGGAATGACGCATTTTTGTCTGACTCAGACTTGTTATTGCACTATTATTAAAACTTTGAAGCCCTGTCTACCAAAGGGAGAGAAACATGGTAACAGGAAGATGTAAAAATGGAAATATGATCGAGGTCTCCATATCATGCATTGTGCATTATCATCGTCTGCCTCCTTAAGCCACTTCAAGAAGGACTCGCTAGCATTCCTCGCTTTTTTGCTCGTCTCCTTATCGATGTACTTCCTGCTGACATGAGTACCCCATTGAGTCAATACGTCTTCTTTCAAAATGTCGATCTGGTACAGGGCCATGAGAATCCTGGGACGAAAGGGATAAGCTTTGGGTGAGTGAGTCCGACGAGGGACTCAATACCACCCAACAGAGCTGTCTAGTGTTTCTCGGAAGTGACCTATACATCGAGTCAGTAGAATGCCGCATACATTAGAAAAATGTGAACCTTTGCGGGCAGGGCCTTGTACAAATCGATCTCCTTCGCACCCTACGCGGTGAACAGCGTTTGAACAAGAACAAGGGCAGTCTTGTGTTTCTCCTCGACTCCGAACTCTTGCGCCCTCTGGTAGATGTGCATGGCACCAATGTCTGCTTCGCTCTTGTTCTGTTCGACTAGACAACCAAATTGAGTATATGGGCAATTCACATCGTCATCTCCCGAGCCTCCAGCAGGCGGAGTATGCGAGAGTCCGCTAACTTGACTATCCAATCTCTTGACGCGAGCCTTGACAGCACCTCGAGAGATATTAGTCGACGAACTACAAGTTTGATTCTGCGGAAAGCTCAGCGACTTCGGCTTTGATCTTCTTGGTAAGCTCGTCGTCGCTATCATCACCAGACATGCTGCCGATTTTGTCACCAGGAACTAACGGAGCCGATGCATGGACTCCACCACCAGTCCCATTTGTTTTGCCCTTGACACCCTTCTTGCTCTTCCTCGGGTTCTTCAAAATGAAGATGACGAGCTTGTGCTTCACGTCGACACCCGTTCCTTTAGCACAGGCTTTGAAAACCCTGACGACATCCTCAATGCGACCAATTTGAGGATGAAAAGGTCCATCTCAGGGGTCTTGCATGAATGACAGAGCACGAATTTGTCGATGAAAACGTCAAGCGGCTCTCGAAGGCGTGATGAATGCCGTTGACAACGATGTAGCGTTCATTCCTGTCATTGAAAGAGGTCTGTGCACCGGTTTACAACTGAAGAATTTGGTAAGGTACGTGGAAAGGCGATATAGGGCACGAGCGACATCCTTCATGTTAGTGAGAAAGAGTGGCATGCGGAAGCAGTAGAACTTGTCATTGACGTCACAACAAATATTCACAAATCCTGCGGAGGCCATGGTGGGCAGATATGGTTTGACGCTAGGGTGCAGGTTAGTTGATTGACAGCATATCGAAGAGAACGGAAACAACATACAATACTTGTGGACTTTTCCCGAGACAAGCATGTATTTGAATCTTGCCGAGATATTGAGTGGAGGTTGAAGCATGAGCTAAAAGCCTTCTGAGTAGGACAAGTGAGCAGACGAAAGCTTTGCAAGGAGACTTCAAAGTGGTTGTGGTAGATTAAGAACAGGCCTGGAAATTTGTAGAGCAAAATGACAACACCGAATTGATGACGGCTTTAGTCAAGCTTTATAATTATATATTCGATATACAGTTTTTAGCTATGATAGTACTATTGAGTGCAAAGTTTTCTAAACGAGTCGGGGATGGGCGTCTGCAGCACTGCGCATGATGCGCAGTGTAAGTATGGCGGCCAAACACAGACGGCTACAAAGATCGGATGTGTTATTTCATCGCTGGCGCGAACCTTCAAGTTGTGTAGAATTGCACAGGCTGCGCACCTTTTCATGCTTACGGTTCGCTTTCTTGGTGAGTTCGAGTCGAGTCACCGGTGGTCCGGTTCCAAGTGCGTCCACACCATCATAATTGCCCCCCAACAGCGTCGTGCAGTCTTGTACATCACTGCTGGTTTAATATTCCGTTTATGTCGGCTTGATCTGCCATTGCTGTAGTGGACCAAATTTTAAAACCTCGCTATGGATGCAGAATGCGTTTCAAATTCCAGCTGTGTCGGAAGTTCGAGCTATCATTTCCCCGATAATGTATAAGTAAGTAGTGCTTGGTCTATTTCTTTGCAGGGTAATTGGCTAATTAATGGGCTACGATGCGGGGGCCCATACACTTCAAGTTACATTTTGATTATAATTTTTGTTGTCAGAACGGCGATATTTTGACATAACCATTGCTTCCTTCATGGCATGTCATTCATTGTTTTTGGAACATCCTTGAAGGGGTCATAGATATGTCGCCACTCACCACTATGAAAAATCCCAGCACCGCTCACTGCAGGCTGTTCCCGTTTCATTGGGTTTCTTCTTCCATTGTCATCCCCGTGCCTCCATTGCTAATGGGTTTTGAGCGATAGGATAACCGCTAGGTGGCGTTCATGTCTGCTTTAGGCTAGCATCGGCACCTAGATGCCAACGCCTGCACAATCACAGTGACATGCATTGACAGACTGGTCTTTGCCCACGTCAGTACCCGCCGTCGCATTTATGTACTTCAAGGTCTCACATGGTATGCTATCGGGTTTCCCTTCGAGCAGTATAAGATTCAGGTACGCGCAGTCGGTTTTTATCGTGTTTTGTGTCTTTGACCGCCGCCTAAGGATAGTCAGGTTGTTGCATTCCCTGCCGCGGCTCACGTCACCTATGCTGTTTTTCCGGCTGCAATTCTATCTGCTACTAATTCGTTCGGTGACCCATGGAGGTATACGTGCATTCACATCTTAGTGCCTCTCCCAAACCATCGGATTGTTTCTCCAGTGAGACTTATGGGTGTCGTCCTAGGCCGCCACCAAGACTATCTAAGGTATAAATTCAGCACGATGGTGAGCAATTCCCCCACTCCACACAAATAATAAGACTAAGCCAGCCACTGCATTATCCATCCTTTTCATCCCAAAAATTTCTTCTCACAAATATCACAATGTGTCTCACAAAAAAGTGTTTCGAACATTGCACGAGGTGTGGATGGGACAGGCGGACAGGATTTCACCAGACCGAGGCATGCAATGCACGGCAGCTTTGCAACATTGCGAACAATAACAGTCACCCGGAGTACAATCTCATTCGACATTCGCGGAATGACATTGGGGCATACAACAGGAGCGGTACGGTGGATTTCATTTGGAGAAATGTGAGATCCTGTAGTCATTGCCTGTGGTGAGGGCTATGTCGGTTTCCGACGTTGGAACAAGTCATGTCTATTTGTATCTCGGTACGATGATAGTAGTATAGGTTGGACATATGAGTCTGCTTGAACACTCTGCATGTGTATCAGACAAGTCCACAATTATGTATGTACCGTCACCGTCGACGACGCGCATGATTCGGATTTTAACCTTGGCTGCTCCGAGTCCGAGTCACCATTTCAGCATGGATCGTTAAATTCATGAAGATCGAGAAGTGCTCATGCGATATGTACAATACTAATACTAGACAGCCTTTCGACGATACCATAGAAAGAAAAAAAATATCATGAAAAATAGATAGCATGCAGCCTGATCGTAATAATGGTCACGTAGGTGGCCATGTTCCGGTGTAAGGGCGTTCTCCCCACTTCTCCCAAGCATGTTCACCGATGCGGCGCACAGTGCCCTGTAGTTCCGCTTTCAAAGCTGACCATCCTTCGTGTCTTACAATCTCATACGCACTCGAAAGCGACCATGGAAATGAGGGGTAGGGCGGCGAGAATTGACGTGAGTGTCCAGGTAAGGGATTCAACTCTGGGTAGAGAGGATCATAATAGACAGTATAAAAGAGTTGGCGAGCTTGGACATGTGCGAATCTATGCAGACGGTCAACAGATCAGTGAGAAAACTTCTATACGAAGTGAAGAAACCTACCGCAACATCGCAAGGACGAAGATTATTTGGACCACAACCCCAAACAAAACCATACCACGATGGAAAGAGCTGTTGTCGCCAACGATAGCCGGCTGGTTGAGAGAACCGGTCAGATGCGACTACACCAAGTGCATACACTTTGTCTTACCAAAAGCCCGCTTCGGCCATTGGCGTCCTTAGCAGATCTGTGCATCAGGTCACGCTCTTTCACAGATTCGACACGAAGGGTCTGAGCCAACTGATTCCGAGCATGCCGCGCTGCCCTCGAAACTTCTTCCAGCTCTTTGAGGTGGCTCGTGTTCAAAGCGAGATCATCAGCAGACCTATTGCAGTTCCCATCAGTCAGCACTTTTCTTGAACCGTACGCTGGCGACATTACCTGTCCCCATCACTTAGCCCATCAGCCCACTCCCGGAGCGTTTGCCGCATCTGAGCCAAGGTTTCCGTGCGACCAACAGGTGAATCATGATGCAGGACTAACAACTCTTCTTCGAATAGGGGTTCAATCACAGGATCAATTTCTTCCTCAATTTCTCTTCCCATTGCATCGACAATACGAATATTACTCTTGTGCTGGGCACGAGGAGTGTGAAGAGTTTCAGCTGATGACAGCGAGCGAATCGCGTCTTTCGCATCCGCACGTCCGTCCGTAATATCCTGGGCATCAGCTGGTGTTGGAAGGTCATCAATCCTTTCCCGACCAAATGCATCCACAACCTTGACGACGGGTGATTTTCTCAGCGAACGTGGCGATGGTATGTTGGCACGAGATATGGGCGTTGTAGAGTCAGGAGTGACGGGCCTCGCTGGCACCGGATCTTGTACGGCATCAATGTGGGCAGAACCATTGGTTATTTTTGAAGGGACGCTCTCCGCCCATCGTGAGTGGCCATCAGGCAGAAAGTCAGGCGCAGATACGCGCCCGGAAGGTAAAGGTGATTTTTGATGTTCAACTTCAGCAGTTGAAGCCTCTGATTCCGTGACGTCAAAGCGTACTTTGAGAATGCTCTTTCTCCTTCCGATAGAACCAAACTGGGACTGATCTGCAGAACCATTCTGTCCATTCTGAGTTGTGGGTTGATTCGGGGTGAGCATCCATGCACCGGGGGGAGCCGGTGTACGTAGAGGAAGAGAGTTAGCACGCGACAGAGAAGGTATTGGCGTGAGCAGTCCGTTGCCTGCCGGAGTTTCAGTCTTCGAGTTCCACTCGGATTCAGAATTGGCTCGAGGCAAAGGCGTCGATGACGATGACACAGTCGGAGCTAACTCAGATGAAGTAGGAGGTGGTGATGTTTCCCTCGGGTGCTTGGGCGGTACGGGCGTAGCAGCCCACGCTCCAGGAGGTCTCGGAGTCTTCATCGCGGTGTAATTCGGATTGGCAAGACCATCCTCATCTGCTCGCACGGGTGTGACATCCGCCTCACGTGTCTCTACTTCATCTTCAGATGATGAAGGGAGAACAGAAAGATTGGAGAGGTCATGGGGTGGAGACGGGGTGCGGACGTCAAGAATTGAAGTGCTTGACGAAAGACGACGCGGCGGAGTTGTGAGCGCAACGGTGGGAATGACTCCAGAAGAAGATTCGTCCTGAGGAGCGGAACTGGTCATTGGCGGCGTTCCCGGAGGAGTAAAAGATGATGGCATCGTCTGCTCTTGAGACTGAGAGGTATCTAATGGAGAGTCTGGCGTAAGAGGTCGGAACGAGGTCGCTGAAGTTGAGGCAAGAGCTCTGCGAAGACGGGCTTCATCACTGGAAGAAACACCTGGTGTTTGAACAGGTGAGCGTCGTCTTGGTGGCGAGGATGGTGGTGATACCAGAACCTCTGTCTCTGTCTTACTGGGAGGATCCTCTGGGAAGGAATTCGAAGGTCGTGTGTCTGGAGTAGTCGATCGCGGAGCAAACTCCGACACGGATTCCTCATCGCTCGCTGTATATTTTCAGATAAGAAGGTATATTGACAAGCTAAGGGAAATACGGATCTTACCTAAAACCATATCCTCATCTCCAAATGCACCATGAATGCTAGTTCGAGGATGAATACTCCCTACAGACTCAGTAAACTCCATCGACCGCTTACGATGACCCTTAATGAACTTCTCCTCGTCGTTGGCTTTAGGAGTGGAAGAAGCAAAACTGCCGCTGTTGAAAAGACCATTCCTCTTAGATGTCGAGGGTACTGGAATCAAGCTTGACCTATTGACGCCCGAAGCCCGACTGGATGGGCACGAGCTTGGAGTCCGCGATGGCGAAGAGATGGTTGGCGCGCGGTGATGTGAGGAATCAGGCTCCTTATTGCTGCGTCCGCCTCGTGTAGGCGAACTCTCTAGATCAAAGGGGGGAAGCTGATGACTCCGCGAAAAACCCCAGCCAAATCTTGAAGCGGCCGCAAGCTTGAGTGATGTAGTATGGGGTGAAGCCTCACTCTCATCGGATGGAGGCGACGGAACTGCACTCTGAGGCGAATGAACTGACGTTGGTGCATCAAGCACTGAATCCACTTTGTCTTTGTGAGAATGCGACTTCACAAGCGACGGTGAGCCCTTGCGTTGAGCCTCCGGAGTGAGGTGAGGTAGACTAGACGATGCACGCAAACTCCTCCCATTCTTGCTTTGGGAAAGATGGACACTCGGAGATGTCACTTGATTTCCACTGCTGCTGTGACTATGATGCCTCGCTGTGTTCCATTTGGGCTGTGGCGAGTTCCAATTTCGCTCACGTTCATGCGTTACCTCTCGTTCTTCTTCCACTTCTTCTGGATCTCGTAATGAGTTATGACTAGCCTGTGAGCTGACAGGTGAGCTGGCACCAGATAGTCGAGAATTGGAACCTTGTCGTTGAAGGGATGCAAGCGTTGGTGTCGCATACGCTGTGACCGATGGAGGTCGACTGGGGTGAGTGTGGGAGTGATTCGAATGCGAGCTAAGACTTGAAGACGGTCGAGATGGTGGGTGTCGTTTATTCCATTCTCGCTCACGCTCAATGTAGCGATCTCTGTCAAGCTCAGCCATCCGATCACGATCTGGGGATCATTAAAGCGATGTGAAGCGGAAAGAAATGATCGCTTACGATCCACCTGTGAGCTCATGGAACCTGACCTTGAGCTCCGATCATCATCAAAACTCCGAAGTGACGCAACGCTTACCCCTTCTATGCAGACTTCTACCGCCGAGCGGTGAAATTGCTCCGTTCGAAAGGGACTTAACGTGAGAGGGCGACGTCCAAGGCATCTCTTGAGAGTGGCGTCGGTGGAACTCCAATGAGTGTTGGTGATGCAGCTCAGGGGTGACAGAACGTGATGGTCCTTTAGGACGGTTCCACTCGCGTTCGCGTTGGTGCATCCGGTCATCTTCACGAGAGTGGTATTGCTCTTTGACTAGATTACTATGATGAGCTTGCCTCGAAAAAAATAACAGCAAGTGTTATCTCACAATCAGCATCAGAAAGTGACGAGCTTGCCCTTGGCCCTGTGCATACTGTAGGTGGAGTGACGTAAAGGCGAAAAGGCATCACATACCTGGCAATTCGAGACTGGCACGCCGAGACTGATCATGATGTCGCAAACTTCCGCGTAATGAAAGGGAGGTACGGGACCGCAACGGAGTAGTTGACGGGCGACTGGTGCTTGGCCCGGACATCGGTACTGGTACTAATGAAACAACAATGAAAAACGTTGCGATAAGCTATTTTAAAAATGATTGCCCACCATCTTCAGATGTATCGAGATCTCCCATAGCATGCTGCATATCCGAATCTTGATCCAGGAGATCTGATTGAATGGTCAGGGGGATGCAAACATTGCAAATGCATGGCCTTACTAGAGTGAGACGCTAGCTGGGAAGGCAATTGGAAGGTCCTTTGATGTGAACTTGCACTTCTTGGAGGTGGTGACCAAGTGGAATCAAGCGGCCGTAACAAAGCCGTCGTCGAATCAACATTAGCATGTCCTTCCAAACGAGGCTCATCTGCAAGTAATGAACCTGTTTCGGAGGTTGAGAAGTAACTGATGCACTTCAATTAGGTGCACTCATCACAATAATCTAAATAAGCTGACCGTCATACACCGCTGTAGGTAAATTTTGATCGAGGAGCCGCGAGTGGGAAGACAGACGTGCACGAAGGGTATCAAACGTTGCTGCATGAGAAGACCGAAATGACGATTCGGACCCTTTGCTGGATTCTTTGATACGTATTATGATGAGATCCCAAAGATGATGAAGTAAAGGGAATTGACGCACTTGGTTTATCAACCTCGTCATCACTGAGACTTTTTCTTTTACCCTTATGCTGTTCCCTTTCACGGTCGACAACAGGGGTAATGTCCATCTCACTCGTGTCAAAACTGGCTCTACGCGGTCTCGATTTCTGTGGCGTGTCCCCAGGCTCACGTCTAGCACGAGAAAACAAATCCTTCAGACTGTCCCGAGTAACGCTTGGAGTGGCAGGTGTAAAGCGAGATGACACAGAGCCAGCGCCATCTTCTGACAGTTGTGCAGAGGGTCTTGTAGGAAGCGAATTTCCGTTGGGCGAATCCAATGAACGTGCTAGCAAGGCGCGGAGGCGAGCTGCAGCAGTCTCGGAGGGTGCCACGGAAGAAGTAGATGGTCCAAATTCTGAATTTGGACCATAGCTATTTGAAAAAGAAGCAATATTCCTGAGTGGCATACGAGGGGTAGGCTGATTGTCGTCTTCATCATCGACAACATTGAGCTGTGATCGCGCGGAGGAAGGGACTGCGACTGGGGTAAAATCCATATCACTACTATCTTGAACACGAGAACTCGGTGTATGGCGATTGAGCCTTAGACGAGGCCTTGAGAGTGAATTTGATGAAGGCGTGTCCATGATCGGCGACCTCGTCGGCCAACTGGCGCGTGAAGCGTGTTTCCAGCGTGTACGACGCGCTATTGTGAGCTTGTGATAAATTAGGAAATAAATTCTATTAAGAGACTCTTGCCAAACAAAACAAAACGCTTTGCGGGCACATGATTTATACTTACTGACACTCTGCTAATGACAACGCTCACCTTTTTGCAGAGCAGCACTGGCGAGCAACTAGGCACTCCCATTTCAATGGTAACAAAGCCAATGTCTCCGCAAAGTATTGTGCCAGTTACTATGCACAAAGGCGACCTCCACGGAAGCTGAATGCTTTACTCTGCAGGTTGCCTTGCATACCATAACCCCCGATCATGGTGGTGAAACGAGATTCGGCTCTGTCGTACTCGCTTGCGGGGTGCATACGCAACCATAACATTGAGTCCCCCCGCGAGGTCATCTGGTTGCTCTGATCAATAACACCTTTGTAGATAACGTCCCAACGGACAGTTTCGGGATTCTGTCCCCCGTGCATCTGTCAAATGGCTTTCATGATATGCGTTACGTCGGAGAATATACCTTCGCAAAATGCTACCTCTACAAGCCCTTGAAGTACGTCCTGGCGGTATCACCAACACATGCGCATTGCAAGAGGTTTTCTATATTCATCTTGATCTGGACAATGTCTTCCCTGTTATACAACTTGGCCCGTCACACGGTGCCAAAGCCTGGAGAGCACCCCAAACTTGACTTTCCGTGGTCTTCACAACAAGTTCGCCCGCGGAAGCTGTGAATGCTTACATCCGGGTATTATCCAAAAGATTCAACGCTCGACCTTCATTATACACCGTGGCGGAGTTGGTCGGTCGGTCAGCGGCTGACGCCGCCAACTTAATTTCGCCGGAGCGTTTACCAGAGGCAATCCGGAGGAACTTTCGTTATGCACCTACTTACTTTGAACTGTCATGCACCTAAGGGAACGACTACCTTCGAGAGCTGGCTTAGGGGGCACCATTATACATCAATGTAACATCATGTATCATGTCCTGCACGAGCCACACTCTACGATACTTAGACACGCCGCCTGGTACAATTCATGAAGCCTATTATCCGGAAAGCCCTGCTGAATCGATAGTGACTAGATCAGCCCATTCATACCAAGGCAGTGGTTTCTCCCCTCGGGACGTCTTTCGTCAACCTTTCACGCATATTCATCGCTTCCAGAGGTCACTGATTTCTCCAACGAACGAGATGTTCGCGAGAGCTCGACGCTGAAGAAGATAGTTAGGTCTTTTTCCCGTCTTGTCTTTTCCTTATGAATCCTTTCCCTTGTTCTATATCGTCGTCATTTCGTTCGAATCCAGCTGCTGATTGAAGAGGTCCAATAACCTAGTAATGTGTAGCCAGTCTCCTGACAGTCGTCAGCTGGTCACACTGTTTGCTGTACAACGATATAACAGCAGGCCACTGATGAAAAAGCGAGAATCTACGATTCTCCAGTACCTCAAAGAGAAACATTCAAAACGGTTCTCGAAAAGCAAACTTATTACATTGGCAGAACTAATCGTTGCGTCTTACAGCCAACCCAACGCTGCTAATTCATATCTTCTTTCAACACGTTCTATCAGTTGTAGCAAAGCACCGCGTACTCCTGCAGTCCCATATCAAATTAGATCATGTCAACTCTGCTAGCATTTATACTCACCTTGACCTTCTTCTCTGTGGAGTCGTAAGGGATGAAGCAACCATCGCCGAACGACTCGCACGCCTTCCCTGGGTGCACGGCTCCATGGTAAGGAGCTTGGGCAATGTACTGAGGAGCACCTCCAGGCTCCCGGCCACCTTCAACAGGCCGAAGTCCATTGAGAGCTGCCAAGTTGAATTGGCCGGAAACGTTAACCCATCGCACGGCTTGAGAGTTCCAACAAGGATTTCATATGTATCAAGCTTTTCCAACGAGTTCAGCAGATGCTAACAGCCCAGTTTGGTTTGCGCTTACGTGGATCTCTTCCTTCTTGAAGCCGATCACAGCTCCTTTTTTGAACACAGAGCATGCCTTTCCAATCACTGGAGTAGACATCATTCAGTCAAAATTACGAATAGCATCACTCGAGACGTACTGAGACCACCCTATAAGAATCACAATAAGTGGCCGACCAGTAACAAAGGCTGTCAGACTTGCCTCGCAGAAAGCACGGCAGATATACAAAGGCGCGCCGCGCTCAAATCCACCTTCGATAGCATTCGATGGGATATTCTTGCCCTGATTGAGGACCCATGCTACTGGATAGGAGTAATTTCCGCTTCGGAAAGCCTGGGTACGTTGCTCTGCATCACGGAGCCAGTTGCCTCGCGACCAGGCTTGCGCCTTTTTCTGAAGGAAACCGGAATGTCAGATCTGTGTCAAGCCATGATGAACACTAAGTATACCTCCTCCTCTTTCTTGCTGTGTTGATTGTGGGCAAAAACGCCAGCAGCAAGGGCACCGACACCGGCCAGGATGCCCCCTCCGATCTAATAGAAAAGACGCATGTGATGATGTGAGCAGTCTATACGAGGGAGAAAGCATACCTCGAGCTCTTTCTTCCTTTTGTCGTCAATGTTGAACCAGCTCGTCTGACTCTGCCCATGAGTCGATTGGATGCCGCCTTGAGGGGCATGGTAAGGTTGTTGTTGTTCTTGTTGCTGCTGCTGCTGCTGCTGCTGAGGAGGAGGTTGGTCGTATGATGGAGTGTACGGTTCGGACTTGCAGTCTCCGCCCCACTGACCAGATTGCTCATGATGGGGGCTGCGGTGGCAATCGCCATCTTCCATGCGTCCCCATAGGGCAGGTGTCACGGGCGGAGTCCAGTCACTCTGCAGGCGAAGCTCGTTGGTCAGTCTGGTAATGAGTAGCACTGACAGCGGGTTACCTGAGATCGGTGAGGCTGAATGATCTTGTACTGGACACCTGCAGGGGATGGATCTATGACTCCGAGTAAAAGGTGGATGGAAACGGACCTTCATAAAGGACCCTTGAACCGTCATAGTACTGGGTTCCAGGTTGCCAGTTATCAATCATGTTGTGCTAGAGTCTATACAAAGTTGACAATTGGAGTAGGGTTGTTTGTGTCGCCGTCAGTGGGCTTATATCCCCCTGGAGACGTTTCACTTTGCGCCGGAGATGACGATGCCATCTCCAAATGATACCTGTTGGAGACAGTGAAGCTTGGAGGTCTTGGCTGACTCCCAGATTTGTGCATGAATGGGCGCATGTGATCCTTTCAGGATCAGGCTTGATCATTGGTGGAAAACTCCAAGTATCGACGGGCGGACCTGACCAGCTGTCCATTATCTGATTTCCACGAGGCAAGATGACAAGGACTAAGAGATATGATCGTGGCATGGGTTGGCCTCGAGGCACACTAGATAGTATGGAAGACACTTGCATTTGTCGTGGAGTACCTCCTTCTCTGATCGTGCAATGGCATCGAGCGGGTGGGCCCTTCCGAACCACAAGAAATTTCAAGTCTCCAGTGACTCGTGAGGCAAGAGGATTGATCATCGGAGGTCCTGGCAGCGTTCAAGGATATTAACGAGAGTGAAGATTTAACTCATGGATCGTTTATGGCACATTGTTACCAGCAACTTGTTTCCACCCCGGACCCAATGAAGGGATCTCAACTCTACTGAACTGCTTCTTCCTATCATTACCGTGATCACGGTCCCCGGAAGAAAGTTATAATCGAGGGTTCAAATGACGCCGTCTTATCAGGTCATTCCATTCTCCAGAACCGAATTTCAGAGCACGAACGGAAAAGCACAACCTTTTTAAAGTCTCATGGATGCGAAAAGATGAACGCACGTTCACCTACTTATATACGTAACCTCCACGGGCTCCTGGGCCAAAGTACCTAACATTTCACCTCGTACCATCTCAGGCTCCTGGTCAGGGTACCTATTATACCACCACCATCGATAACGATCAATCTGTATTCACGATGAGTACAATCGAGCCAGTTTTCCGCATCATTCCCACTATTCAGAACTACGATTGGGGAAAGGTGGGAAAGGACTCCAAGGTTGCGGAATTTGCTTCTGGGGCCGGAATACGTGGATTTACTTTGAATCAATCAGTTCCTTACGCAGAAGTAGGTGGTCTAGAAGCGCGGTCTGCAGCAGATCTGACCGATGGGCGTGCAATGACCAGCTTTGGATGGGCACGCATGTGAAATCGCCTTCAGGAGTGGTTGATAGGAAGCAGAACCTTACCCAGATTTTGACTGAGAACCCAGGCTTGATTGGGGACCAGGTATCTCGGCGGTTCGACACGACAAACGGAAACCTCCCTTTCTTATTCAAGGTCTTGGCCATTGGCAAGGCCCTGAGTATACAAACACATCCTGACAAGAAGACATCAGAAAAACTCCATGCCGAGCAACCAACAATTTACACTGGTGAGCGTTCCTGTTGACGTCACCCTTGAGTCCTCACGCATAAGTTCTGCGAAGATCCGAACCACAAGCCTGAGATGGCCTTGGCGTTGACGGATTTCAAGGCGCTGTGCGGTTTCATGCCGATCGCAAGGATCGCTGAATACGTCAAAGCCGTTCCCGAATTCAATTCACTCATCGATCCGTCTATCGTGACAGAATTCTTGGACTGTACCAATCTGTCTGAGTCGGAGCAGAAGGCAGTCCTTAAGAAGCTCTTTACAGCACTCATGACCTCTGACGTTTCCAATATCACAACACAACTTCGGACACTCGTTGCGCGTTACCAACGCGGAGGTCAAAGACCTTTAGAAGAGGATGTCAAGGACCTTGTCCTGACATTGAATGAGCAATATCCCGGGGACGTCGGAGTATTCTGCGCATTTATGCTGAACTACGTCCGAATGACTCCTGGGCAGGCTATTTTCCTGGGAGCTGGAGAGCCCCATGCTTATGTTGAAGGCGGTATGTCTTCCCCTGTTGGTATTCAGCTCATTTTAATAATGATTTGGAAGATATCATGGAGTGCATGGCCAATTCGGACAATGTCATTCGCGCAGGTCTTACCCCTAAGCCCAAAGACATTCCCAATCTTGTTTCGGTTTTGACCTATACGCCATCAGATTGGCAGAAGCATATGGTCAAACCGGTTGACATCGCACCACGCACTCACAAATACGATCCTCCAATCCAAGACTTCACTGTTCTCCAGGTCAAGACCCAAAAGGGCGAGACTGAAACTCACGACGCTATTTCAGGTCCTTCAATCGCAATCGCCACCGAAGGTTCTGGTCGGGTAAGCTGGAGTGGCGGCGAGTTAGATTTACAGGCTGGAAGCGTCATCTTCGTGGGAGCTGACACCAAAATAAATTTCACTACCGGAGACTCCAACTTGGTTGTATTTCGTGCATATGTCACAGCCTAGCTCGGTAATAGCACCACTAGCAGGACGGAAAATTGATGTTTGAGTGTCCAGTGTCCACAACAGTTCCATCCTGGACAAAAATAACAACCGATACCATTAATATTAATACGACAGAAGCTTTAATCTTTTACACTGTCCGCCGCGGTATGCTGAAGTGGAGCCCAGTCATCAGGGTGTAACTATTCTAAATACCAAAATCCATCTTGAAAATATTTATCACTGTTATCGAGTAGCAATTCCCTAGATGTAGAGCGCACTGATCAGTCAATCAACCAATACTCGCAGTGTTAGACAGGGCAAATTTTCCGAGAGTCGATGGGAGGAGTGCATTCCATAGCAAAGTTTCTAAAGCTGATGGTGAAGCCCAAAAGGAAAACAACAGGTTTATCAGTGAATTGTTGCAAACAAATGTTCGTGATGTCTGAGGCCGCCAGTTTGAACTGACTATATGACATCCTATCACTGTCCATTGTGCGATGGCTATTCTTTAAACAAATCCTGGCTCACGCCACTTGATCGCGGCGAGGTTGATGAAGGAAGTGAAGAAAAAGTGAGCATTCCATCGACATCCACAAACGTTGGATCAACGGTCCGAAGTTGGCTTGCTTACATAAACTTGTCCCTGAAAATGGTGTCCATATGCCGCTGCGGCTCAAAAGCAAGTGCTTGCGGCCATCATGCTCTCCTCAATTGTACTCTTCGCAGGTCTCGTCAATATTGTGTCCAGTGCGGCTGTGAACGATATACGACCCCTAGTAATATGGCATGGACTGGGTGACACCTACGCATCTCCTGGTATGGACCGCTTTCAGAGTGAAGTCAAGGAAATGCACCCTGGCATATTCATCCACTCCATCTTCATCGACGAGGACCCAAATGCAGACCAGCGTGCAACCTTTGTGAGTATTCATACTGCTACTATATGGATTTATAACTGATATCCGTCAGTATGGCAATGTGAACCAACAAATCGTACAGGTTGCCGAGCAGCTCGCTGACATACCTGAGCTCAGCCGCGGTTTTGATGCCATAGGATTCTCACAAGGAGGTCAATTCCTTCGTGGCTACGTGGAACGTAATAACAGCCCGCCGGTGCACAACCTGATCACCTTTGGGTCACAGCACATGGGTGTATCAGATTTGCCAGCCTGCAACCCATGGGATCTACTTTGCCAGGTCGCGCGCCGAGCAGCAGCCAGGGGTATGTATAGCGAATGGGCACAGGAGAATCTTGTTCAGGTTTGTCAGAAAATCTCCTCATGTACCATGGTACCATTAATTCAGCCATCATCAGGCTCAGTATTTCAGGGACCCGCAACGGCTCTCGCAATACATGTCATCAGGGAGCTTTCTACCGGATATCAACAATGAAGTCTTGCTCCCTTCTTCTCGCAATTCATCGTATGCAGATAACCTTGCCTCGCTGAATAAGCTTGTCCTTGTCCTTTTCCTCCAAGACAAAACCGTAGTCCCTAAAGAGAGCGCTTGGTTCGGCTCCGAGCAACCTCTTGAAGACATCACTATGGACCAACCATCTGGATCCAGTCAGACGCCGATGCTCAGCCCACCGAACGCCAAAGATATCATCCCGATGCGTCTGCAAACCCTTTACAAAGAAGACTGGATAGGCCTTCGACAGCTTGACGAATGCGGTGGAGTTGAATTTGTGGCATGTCAGGGAGAACATATGCAGATTGGTGATTGCTGGAAAGATCTTGTTGCTGAGTGGGTGGGAGGGTCTTTGAGCGTGAACTGAGGCGTATCCTGACACGAGGCACCACACTGACACCAGTCCGTACCCTGTCGTGGCACGCTTGTTCGGCGCACCACTGTTGATGGTCAGTGGGTTGAATGTGTTCTATATAAAACAGACACCGTGTTACGATTTGTCCCACTAGTTGTAGACATCCCGCCACCCAACGTTAGCGGAAGGAGGGCTCTCGAACAAAAAATATTCTCATCATCGAAAAGATGTGCAAAGCTGGGCTGATTTTTCCACGGCTCACTTTCGACTGACATGTACTCACACAGTCGGCTGAAAACTTGAAGCACTGGACTGTTTGTCGCAATGAGCATGTCAATTTGGGATGAAGACAACGTAGTGTGCATGAAGTGAGCCGCATATAACTGACCCATATATCTTGAGCAACATCGCACGAGGCAGAGCAAAATCAATTCGAATTGAGGCGCACAAATTATTATGTAATATGTCACCTTAGCCCATCGCGTGATTTTCTCGGATATCCCCATCTATACATCCAGAGCACTCCGAATTTGCCCCGAATAACGGCAAGGTGAAAGTTCACGCCCGCCTGTGAAAGCTCAATTTCCCGATTTCTTACTCCCGTCGACATTACTTTCCTTGCTCGTCCTCTTCAAGTCATCAGCAATGTCTGGCGCAGCGTCTGCAGCCGCAGGGTCGAAACTCTCCGCGTTTATGAATCATCCAGCCGGTGCGTGGGATGTCCGTTGATGCACAAATAGGCGCTGATCCACATCGTCACTGGTCACGACAGGCCCGAAGACGGTCTTCTTCTGGGCACCATTGATGAAGTGGTGTCTTGTTGCTGCTGGTGTAAAGGACTTGAGTCGGCCAGCAGATAAACTCAGCATATCACAAAACGTTGGTGCGTAGATGCGTCACTGGCTCACTGTGACTCCGTTTAAATTATTCCCGGATAGCGCTCGCATGCACAGGTTTCATCTGGGTGAGATACTCATTGGTCATTACCCCGATAAACTATAGTTTGGCAGCGGTAAGGGTCGCTGAGTTTTCTTGGTGACGATCACTTATGCGGCGTTGCGCAGGTGAACTTCTTTGTTGGCTCTACCGGTTTAGGACAGTTGGCCCGGATCGCAAAGTGAGTTTCAAGTCAGGCAACAGTTTAAATTTTGTGCTTACGGTTGAGCAAGTTACCGGTACAACGGAGAGGCAGCCAAAGCTTGATTAGTTTCTCTCGAGAGTTTTTTTATATATCTATTCATGCTTCCCTTGTGGTGTCACTTGATCAAACCTCCGCGAATCGTTCTTATTGGAATCATATACACTGATATATAAGTGTGACTACGCTCGAACAAGGTATCATCGACTCTGACTTTTCGTCTTGCTGTTGTCACCGCTGGTTGCTTTATCTTCGGAGTTCGGCCCGTCAAAAATCCCCCGAGCTACGTCCCACCATCCACCTTCCGCTAGTAAGCGATTAGCAGCCTTGGCGATGTTTGACATGATCTTTTGAGCGTCATTCCCCTCCTGGTTCCCGTCGCGTTCCTGATATTGCCATTGCTTGTGCTTTTCAAAGGACTCCCACGATCTGGGGCGGTCATTTGACTTGTGTTGCGTACGCGTCTTGGGTGACCGCGATGAACGCTGAGTACTAGAAGTGGACTGGGCTGGCTCATTCAGCACATCCCAAATGAATCCGCCTAAGCTGGAGATGATGCTTGTGTTCCCGCCCGCGCTCTGTCCCATGTACCACCCCAGCCCTGCAGTCAGCGTTCCTAAGATGGTTCCCCACTTGATGAACCAGATAGTGGTTCTAACCATCCAACTGGTGGTCCTATATAGGCTGACTAGTGCGAGATATGCGGCGAGGAAGCTGATGAGAGGGGGAATGATGGTCTGTGCATCCCACTGCCATGGTTTAGAGGCAATTAGGGATGAGATCAACGAAAGAAGCGCCGTAAATAATGCGAGTGAGTGCGAGAGAAATGAAAGCAGAAATGAATACAGAGGTGGGGGAAGCTGCTCGGCGAGGAAACCAAGAAGGGGGTCTAGAAAAGCTGGCAGTGGAATGTCTGCTGGATCCATGGTTTCTGTGGTATAGATTGTTGATGCCTTGGATCTCGAATAACAGTTTCGAGTTGCAAAAGTGAGGCTGTCGTGACACGTCCTGCAACAAAGTAAGTACTTATGTAAGTGACTGGACGCGTGAACGTTACGTGCTGTTACGTGGCTGCGTGACACGGTGTCACGTGCAGAGTCGATAGAAAAGAAATCTCCAAATGGAGGCAGAGAAATGAGATATTCACTAGGAATCAACCAATCGGATCATATCGGCATGATGCCAGCCGATCGAGCCGACCACCGATACTTCTACTCCGACATTTCCTGTGAGGTGTTCGCTCCGCGAATATGCACCAAACATTAACAAATCTGATCGTGTATAAGTTCGAGCTTATATCAACTTTGCTCCTTTCCCAAGAACTCTATCACATATCTTCATCTGCCCATACACCCACTAGTACTCTTTCATATCATGGCCATGAAGCGCAAATTCGACTTTGACGCCACTGACGACTGCCCCCAGGTCATTTTATTTTATCGAATTTATTTTACTTCCCCACTCTAATACTCGCTCATGTGCATCAGGTTGCCAAGCAAATGAAAATGGTTCCCTTCCCCAACTATGAGCCTGACACCGACGTTGCTATGTCTGAATCTCCTTCATCTGACGCCGTCTCGTTTTTCCCTGAAAATAATCATACTCGCCTTCATTCTACTGCCAGCTCGTCAAGCGGTTCGTCTGTATATTCGGATGCCATCGACTATAACTCTCGTATGTACACCTGAGACCTAGGTGTTGTCCACTCACTAAGCATTCGTGTGTTTTCATACAGCTTTGTACCCTCGTCTCGCCCAGGTCGTCGACTACCAGCCGGATGATCCTGAAAAGGCGGTTGGGCTGTTACAGCCTGCAAGTTCATTCACTCACCATGGGTAAGTACAAGGAGAGCTCATCCTCGATTATGGTTCTAACTTGTCACTCCCTCTCGCCTCCACAATACCATGCTTTATAGTTCGCATTGCTCACAAATACCCAAGCTTCGTGTCGCCTGCTCTGCTGGTCCCGACGGCTCAAGGACGATGTGGAGCTTTTGTGAACAATGCGGCGCGATTTCCATGGTGGATTCGGATTGAAGTCATCGACATGCTTGGCACCCTTTTTTTATTTTATTTATTTTGCTGATTATCCTTTCGTGATTTGCTTTTCCTCTGGCTCAACTGGTCAAGTCTGTTTCCGACATATCGATCCTATATCCGCCTCCCCTGCGCCGCTAACAGTTACCATCACCTATCCGCCTCCTTCGACTTCACCGCCCTTCTCGTGATCAGCACCCGGTCAATCTCCGAACCTCTGACAACCACTCGACATCAAAACATCAGCCAAATATCATAATGCTGCACTGCTACGTTTGCTAAATATGCTCTCGCTGTATATATCTTGCCCCGTCGTATAAATTATCATGCTCTGTTGCTTTGACATCAATTACGTGTGAATTGGCCTGATAAGTAATATTTCTAAAGCAACTCAGTACTCAATAAGTATTCAATTTTCAACATAATCCTTCTGGATTTTCACTTGCTAAGTATATTGAAAGTTTGATCGAAGTTATGCAATTAATTGCCCCATAACGTCCACACCACATCAAGCACTGCTACTGTCAGCATACGCCATGACCCAAACAACTTTGCTTCAATACGAAGCACCATGTAAGTCCGATACATCGTCACCACTTCTCGAGCGTAGTTGATAACCTTGATCAGGGCCTGTACACGCGCTCGATTGGTGCAAGTCAACTGCACCTGGACATCAATCTCGTCCACGATCGGCTTTCCGTCTCGGAATTGCATCCTTCTCTGAAGACTATCGGAATCGGATTGCTATCGTAGGACTTCAAGATGAGCGCGTCCTTGTCGAAGATGATTATACCGATTACCCCGACTTTGTGACACTGGTGGAGGCGAACCATGGATACCCAGCCACCAATCTGCAATGGCAACCTGCGAGTGCGAGCGGCTTCTCGTGGACTGGTAAAGCGCCAGCTGCAGAGTTACTTGCGACGACTGGAGATGCATTGAGGGTATGGGAGTATTTTGGAGATGCGCCACCAGCGTCGTCGGCTTATGTTGGGAGGCAGCCCACGGGTGGAGGGCATCGGTTGACACTTAAGACGGCATTGTCTGGGGTACGTGATTGAAAACTCACGCCTTGATTGAAAACATTGATGACCCCCTGTGTGCCAGCAATCCAAAGTGCAAAGCCAGTCTACCGGACCACCATTAACCAGCTTCTCTTGGAATGAGAAAGCCCCCAGCTTAGTTGTCACATCATCAATAGACACGACGTGTACCGTCTGGAACATCGATACGTCCACTGCCATAACACAACTCATTGCTCACGATCGAGAAGTTTACGATGTTGCATGGCTTCCGGGATCGACAGATATATTCGTATCAGTTGGGGCAGATGGTAGTCTTCGTGCGTTTGACCTACGGAGTCTCGAACATTCTACTATTCTGTATGAAACACCGGCACCCAAAAGCGGTCCGACCGCAGCCTCAGCATCATCGCGTCTACCTACATCGCCTCTCTTACGCATTGCATTCAACCCTGCTGACTCAAATTACATGTCCACATTTCATATGGATGGACAGGATGTGCAGATTTTGGATATGCGGAGTCCTGGTCAGCCGGTGATAGAACTGAGAGGGCATCGCGCGCAGGTGAACGCGATGGGATGGAGCACAACAGATAGACCAACACTGGCTACCGCAGGTAAGCACTGCAATGAATTAACTCGCGTCTGTGTTCGACCTGAACCTTATGTGCAGGGGATGATTGCCAAGTTCTACTTTGGGACCTTGCTACCTACACACAAACGGCAACCTCTCCTCGCACTGCAAATTCTCGCTTAAATTCACCACGGCCAGACGTGAAGAAACGTGTGGTCAACGATCCGATAATGGCCTATTCTGCTAGCAGCGAAGTGACCAACCTCGCATGGTCTCCTCAGATACCAGGGATGACGATGAATACGGGACACTCGACAGCGCCTGGAGAGTGGCTAGCGATTGCAAGCGGGAAGTCTATCAAGGCACTCAAGGTGTGAATTTAATTCACTGGAAGATTGGAATAATGGTTACTGTAATTGTACTTCACATGGGAGTGCGCTTGACCTTTTGAACCGTCCACTTTATGGCCATGACAGATCATGATCTGGCTCATCTTCTTTTGCGCTATCTTCGCTATCTCACAAACGCGCGCCCACAGCTTGTTTCTTATATACCTCATGTCTCGTGAATTCTGTCGCGCTTGGCGGCAATATTCTATGTATAATTGAAGTGTAAAAAATAGGCGATGTCGTCTAGATGTTGTCACGGTATCTATACTCACATGTAGTATTTCTGACTACTCGAACAACCGTTACAATCTTTCACAGGTAGCTTGAAGCTCTCCGACTTGAACGTTCTGAACCAGGTTCAACCGTTCAACCCGCGGGGATACCCCTGAACACGAATATAAATAGACTAGATCCGCCTCATTCATTTCTTCGAGCAGATAAGTACTTATCATTGATATATGATGCCCAACTATCACAAGCTACCACCACTCATTTCTAGATCTCATATGTCACAGTCACAGGCACTGTGCTTGGCTTCAATTGCTCTGACATTGCGGGAATGGAGGAGGGAGATGGATGGAGGAAAATGTAGGAGGAGGAATGCCCAGCTCGGATTGCTGAACGACTTAGAGTCTCACGCATCTCAAACGCAGACCTCGGCTACTAATCCGGGCCGGATGGGATTAGGCTATCGGATGGACGGATCCGGTTTTCTGATGCGGCTCCACACTTGTCTTTTGCAGTACATATCTCGTTTCGCCGCGAATTTCAAAAAAACACGCATGCTCAAGGAACTATTTGGATCAACCGCATGACGCCGCGTATGACCTCTGATAAAGATGCGACCGCATGCACGGAGGTTACTCGGGCGCCAGTCGATATTAAATATAAGTTGTATAGTTGACGCTTATCTCTTTCTGCGTTGCTTCTAGCCCCCCAACATGGCAACTCCAGCAGGCGGTTTTGATGCAGAGAACCAGTTCATACAGAGAAAGACGTCAGTCTCCACGAACTCTGATGGAAAACAGGAAACCGCACCCGTTGTAGATGCTGGGGGCGATTTGGAGGGTGCAGGAGAAAAGGGTGAAGGAACGCAAGCGAGGAGCACGTTCGACAAGAGACTCCGTGTTGTCGTCCTGATTGCCCTCGCTGCACTCATCCTTGGGTGGTGGATATCCTCCACCATTTTAACAGCGACACGCGGGCAATGGTATGACGTACTCTCCGAGTCTTGTAATTAACAAACCTTAATTCTTCTCCAAGGGTCGTACAGTCATTTTTTGCGTGGTTTTTCTTACTGTAAGTAGTGATCTCTACGCAATGTTATGCCCCTGCTGATTATCCATACTGTTAAGTATTATCGCGTTCCGCTTCATACCCAATTCGGTGGTGACGGAGCCTATTACCGCTGTATGGGTGCCATGCGTCCAGGTGCCTTGGTACAAGCTTCCTCGGATAGCGAGATTGACAATTGGATGGCTCTGCCTTCTTGCCATCGTGTTTGGGTCTGCTTTCGGATTCCCACTGACTGGCGTGAGTTCTGTTGTCTTGAATGAATTTTTGATAAGCTGACGTCGCTGTAGAACAGTGATTATGGACACCGAGCAATTTCGGTACTGGGGTTGTTTGTTTTCCAGTGCGGTTTCTACTTGTGTTCCACGAACAGATCGGCCATTTGTTGGTTGGTGCCTCCCTCTCAGCCTACTGCATCTGCTGATTTAGAATGTAAGGCCTACTGTAATAGTCGGCCTTTTCCTTCAACAAACCATTGCTCTTTTTGTGCTCAAGACTGGCGCCGGTTTTTCCTTCTTCAAATATATCGCGGATCTCGCAAATGACTTCTTGTCGGAAGCCGATGTCGGGGCTGAGTTCTTCTTCGATGCAGAAACCATTGCGAAGGAATGGTTTTTTGTGAATGTGGTATGAGCGTGGTGTCGCCAATCTCGAACGCTTGACTTGATAAGATTACAGCTCTCCGCCGTTATCTTTTTCATCGCCACGATTCAAATGCTGTACTATGTCAGTGACCAGGATTACTTTGAGCCCTCACCGCTAACGTATACCAAAGCTCGGCGTCATGCAATGGATGGTCAAAGGATTGTGAGTACATGGAACACACCATTCATCGATGAGTGAGATTCATTGTTTCGTAGTGCATGGTTTTTCTTCAAGCTCATGAACGTGTCTGGCGCTGAGGCGGTCGTCGCGGCTGCTTCCCCTTGGGTAGGCCAAGGAGAGTCTGCCTGCTTGGTCAAGCCCTACGTTGATATCATGACCCCATCGGAACTTCATCTTGTCATGACTTCTGGTTTGTTTGCAATACTCCGCCATCGGAACGTTAATATTTATGAATTCAAGGTTTCTCCACTATTTCTGGATCTGTTTTGACCGCCTACATTGCCCTGGGTGTTCCACCCCAGAATCTTATCACTTCATCCGTCATGAGCATACCTGCTTCTATTGCCATCAGCAAGATGCGGATTCCGGAAGTCGAGGAACCTGTTACTCGTGGTCGCATAGTAGTGGACCGTGGGGATGCGGGAAAGAACCAGCCAGTGAACGCTCTTCACGCATTTTCTTTGGGAGGTCTGTTTGGCCTGAGTGTCGCGGGACAAATCCTGTGAGCCCCATGAATCGGCCATCGACGAGTCACTCAGCTGTCCCATAGCACTAACGTATTAACGATTTTGTCGCTTGTCGCTACCATCAATGCTGTCCTGACATGGGTCGGTCGTGGATTTGGCATCCATCAACTTACTTTACAGCTAGTCTTGGGATACATCGGGTATCCTATCGCCTTTTTCTTGGGTCCGCACACATCCTTGCCATTTTGAGCCATCCTAGCTGATATCTCGCTAGGTGTCCCCAGCGCTGAGATCCTCCGAGTCTCACAGCTGTTAGCGACGAAATTAATTGAGAACGAATTTGCTGCGTACTTAGGTACTCTCGTGACCCCAATTTACGGACATGTAGCTGATGCTTAATTCTTGCAGAACTATCAAGCATCCAAAAGAGTTCGAACCCCCTGTCACAGCGTGCCTTTACGATTGCGTCGTATTCCCTCTGTGGATTTGCAAATCTCGGGTCGTTAGGTATACAGATCGGTGTGCTCGGCGCTTTGGCACCATCGCAGGGCAAAGTCATTGCAAAACTTGCGACATCCGCTATGATTTGCGGATTTATATCGTGCGTTCTTAGTTTGTGCTGTTTTTAGTTTAGTGACGAATTTTTCTGCAGAACCCTCCAAACTGCCGGTATCGCGTGAGTACTTGTGCAGCATTGGTCGTGATGTCTAGAGGCTAACTCTGTTTCTCTTAAAGCGGCATGCTGGTATAATACGAAGGGTATCTTAGAATTAAAATGGCTGAGCTGTGGCGCTATACCTTGTCATAATATACCTGGCCCTTCACCCTAAGGGCAAGAGATATTGTCAATAATTACAAACGCATTAAATTTAATATAATATATATGTGGTGTTTGTGAACAAATGGCTGCTGGTGCAGATGGGTTCAGAGGGATATTCAGGGATCAAAATATCCTCAGGTAGTGCATCCAAAGGGATGTTCAATTCTAAAATGTTGTTCTCAATGTCGAGGCGGTCCTCTCGTAAATTACTTAAGAGGACCTAAACCTTTCCTGATTTGGCCACCATCACAGCTAAACCTTTGCATGGGAGACATTCTGCACCTTGTTGCAGAAGAATATCCTTGCTGTAGTATAGAGCCAAAGTTAGCTACCCAAACCTTGCCATGTAGTGTCAGTTCCTAAACCTTTTCTAGTAAATTTTTCCAGTGTAGTATTGCTCCCTAAGTGCTAAACCTTTCCCTAAATCAAAGTCTTAATATTCCAGTTCAACATTTCTCATCAGTATCAGAAGCATGACTACTGCATGCAAAATTGCTTAAACTGCTCAAACTTGCCTGAGTAATACAGATGCAGTGGCCCTAGTAGACTACAAGTATTATAACTAAAAGGTTTAGGAGGGCATTTAGAAGTAAAGCATGAAAAGGTTTAGCAATACTGCATGGGAAGGTTTAGGATACAGTGAGGATTAGGATGAGGATGCTCTTCTGTGACAAGGTGCAGAACATCTCCTATGTGAAGGTTTAGCTGATGCAGTGGTGGCCAAATCAGGAAAGGTTCAAGGTCTGCTGTGAAAGAGAGATAGGAGCCAGGCTGTTAGCAACTAATGCTACTTACAGTGGCTCAAAAAAGTGTCTGAATGTTTATGCATTTTAAGTAATTGGATAATAGCAAGGCAGCACCTGAGTACAATATAAAGGCATAGGGACAAGTCTAAAGGCTTGACATCATAGCTATAATCTGAGATATATATCATGGGAACTAGACCACATATGGGCAAGATATGGTAATTCTAATCACATGACTCATTCGGACACTTTTTTGACTTTATATCCAAATCACAAAATCCAACCATTCACAGATATTATTCTTAGAGTGGTTTTCAAAACAGTTGGCACAGCCACCGAAATGCCACTTTTTCAGCCCTTTTGAATATGTAGAATCAAACAATTGTTTCTCAACAACCACTGCTCCAAATGCTATGATTCTTTAATGAAAGATGATCTATTTTATGGTGCCCAGGGCATGCCAACAAAATCGGAGAAATTTGACCACTATCTTGGTATCTCATTTTCAAGGGGCTGCATTCTGACTTGATGAATTTTCCTGCAACAACAAGCTCTTCACTCAACCTATAATCACTTCTCTGTTCATTGGGTACTATCCGCCGAGGGCACAGCAGCAAAATCTGGAGCTTTTGGTGCAAAATCTGGAGCTTTGGTGCAAAATCTGTCTTGCAAGCATGTTGCTAGGACTCTTGGGGTCAGGTTTTATTCCATGACATCCTGAAACTTCATGCAGTAGTTTACTTGATTCTGAACAATGTGTGCATCGAAAAATTCAAGTTCTAGTTCCATATTCTGTTGTATCTCAACTGACCACCTGCCTGTGGAGTTCATGTAGCAGTGATGACCCTGACTGTCAGCCTGCGGCTAGTGTAAACATTATAGTTCAAACTAGCTGTTTGGCACCATCTTGTCCACAACCATGGGCTCAGCCAAAAACAAGAAAGTACCAAAGACTGACCAATACTGGCAGACCCTCCAAGGAGAAAAAAAGGAAAACTCCTCCTGTCATACATGACTCTGAAACTCAGAAACCAGGACCAAAACCAAAACCAAAACCCATCAGCAAGCCTGGCAGCAAAAAAACTTCTGCAACTTCACCTCTCAACATTGATTCATTGCCTGAGGATGTTCTAACAGCAACCCAGGGACTCCTTGGTCTTTCTAATGGCTTGAAAGAGACCCAAGAGTATCATAACTCAGAGCAACCTGACCCTAGTAATATGCTGCTAAATGATGACGAATTTTTAGTCACCACCAAGGATGATGCTGCAGAGAATGGAGACAGGGTAACCTTGGATCCAGAAGCTATGAGTAACAGTACTGAGTCCTCAGACGAGGAAGATGAGGAGGACGAAGACAGTAAGTCACATACACATTATGGAGTCACTGAGCATGCTGAAAGTATATCAAGGTGCTTTTGATCTTGAATTTATGGTCCCCATTAACGGTGCAACTGATAGTGCTACATACTCTTCCAATATCACTTGGACCAACTTTCATTATCAGGTTGCTGACAAAATGGGTATTCGTGTGAAAGACTTGAATCTCATATACTGATTTAGCACAATGCCACAGAAAGAGCTGCCTCGTGTGCTCCAGACACCTGTGCATCTTGCAAGACTATTTGTGGCTGCCCAGAAAGAGCTGAGTGAGTGAGCAAAATCCAAATCTAAGGCAAAGCAGAAGGAGTTCAAGGTGGTTCTCATTGATCATGATGCTGGTAAAAGAGGAAAAAACAAAGTTAAGAAGAAGGTGAAGCAAACCTCAATGAGATATATCACAAATTACTGATTGCTAGGTAACATCAGGGTGGTCGCAAAGATGGCCAGAAGAGGGCGAAGTCGAAGAAAGATGATAGTGATTCCAAACAAGCTGGAGATAGTGATGAGACAGACATTGTACTGAAGAAGAAAACAGCACCACAATATATTATTGAACTGCAAGCAGAACATGCTTGTGGTAATCATAGTGGCGAGTACTGTGTGATCCTTCCAAACAGAAGTCATCATCACTTGACCAATAAGGATCTTAGCCTTTGGAGTCTGTTATTGGTTGGTTTTTATACATGTCGAGTATCATAATGGTCACTGAGTAATAACATTACAGACAGAAGGTGTCCACACAAGCTTGAAGGATCCTCCCAGTGAACTGAAAATTGAGGATGTAGTCCGCCCACTGAGGATCCATAAACAATCTCAATCTCAACCAGAAATGTCTTCTCATCCATTTCCATACTATTATCCATACCCACCTCCACCACCGCCTGGATATGGAGCTCTGCACTATCATCACTATTCGCCACAGACACCAACACCTTAAGCCTCTTCTCACACTCATTCACATCTTGAAGTTCCTAGTTCAGACTCTTTTGATCTGAATGATGCACCAACAATTTACCCACTGTGTTCTGGAGTGGCTGTTTGAGTTAGATTCAGGCGAGCATGGAGCTGATGGCCAGGTGTGGGGACAGTATGCTGGTGTGCTTGATAACAGTGGATACAAGCGAATCATTCAAATTGCTGAGGACGGAAAAGATGGTGCAAAGGAATTGGTAGACTTGTGTGGTATGCCATTAGGAATTGTGAGGTTACTGATCAGGTATGCAACTAGTGACTCTGACAAGATCACCAAGAGGGAAAAGAGGGCACACCGAGGTGCACATTAGATATCCACTATTGAACATTAATACAACCCAGATTCAAAAGTTTACATGTATCCACAGTGATGGAACCATCCCTCAGCATCTGTTGCAGTTACTGACCATACAGCATTGTGCAGCTGTGTTAAACCGGCTTGACTGCTGTTCTGGGACTCTGTTGCAGCCCTAAATGATCTGCCATGCCTGCGGACATGTGATTTGATAGCAGAGAATGCTGGTTCAATTGGATTGAAGTCCGGTGAGTAGGGGGGGAGAAATTCATAGTGGCGACTGCTGGAAGACAATGGTTATAGGTTATTCAGTTAACAGTACAAATAGCATTACTGACACTTCTTGTATCATCTCAAGGACCAGGTCTGACTTATGAATTTGGCAGTTGTCCATGACAACCACAGAATTTGGGCCAGGGAAAGGGTTGGTATGAAGTAATAAACCCTCAATAAACTTGCCAAATGGCTTGTAGTTGAAAGAGCCTTGTATAATACTGACATGCAGGATACCATTGAGAGAGAGTGCTGGAAGTACAGAGTATCTATGGGAAACAGTGAATTGATAAAACACATCAAAAGAGATAGTAGTGCACCTATTTCCACGTATGAAAAAAGCCTTCCACACTGCTTGGTGACCCCAGATTGACCAAGCTCTCCCTTGATATGATGTCCATTGATCACATGAGCTTTCATCTACAAAAACAAGTTGGTCTGGTCTATAGCATAGGCCAACTTTGTAAATATGTATATGCAGCTCGCTTCTCTGCACTGCGTTCGATTGCATGTTGTGTCAGCTAGGGAGTAGTGTGGTCAGCAGTCACAAGACAAGACAAGCAAAACAAGATCGCAAAAGGGTACACCTTTTTCATAGAATATCTGCTCCTCTGGAGTGCACACCACACTGTGGGTATCGAGACAGACACCCCACAGATCTCCTCTAATCCTACTTTGAGTTCATTGAGGTAGCTGTCACATGTTTTATCAAGAGATCCATGTAAGAACTGTTGAAATCAATAAATTAGTATGAAGTATTGAGGCAATGATGCATACATACTGCAACATCTTCAGAAGTCAAATGATGGCGGTGACCAATCCTACGATGGTCCATTGTTGTTGTTACCTTGCCTGTAGCTCTGAACAATGCTAGGATCTGAAGTATTTGGCATCAGCTGACATCAGTGTAGGTAGATATGGCATCCAGGTCAATGAGGCGAGCCATTTGTACAATGGTCCAGCATAGATCCTCACTGATGGGCTTGCCTTTGGCCATGTTGAAGATGGAGAGTGATTATAAATGAGATGTGAATGTTTGATCAATGGCAAGCTCACACAATGAAAATTGCACAAAAAGCTCTCGTTTGTTTTGCTGTGCCCTCAGGAGACAATAGATAATGAACAGATGAATGACTGTTAGTGGAGAGGATTGGTTGTTCTTGCAGGAAAATTGTGTGAGGCAGAAAGTAACACCATGAAAACAAGATATCGAAGTAGTGGCCAAATCGTTCAAATTTTGTTGGTGTGCCCTGGGCACTATAAAATAGATCATCTTTCATTAAAGAATCATAGCATTTGGAGCAGTGGTTGTTGAGAAACAATTGTTTGATTCTACATATTCAAAAGAGCTGAAAAAGTGGTGTTTCGGCGGCTGTGCCAACTGTTTTGAAAACTGCTATAATAGAATTGGTGCAATAATCAATATTTGGTCTTATTTTAATGTTATTTATATATATGAACCCACATAATATCATGAACTTTAACATAATCATCATACAGCCCATCTCCTCTGCTCCAAAGGATAATATCCTTATTCTCTGCTCCTCTAGTTTGTCTATGAGGCAAATTGCTTCCAAAACTTTGAAAATGCATAAACATTCAGACACTTTTTTGAGCCACTGTATCCTAATGGGTGTGAGTATAGTGGTTCAACCTGAGGGGACTGCTATTGAAGCACTTCCTTCATATGTGAGCAAGGGAAGCAACACATGAAGGAGTCACAACCTAAAGTGGCCTAGAAACTAGCACACACAGTGAAAGCACTTCCTGGTAAGGACCTAAGTCAAGAGAATTGACTGTGAGTGAAAGCACAAGTCAGCTGTGATCAGTATAGTGTGTGTAGAATGAAACACAACAGAGATACATGTGGGTATGAGAGAGCACAAAGTATATGTGTGCTGGTGTGAAGTACTGTCTTACTAGGATGTAAAAATCAATGAAATAACCAAATTTCACTATCCTTCACAGTCAATGGTTCATACAAATACCAATGGTTGATAATGTGGCCATTCATGGGGGTACAATTAAGATAGGTTCTTGAAAGCAAATCTACCAACAGCTCAAAGGGGTTAAGGTATTCAGGAATCTCAGGAACAGTGCCTGTAACTGGTGTGATGCAGTGCTTAAGGTGTTTCTGAGGTTAGTTACCATTAACTGGTATGATACAGTGCTTAGGAAACTTCAGAAATGGACTAATATGGACTTACAGAGTGTAGTTGAATTGATAACTGGCATAATGCAGTGCTACAATGCTACAAATAACAGAATGACAGGATACAGTGAGTCAGAGCAATATCTCTTGGATACTCCTTATTCTCACAATCAGGAGAGATCAAACTAAGAGTTGGATACAATCAATTCAACCAGGTATGTGACTTTAAAACAAACCTTTCTGCTGCTCGAGCACTCACATTTGAGTTTGAGGCAGGATCAGAATAGAGTACACTTCTGTAACATAGTCTTAAAGTAGGCCAAGGTCTTAATACTGTTGACTAAAGTATAAGTCTTATTTGTCATCCTCAATCATTAAAATACATGAATTCTCCTCATAGAATTGGTTTCTTGTGTTGTAAAGAGAATGAAGTGGAACTATACTAGATGACCAGTAATCTTGTACTAGCTAATGTAATTTGTTATAGCTCAGGGATGACTTTCAGATGGTCTATACATCATGGGAAACAGTGCTAAAAGAGTGGAGGAAATAAGTTAATATTCACTCAGATATTCACACAAATATTAATGGGGGCTTTTAAAAGAGGGAATGTTATTGCTCAGAGAGGAAACTAGGCCCCTTTATATACTATTTTAGGTGTGGCTATGCAATTACTTATTATAGAAAGATGACTCATTCACCTTATTGTCCAAATGTTCACTTAGAAGTTACTGCTACTTTGGAACTAGGGGTTTGCATTGTGAACTTCTGACCTTGCTCTGATATGCAGGCAATTGGCCAGTGCTTTGGATTTCTGTAATTGCTACAGTTTTGAGTGTCCTATATGTTAGATCTAGGTTACTTGTTTTCTAGTATGATATTCTTGTATCTCACATGATTACTCAGCATGATGTTCATATCAGGTGACTGACAGATTATCTGGGTTAGGGCCAGTCCCAGGACACATGCCATGTCCTATAGATGTTGAAACAATCACACCTTGTGTGGCTGGTGCATAGGGCTACATGATAATGACAGAACCATGATCTATACACAAAGTGGACAGTGTGGATTTAGATGACTGAAAAAGGAAACAACAAAGTGTTGGTTTAAGATGACTGCAAAAGGAATCATCACATAATCACATAAGTTTTTAACATCTCAACCTGACCTTGCAGAGCAAGGTGACTGTCCAAAAAGTATGGCTGACCATTTAAACAAAACATTCATTATGCAAGTAGAACTGCTCAGATGTTAACTGTCCAGATGTCAAGATATTAAGATGTTTTAATTACACAACTCATTAGGTAGAAAAATGTATGAGAAAATTCTGAAAGGTGTGGGAATATGCTTAACAATGGAAAAATAAGGGTTTTGACCCTGTTTGTTGATTAAGATAAATAAATTATATCAATGGTTAATTCATTTAACCATGAAAAAACCATGAAGAAAATTATAATAAAATATGTATGATAAAGCTATAGGAAATTAGAATGACCATTACAGACTGTAGGTATGTTATATGGTGTATTATGTATCCATGACCATGTATGAAACAAGTTTTGTGCATGTCAGCATGTGCAAGCTGAATATGCAGGATAGAGTGTACAAGCACTGGATGTGATGGTGCATGAGAAAGACAGGTAGGAGCAAAGGTAAGGCTAGGTATAAGCAAAGAGAGTACTGAGTAGTGGTTCAGACTACCAATGGTGATTTGGGTCTTTGCAAAGGCCTAGGAATGAGAACCCTAGTGGCATGCACTCTGAGCAGTCAAGTTGCATGTGATCAAAGAGAATGAACAAAAACTGGTCAATTGCACAAGGTCTAAGGTATCATGCTAAGGTGACTCTACTGCCTAACAGAGTCCAAGGAAGGGGAAGTATTGGAAGGTATGTACTATAGGTCTCTTCATCATAGTGTGTGAACATCTAGAATACATGGGCAAGAATTGAGTGAGGTAAGCAACTGCATGCTGAATCCATAGGTAATAAGACATTAAGTGCTGCAGAACATGGAGATACATGTAATAAGACCTGCTGCTATTCAGCAATGACATTTAGGGACTAATAATACACCAGTGGAGATGGATAGGATATAGGTGAATGAATACCCAAGGACCAGACCAAGGTTATAAGACTATGCTGTAGTACAGTGCATGCCTAGATCCAGAGGAGTGCATTATCAGTGGATGAGTTGATAAGGAAATTAATGATTAGTATCTTTCTCCTTTTTCTGGACAGTAAGAAGAATCACACTGATGCTCATAGTATGTGACCAGTGCTGGTATGATTGTCATACTGCCTAAGTAATTTATGAGAGAATGGCCATAAGATCAAGTCAACATTAACAATGTCATTTTAGAATTGAACATCTGGGATGAATTTTGAGTCAATTGCTTGGTGAAAACTGAAATTCAACCTGTGCTGCCAAGTAACCTAACCTCACCCTCCTAGTCTATGCTAGGGTCATTTAAGTCATGGTTTGAGCTATTCCATGAATTACAACTGTTCCAAGGCAAAATGAAAGTACTATGAGATGTAACTGGGTTACAAGAAGCAATCCATGGAGCAGAAGAAGTGAAGGAATATGTTAGATGTGGTTGTGAGCTTAGTATGAGTGTGAAGATGAGAGGAGTTTATGTTTTATACTATGGTTCACTAAACTCACACTGCAGGCATATTCCCATTTTTCTCCAAAAACATCCAAAAAACATTGATCAAGAAGATAGACATTTTCTCTCATGTTGCCTATCAAAACATTGAAAAAAATTAATTCATGTGTTAAAGATTTTCTGTGCATGGGACATGATGCAAAAACTGGACATGTTCCTTCAAGGATAATACTGGATTTTCCATCTATTTTCTTTTAAACAGCAGTTTACAATGAGATCAAATTTCTGGTCCATGTTTTCAAATATACACAAAACATTTGAAAAACATAGTATATTTGGACAAAAAATGTAACATTATTGTAAACTGCTATTTAAAAGACAATAGATAGAAAATCCAGTATTATCCTTGAAAGAACATGTCCAGTTTTTGCATCATGTCCCATGCACAGAAAATCTTTAACACATGAATTAATTTTTTTCAGTGTTTTGACAGGCAACATGAAAGGAAATTTCTATCTTCTCAATCAATGTTTTTTGGATGTTTGTTTTGAATTTGATATTTAATCAGATCTTCTATAGAGTCTGAGATCTGCTTGAGAGTTAATCATTCACAACATTCTGGATAAAGGACATGGAATGGTGGAGGATGAATGAAGGGTCCTCCTGCTGCATCCTTGCAGAACACTGAGCCAACTGGATTGATTGCTGTGAACTCATACCTATGAATGCTTGCTGGTAGCAGCAGGCTTGGTGTGAGCCCCAATCCAAGTTCTACATTACTCACTCGCTTTGTTTGCTCACCACAGACTTAGCTTGATTGTAACACAGAGGGGCTTGGCCTCAGCTTGTATGCTGTGCCCCTTACCCAAGTATGTGTCCTACATTTCAGAGGAAGTCTGATGATGGTCCAATGAAGTCCGGAGGAGCATGGGAGAGTTTTAGAGGAATGCAGGAAGTGCTCAGGAGAGTTCCCACTGCAAGTAATACTTCTACAGGAAACAGGATGGAAGGATAGGAGGTCTGAAGGTCCAGAGGACAGGAGGATGGAGGTCTGGAGGACAGGAGGACAGAG